GAGTTAGTAAGTATATTCATAATAACTTATACTAAGCTTACCTATTAATAACTTTAAGAATATAGATATTTCGCCTAGTCCACGAGTATAAGAATTAATATATAACCTTGACCGTATTTAAATTATCGGTAATTAATGCTTCGTCTTTAGCGGGAATTCTTAAAGTAGCTCGATAAAATCCTATAGCGATATATAGGAATCGTTTATATATCGCCTAGTCACGGTACTAGGGAAACCTCCCTAGTAAATAGGTTAGTTTTCATTATTCTCCCCGAAATATTTCTAAATTATTTCTGAATCGTTTCTAGTATTAATCTAGGTAATTTCGGGGTAATACTCACGGCTAATCTCGTTATATAGGTTATTATAATCCTCCTAAGTCTAGTATTCTAGTAAACTTATAAGGATTCAGTAGTATAATCCTTCCCCTCGCTTTAGGTCGCTACCTAGAATACTTCTAATACCACGCCGGAAATAAACTATACAGAGTCGTATATAGTGAGTTACCTAAGTTTCCTAAGACTCTTTAAGCTAGTACCTCTCCTAAAGATATTTTCTAAACCCTTAAATCGCTAGTAAAGCCTAGTCTAAGGTCACCCTAAGAAAACTAGTACTATAAAGGTATTTCCACTAAATTAGAATCGTATACTTATCCTTAAGGATCCGGAAGACCTAACGAAATATATATAGATATATCTCCGTTATCTCGGAGTTTATATAGTATCTTACTAAAGGAAGCACTAAAGGATATTAGAAACGATTTAGAAACGATTTAGAGACGATTTAGAGATAATTCAGCAATATTCAGAAATATTCAGAAATATTCAGAAACGGTTTAGGAACGATTTAGAAACGATTTAAAAATATACCTCTTTCCGAGTTTTAACTATACTATACCTAAATAATTTCTTTTTACTCTATACCGCCGATATATTTATAGTTAGTCTTAACGAAAAAGGAAGTTATATCAGGAAACTTCTACTATTTTACCTACTCCTTAAAAAAGCAGATTACTTTATAGTTATATTATAATTAGTAAGAGTCCTGGATATACTAATATAGTCTATTAGAACGGTTCTATAATAATCGTTAATAAGGTACTATACTTATATATATTCGTTGATTTACTTCTTTTATTTACTTTAGGGCTAATATAAGGCCTTAACCGCCTTAATGAAAGAGGATAATCTGTTACTTACGAATAATATACCGAAGATAATCGGTATTCGTGAGGCTAGTATAAATATCTATAATTATCTTCCCTTTGAATTCTGCCACGAATTCTTTAAGTTTACTTAACTTAAGGAACGCGTTAAGTATTATTATTAGTTTATTAATCTTCGCGAGCACTCTAGTAATACTATTAATAATTAAAGGCGGGGCTTTTAAGGGTGGTGGGGGAGGGCGAACGTGTGTTCTATATAAGGTTATAATAATCCACGGTATTATATTAAAATCGTATAGCACGAAAAATCGGAATTCGACGTCGTATCGTCGTCGTTAGATTTCGCTAGGCCCTGCGATATACACCTTATCTATATTAAAGAGTTAGCGTATTAGTGGGAGTTAATTTTCGAATTATTTCTAAATCGTTTCCGAATCGTTTCCGGAACTATATACTACACGTCCTTCTTTTTCTGCGGTTCGTTATAAAAAAGTAGTAATTCTTATTAGGATTCGCTAGAATACTATACGCTATTAGATTAAATATCTATCTAATAAAGTCTATATAAGGGTAAAAGAATAAAGGGATAACCGCGAGAAAATAACGACGCGTTATTTCGCCTAGTATCCACGACTAGCACTATATTCGATATTATTAAAAGTCTATAAGGTGCTATAATTTATTAGAAATAATACGAGAAAAGGTAAATACCGAGAATATAACACTTATATAGTAAATACTAGAGTCCACTACTAGAATACACGTTTCTTCCCGGTTTATATAAATAGTCTTCTTACTAAATCTTTCTTTTACTGCCTAAGCCTATCTAATATAATATTAGTATATATATTCCTTTAATCTTAACGCGTTTTATTTACCCTAAAGCCTTTTTCTGCACCGTAAGCTCCTTAACTTCGGATCTTCGCGTATTAATTTAGTTAAGGAGCTATAGTGTTATACGCTCGTGATAGAACTCTAATTCGGAAAGATATTAGTAAGCTTTCCCGCCTTAATAAGTGTATATATAGCGGAAAACAGGTGTATCTTTAAGTGTAGCACTAGTAGCCCGAAAACTAGGTTATTTTTAAGCTATTTTATACTGAATCTAGAAGAAAATAGGTTAATAATTAATAAACTAAATACAGCTAAAACGTATAATTTTCTATAAAGACCTTTTCTCCTTATTATTTAAAACGTCTAGTAGGATAATAATAGCTACCCTAGCAGGTGATATTTAAGGTATCTTAGGAATTCCAGCTATATATAGGACATTATCCACCTCTATAGTATAAGAGCCTAGGGTAAGTCTTCTATTACTATATATAGCGGTAGAGATTAGAATTAGGACGTTTTCCTTATTTAATACCATCTAATACTAGTTAGTAACCGGTAATATAAGATAGTAGTTAGTATATACTCACTTATTTAATTTAATTCCTTTATATAACGTCTTATAGTGGTCGCCGGCTAGAATATAGTCTATAAAGATAAGGTCTTTAATTCTTATTTTTAATAAATCTAAGATTATAAAAGTCGTCTTTTTATTCTTCTAAGTCTTCGACCTCTTCTTATAGCTAAATCTTACTATTAGGATCTAGTTCCGTATACGAAGTTATCTCGAATTATTTCTTAATCGTTTCCGAATCGGTTCCTAATCGTTTCCTAATCGTTTCCCGGCTCTTCGTTGATTTATTACTATCTCCCACTCGACTTTATTACCCCTTACTTATTTACCCCTTACATTAATACCCGACACTTAAGGCGTACACGTATATTATATAACCTAGCATAGACCGTGCCCTATAGTAACCCTTAGCTTAACTCTCCGCCCCGCTCCGCCCCATACCTACCCTCAGGCTAGCCTCACCCTTAGATATCAGTTTACCTGTAACCTCTCTGTGAACGGTGGGCGTAGGCAGACTAGCCACCTTAGCCCCTCTGTCTTCAAGCGAAAGAAAGGACGGGAGAAGTGAGGCGTGGATACCGCGATATAAAGAACGGATATCTGCATTTGCAGACGCCTGAACAAAACCACAGAGGTACAACGGACAAGCCAAACTGGAGCACCCGACGTCGACATGCAAGGGACGGAAAGATCGACGGCTTTACTGGCGGACATCGAGGTCAAACGGAATTGCCGAAAGAAAAACGGGCCACTGCGACTCCTTGGGGAACACGATTCCACAACGTTCCCGAACGGAAAGGATCCGACAGTACAGTTCATCCAGTTCACTTCACCCAAGCTGGACCGCGCCCAGGGAAAGACAGGAAGCTGAAAGCTGCACTTGGCCGGAGAGAGGGACTAGAGACTAATTAGAGAAAAGGACGGAAATGACGAAAAGGGGCAAAGTTCTCGTCCCAACAATCCAACAAACGTATTCTTTCACCGCCAGCATGTCTCATTCCCGTGCTTTTGCCATTTGGTGTGCTGCGCCGCCGTTCCAGCAAACTGTCTCGATTCTGGACCGAATTCCGACTGTACTTGGATGCCTTTACCCGCGGTGAAGCGTGACGTGTCCATTTCGGGTTGTGGTCGAGGAAATTGACATCTGATCCCGTCGGGCCGCTTGATGGGTGATGCGCTGTCGTGTGGCCTGTGTGGCGATGGTGGCGCAAAAATGTTGCAACTGAACGGCTGGGCATCGTTCCCAGGACGTCGTACGAAATAGATCGTGAGTATTTTAACCGATGAGAAGAAGCAAGGCAAATTTTCAAGACCAGTTCAAGTATTAATGCTTGATTATTAATGCAACTAGGTAGCAGTTCATGTCTTCATATCATCCCAATGGGTGGGTATCTCTAATTCGATGCAGGCCTAGACTCCAGGGAAATCCAAATCTCATCAAGATGGACGAGAGCATCAAAAATACCCGTAAAACAATGATGTAAGTGCTCGCTCAGCTCCCGATGACATGATGCTGATGCTAATGCTGCCGATCTGGTGTCCAAAGCCGGGAGGGAGTGTTCCCTATGAATGATCCCAACGCCCAATATTACCTTTTTTAGACCCCACTCCATACGCTCGGTGGTGTACCCAAGCTAAAAATGAACGAAAACAGAAGAGGGCATTACCCGGCTTGAACTCCGGGACACGACGGGGATTCGAGAAGGGGGGTATCAATACAGAAGCCAAACAAAAATAGATTAACAGAAAAGGTGCATGTGATGCCCGAAATAATAATAAAAAAAAATCAAGGAATGTAATCCTGACGTCGTCCCTCGGCTAATAAAGGGACCCTGATGTTCTTCCGGTAGAGAGCGTCGTGGGTTCAACGTGTTCGGCCCCACCGGAGTAATAAAAAGCCGAGGCGAAGAAGAAAAATCTGAAATGGTGGGGAAAGAAAAGCCTAGCGTCCACGTTTTTGTCCTGCTCCGAAATGGCAGACGGGCGCACGAAGCATAGATCAATTAGGTAATCAGAAATGCCCGGAGGGATTCTTGCCGCGGGTTTGTGTGTTGCGCCGATCAATGTGAAGAAGTCGGGAGAATCCGGCCGTATGAAGAGGGCTTCGCACTAATAAGTTGTTGAGATCTGGCGAAAATAGTGCGACCGTTGTGGCAATGCTCGCGAGACGTAATAGGCTGGACACATGGTCGGGGTGGGGGTGTCTAGACCCCGACAGCCAGATAAGGTGGGGTCTCTGGCAAAGCAGAACGTTTTGCCAAGGGGGGAGGACGCGAGAATTCCCGCTGTTCCTCACTAGGATCGCAGTTCTCCCTTGCTTCACATGCACGGCCAAAGGCGGTGAGGCATGAGTTGGGCGGTGGTTGTCGACGCAGCCTCTAGTGACCTGTGTTCGTTTCGCCGGAGTTTTCGCCGTGGCTGTGAAGCTCGGCTTCTGTGGGGTCGGTTTTGGTAATAAGCTGTGGCGGTGATGACTGTGGCGAGTCATCCCTTGACTCTGTGTTTGGCTCACTCGCCAGCCTCCGCGATGGGCGTCATGGAAGTGAGCTTGCTTTTGGATGCTTTCCCCGAAGAGCTGCTGCCACCCTGGGCTTGACGGGCACGTTGGCGCTTGGCGTGCATGGCCTGGCGACGACGTTCCTTCTCGTTGACAATGTAGCGGAGGGCGGCCTCGCGTTGCAATGCCTGTCGCTCCCGTTCCATGCGGAGCAACTCGTCGTCGGCCATGGGTGAAATGCTGGAGCTGGAGCCGGAGCTGGAGACACTGCGAGCATCGTCCTCAACGGGTGCTGAAGGGAAGAGATCGTCGTCGGAAAGGTACGAGGATGGGCGGCCCGACTCAGTTGCAGAGAGAGAATCCCGGTGCGGCCACGACGGGAAAGCGCATGACCTGTCATGCGCGAGCATGCTGCTGGAGGTCACGTCCAAAGGAGCCCCCATGGAGATGGGGCTCATAGAGCTGTATGATCCGTACGAGCCGTACATGGTGATGTGTTGTTGCGGGCTACCTGGGGTAGCTTGGTGAAGTTGATGATGTTGAGTGATGGTAAAGGTGACGCTTTGAGCTTTCTTTGATTGCTTCGTAAGAGGCGAGCCAGAGGGGAGTCGATGCCCCAACGGTGTCGATTATTAGCTGCTTTTTGGATTGAAGAGGACGATCAAGGAGAAGCGGGTCGTCAGGGGATAGGGGGGCAAGATATATATAAGAATGAAAGCTGGGGGATCTGGTGTCAACCTGACAGGATCCACGGGCGGGGGGTGGGATGAACGACACGCTCCCGTCTTTTGTTTGGTGGGTCGCGTCCGGCTCCCGTTCCGGGTGTGCGGTGAGAGTCAGAAATGTCCTGCAAGGTTGCAAGGGTATTTGGGGCTGGATCCTAACTCCCGGTTCCTGAGAGATCTCGGCGGTAAGAGGGAGTGCCTAAATCGGAAGAACCGGGGGGTGAGAGGTGGAGTGGATTAGGGAAAGGGGAGTGTGGAATGTGAAAGTGTGTGTGTGTGTGTGCCGCGGGTTGGGGGGGGGGGAGCCAGCTGAACCGACCTCGTGGAAGGGAAAACGGTTGCGGGTGGGGGTACTTTCCCGACGGGACTTAGGGGTTAGGGAGGGGGAAGGGGAAGGAACGAGTCAAGCCGCCCCCGGAATCAATACCGAGGTCACCGCCCTGGCGAGACCAACTGAGTCACGGTAGATCCGAGGGCCAAGGGAAGAAGAAAAGGGCCTGGCAGAAAAACGAAGCTACGAGTAATAATGAGACGTTGTAACGCTTTTCTTTTATTGATAGGGTATGCACTCGATCCTCGGGCTGGAATGTCATTATTTTCGTACAGTTGGCAATCGCCATCACACTTTCCACACCTCGTAGGCCGTACAAGTCTGGTCTTACCGACCCAACCGATACCGGTGTCTACGTGGCAAGCTGTTCTATAGCGAAGATGGGTGTAAGAAATTCAGGTGAAAGAATGGATGGATGCCTTAATAATAGTTGGGTGGTATTTCAAGCTTTTGGCGGTGAGGCGAACAGGGTTTCAGATAGGCGGTATTGTTGATGACGCGACAACGTCAGATTCGCAAAGATTACTGAGATGAAGATCCAAAATCAGGGAATACATAGGGCCCCAATCTGGCGGGACGCGTCACAGGTCAAAGCAACGTAAGGTACATAATAATGTACATTGTGCGATAATACGTACTTTGTATATACCCCATGCAACAGCAAAAACCACGACAAAGAGAAAAAGAAAGAAAAATGGCATAGGGGCCAAAAAGGGGGAGATGGAAAAATATGAAAAGCAACAGGTGACAAGACGGTCAAGCAAGCAACCATCATCCAGCCATCCAACCATCAATCGGTGAAGAATCCAATCATTCATTCCAAAATCTCATCTAACAGCTGGCTCCCGGTTGTACTCTATAAGTGAGAGTCATGCTTGACTGAGTTGATGATCTGGGCCATCACGAGCCAGTCAGGTTGCTTTTGAGGTATGGTATGGATAATTAGTGGTCGGATACGCACAGAAGCAAGCCCAATACAACTAAGAGAAGCGGTGATTGACCTGACCGCCTCCTAATACTGGGGGAGATTGCTAAAGCCTCCCGTCGGAACGCAGCCCCGGGAATGGCCTAGGCTCGTCGCAGGAGGGAATGATAGGCTATAGTGCGGACGGCTGTACCCAAGTCTCCCCGCTAATAAAACAGCCAGGCGAAACACTGTCTCATCAGCACTTCGTAGTTCATCTACCAAATACATACGGTTTCCAACCACCGTCCCAGGGATAGTAGGTCGGCTACCGTTTCCAGTTTCCAATCACTGGGAATAGGTACTGGGAATCTGGAACATGCTGGGATGGCATGGGCCTTACATCCATCCCTACGGAGTAAGGCAAGGAGCGCACGGTGAAGAAGAAAAAAAGAAATGAAAGTGAGTGACCGGAAATCTAGGGGTTATGTGCCCCGGATCCGGGGAGGTCCCGCGAGGCCTGCTGGACGGCGGGCCTTGATTCTGTTGCGAGTCGCGGTCTATGGGCAAAGCCTGGGGTAGGTAGATCATCCCCCTAAGGTACCTTAGGTACCTAGGTAAATAAATGGGCATGCGACTTCGTGCCTATGTAGGTACCTACCTTATGTACTCTGTACGGAATACCCACCTCCATCAGATACCTACCTAAGGTACGGTAATAATGACCTTACCTAAGGTATAGTGGGTACGTGTCTTCTCCAGATCCGTCCACGACCGCTGGAACGTAACGCCTGAGGAACACAAGAGCTTGACGTTAAGAACGTTATATCTATCCGTGCTGCGTACCGAACCGTTTCTCCACATTCAACGGACAGGTAAATACGCAGTACCTTACTTCGTACATACCTAGGTACATACCTTGAGTACCTTACCTTCCGTAGGTACCTTACATACGGTACCTTATATTGTTATACAGAACCTTGTCCCCCACTCGACCCGACCGTTACGAAGCAATCACAATATACGGAGTACGTACCTACACTTCACCGTATTGAATCTTGCCCCGTTTGTCCCACTTGTTTGTTGCACGGGGAACTCGGAACACCTGATGTGACAAGGGACGCATGTTACCGTCCATGCTCTTCGTATCAAGGGATGGATGCGAAGGAAATATTGGGGGAACCGGTCGCTCCAGACCTCAGTCACCCCTTTCCCGTTGGCAACGAACCCCCAACAGCCAAGATTAGGGGGAGGAAAAGAAAAAAAGAGCAAAAGCTAAAGAAGGGGGTGTTAAGGTAAGAAGAAAGCTGACCAAGGCACCCACCATCCTATCCTGTATTTGCTATTTGCAGCGATCAATACCCTATTTCCTATTTCGGGCTATGTTGTACTGCACAGGAACAAGCCTATTATACTTGTTCGTACTTCTTACCGCGCATCCTCCAGGAATATTCCTCTTTATTTCCCACCTCTTCACATTCTCTCCTTTATCTATCGCTTATCATCTGTCAACTCTCTTTTATTTTCGTGTTTGTTTGGTTTCGTTCTCGGATTTCTGCTTAATGGATCTTGGTCAATCACAGCCCGCGTTTGCAACATACGGTTCTTGTGGGCTCAAAGTTGCTTAAGTTGCCTTGAGAATTCCCACGACGAGTGGCGTGTAGAGGCCTCTATTTCGTCCCTTTTATCCCAGGAACTCCTTGTCCGTTGTCGCTTCAACATAGGCGATAATATGGCTTCGACCACACCCATCACATTGCCGTGGTCAGCCGTCCAACACCAGTAACTATCAGTCACCAGTAGCAGTTACCAGTGATAGCCTGTGCGAGTTGGCGACTGCGGTCAGCCATGATACGCAGGAATGAAGAATGAATGGGAATTCCAAAGGAGGTCCGGGTGTCTGTCAGGTTGCGACGTTACCACATCAGCGTAGGCATTGCTTACACTCCATTTTGATTGGCATTCAAGCTCGACGTATCGTATCCTTCGCATATTAGTATCTGCCCCCTTCTTCACTTGTTCACTCCTTGTCATCTTGGGTCCCCGAAGCTGCCGCTCGGTGCCGCTCGGGGGAGACTCTGCAACCAACCATCACAAAGAAGTCTATTCTCGTCACCAAAGGGCGATAATCCTACCAGAAGGGCGCTGATCCTGTTTTTCGCCCGTCTGCCAAAGTGCTTCTCAGTCAAAGTTGAGGCCTCTCACGGTGCTTTCCCTCTTTTTTTCCCTTTTTCCCTTTTTTATTTTTACACGCCCTGCTAGACCGCCACATGGGATGAATGAAATGTATGGACCCGATCGACATCCCTTCTCGAGGCCATCCGTCGCAATGCCGGAGTCGCATAAACAAACCGAGATGCGGACAGCCATGGTGCATACGTTGTAGACTCGTCCTCTACTCCACGAGGTATGTATCAGTAGCCCAGTCTGCCATCATTTTCGAGCTTCTCGACCTTCCTGGGACGGAGTGCTCCGTGTCAACAATGCGATGACCTCCCTCCAGGCAGCAAACAGAGAACAAAGCACATGTCAGCCACGGTTGAACTTCGGGACTCAGAGCCAGAACGGTTCGGAGGTGGTAATTAAGAATATCCCCTGCCAGGGATACTCCGTACTTTTTAGGTGGGTACTTCACATGTTCGTCAAAATACACATGGGCGGGCTTACGTTGTACGTGTATAGACGCCACTTCCCGGATGTCCCGTTAGGTGCGAAAGTTGTAAACGGCCTTGCCTGAACACATCAGATAGAAATGCCGTACAAATCTTACGGAGTTATCTTCTTCCGCTTTTCGCTTTTCACGAACAGCTCGGGACGGCAACGTTTGAAGACAGGTTCGAATACTATCTGTACGAGGTATTTTTCGCGGTCCATGGATCTCCGGGCTAGAACAACTGCCCCCAGTCCAGGGATCAATAACGTACAGTCCCGGACCGGGATACCCTTCTAGCTTCTGGAGTGGATATTCCACGCGCTGGCTGTGTCGGGGTTGCGGAATTGCGGTACGATGATGGAGTTGCGTGCCGGCTATTCTTCGCTCCCTCGGTGAACCCCGGCAAAGCTTCTCTCACCTGGCAAAGTCCGTCTGCAAATTTCCCTTCTCTACGAAGTAAACGTTCAACCCAGGGAGCTATTTGCTTATCGGTTCACCCTTCTTTCCAAATGATCGATTAAAAAGCGCTGCTGTTAGTTGGTGCGACAATAGCGAGGTGACCCAAAGTTGTCACCTTTGCTGCTATCTGGTGAGTGGGTGCGGACTGCTGTGAATGCTTTATAAATATCGTCAATACATGTACACGTGTAGTATCCAGGCATCCGCCTCGCAGATGATGACGATCGGTTCGCGAGCATGTGAACCCCGGGATTTCTTATTACCAATATCCTTCATTACAACATTCAGATCACCTTGTCCGTAATCGGTCACGGAATATAGGGGGTGGTCGCCAAGCTTCCTACCCCTCAGCCATGTGCGCAAAATCTTGCTGCGAAGAGTCCGCCGGCCCGTCTCAGTATCCCTACCCCGTCCAGTGAGATGAGGACGGAGAATGCCAGCTCCAACCCTGACCAGCCTATGTCAAGTGGGGGTGCCAAGGGGTACATCTGAAATGAAATGATCTCGGTGAAGGACTCCGTGCTTGGCTATGGGCCATGGAGTGGTAATAAAAACACGTGGGATGAAGGATTTCGGACGGAAAGGAAGCGAATGTTCCTTCCAAGGGCCTTCGCGACGCTTTTAGTAGATGCCGCGAATCCTCCAAGTGGCTCGGCTCCTCCAAGGAGGCAGGTGCTTATTATTAAATATATAAGGTACATATCCTAAGAAGTGCAAAACTTTAGGTACTTCCCGTCCTATGCGAATATCGCTATCAGGCATGGTTCTGCGGGAACTGCCGACCCGCGACATGCAGCGTTACCCTACCATGTTTTGGGATAGGGAGTTAAGGGATGATATGTACATACTTACATACCAACGTATGTACAACGTACATACGCGAAGATGCACAGAATGTCAACAATCCCGCATCCCACGCTCGCGATAATACTTGCCTGTATCGCCACACCCCCTCCTTAAGAAAAGGTAGCAGTTGCGCTTAAAGGGGCACGATGTTGCTGCCACCACGGGCAACTATGTAATCCCGCTTCCTATCACAAATTTTCGTTTCGCAATCACATGTGGGCAGGCTTAAAGTCCCCATCACTTGACGGCATCGCTTGACTGCTAAAACCCCCACGACTTAGAACAACCAGACGTTGTCGAGTGGTGTGGGGTCTTGTTGGTTGTCACATGGGGGGGTTTTGTTCCTCTGGCGCTCTTATCCTCTATGACCTGCCAGAATCGGCACATGGTTATACAGTGACAAACTACAGCTGTTAATTGGAAGTCGAATGTCACAGCGACTGGTTTACTCGCAATACCTATTCTGTCGTAAGCGGAAGGTCCTCTTTTTTCTTCCTTTTTCCTCCTTTTTTTTTTCTTTTTTTGGTTTAACTGGCATCGCTGGCATAGGCTGCATATGGTGCTGGGTTTGCCGTCCCGTGTTTGACCGCCGGGATCGGACGCACGTTTATGCACCTCGCCTTCTGTCATAGAGGGCTTGATTGACTCATCTCTTCGCGGTTAGTATGTTTCGAAGCAAGCCCACCGACAAGAATTATGTACTGGAAAACTCTGCGTTGCGGTCCGTTGCTGTTGATTTGCAGAATGCCTTGTTGCATCTTGACCGCCATGTCACTCGTAAAGGATGGAAGAACGTATCGACCTGTCGAAAAGCAGAACACTAGTCTCACACCTACCCCGACAGTATGTCACGAAAACTAGATCCTCTGAGGACTCATCTTCTTTGTCTGTTGGCTGCTGTCTTGGCAGTCTCTGACTCAAAAAGTCGGAAAAGAAAATCAGGTTAATCGTCTGCGCAACGGGATCGTGGGGCTAGCTCTCCCGTCTGTCCGCCTTCTTCGTCGTATGCCTAGAAATGCAGCTGGGCACGTAACTTGGTGGCTAATGATTGCTATGGGAGTACGTTGTAATTACGAAGTAAAATCATCAAAGACTAGAGGGCCGAGCTGAGTTATGCGGAGGACCGCTAATTACTCAGAATAATCAGAGAACGGTCTCCGTTGACTGCAAGCCCTCGACGCAAGGCAGCACGTAATTGATCTAGCATCAAAGCTCGTGGCCTCCGCCCCACCGCTCCGATTTGACTCGTTCACTGCACCACGTTCCCCTCTTCCGGGCGGGGAAAGAAAAAACGAGGGACGGGTTTGGCTTCTCCCCGCTGGAAAGAACAGGGGAAGACTTCTGTGGTTCTTCTAGGGCAGCGCTTTGACGCACATACAAGGTTTGACGCATGTGGAGTTGCCCTCCATCCGAAAGATTCGCGGCGTCGGGCCGTTAATGATAAGTGGAACGTCCGTTGAGGGCGAGGATTCCTGTCTTCTCCCCTTCTAGATCCTTGCGTATGATCAGATTCCCCAGACGAACGAGTCATTCAAGACGGTGAGGTCCGATGGCTTGTCAATGTCCAAACTCGACGACTGTTCATAACCTCGTTCGAATGGTCAAGGGACATCGAAGGGAACTGGGCGAGTGGGTTTGCGACACCACCACCCAGCCCTTCACACATGTTCCAGGGATGTGAAGTTTTCTAGCAGGCATCTCTACCGTAGGAGTGGATAGGGGATTCTGTCGTTAAGGAAACCGAACACTTCGAGTTCCCCATACATATTCTCCCCACTTCGAGTTCCCTATACATATTCTCCCCACTTCGAGTTCCCTATACATATTCTCCCCACTTCGGGACAAAACGTGTCTGGCGGGAGAGCCCATGGAAAATGTCCACAGTCGATGGCCGGACCAAGGACTCTTGGTCTGCACGGCACCGTTGCTGGCTTTCCGTTTACTCAACCATCCATTTATTATTAGCCGCTGAGGCGTTCCTCTCCCTAGTGGGATCGCGGTGAGTCGAAGACCGGGAGCATGGTCTGGGAAATACGAATAAGCATTTACTCCCGGACACGTCTCGAGGATCCCGGGCCTGTAGGACCAAGTCTCGTTGGAAGGCTGGTCAAGAACACCTTCCTTGCCCCAGCGATAGTTGTCACTGGCGTGTTTTCGAAGGCCCATCGACACGTAGAATAAACCAGTTATTTCCTTGCATACGTGGCGAGGGATAAACACAAGGCCTGAAGGATGTCTTCACTGGGAGAATATACCAATTCTTCCAAAGAGGACCCGAGAGAATGAGAGCGATGCTCGACACTAGACTGGACATTCGTCCATTCTGTAGCCGAGGTGACCATGGTCATCCTGAATGGGACGTTCTCACTGGAGACATGGTTGGCAACATGCAAATCCACAAACTGGCCATTGAATCAACAGTCTTGCCTAACCAGACGAATCTGCAGCATCTCTCCGCCGTATCTTCTTTGTATTAGGTTGTGGGTTTCGGTTATCTCGAGACGTCATTTCACGCTGGAAGGTTGAGACATCTCCCTGTTTATTTTCGAGTTCCAAAATTGACTTGCAAGACGTCGACTAGTTTGCGTTTCAGCGAAACATGGGAACTCCGGAGGAATTTCATCTCTCCTCCTTTCCTTCTCTGGACCGACGGTTCGTTGAATAGGGGAGCCCCAGCCTGGCAAGGGGTCAAAAGATAAGAGTAACAGATGAATCGTTCCAGTCGACTCTGCCATGACTGCTGTCCGTAGTTAGATTTCGTACCGCTCTTGAATCCAACGACAGCCGAGGTAAATGTTGCTTTCCCATTGTACTCGGTGGCACAGTCGAGCTGTTGGCCTAGAGCCACCTGTCCAGTAACCCGATAGCAATGGAGGTAATGCACCTAAGATATACTCCTCACAGCGCCATGTATCCTAGGAGAGTGCCCTAGCAGTCATGAAGAGGCCTTAGGGATTAGCTTTGCGGGACGTCATGCTGATGAAAGGTGGTTGCCTATTGAAGTTTGAGGAGATCCACCTGGGATAAGATCAGGTATACGCCGTGGGAGAGGAGAGAATAGCAAAGATGTCTAGAGATAATATAACCACCGCCGTCAACTGTTGTGAATATGTGAAACTTATTTCTTCATTGATATCCTTGCGGAAGAATGGAACTTTGTTCGAGTGGTAAATTGACCTCGCCCGCTTACGATCGCAGCCATGGTCGCTTGACGAAAGAGAAGATTTTAAACATCCAAATCCAATGCGACGCCTCAGAGTCTGCCGATCGGATCAATGGAATCTATAGACGCTGGAGTGCCGAAGCATCGTGAATAAACCATCCATCTGATAAGAAGCGCGATGACAAAATCAGTCGGTAAGGTAGCGACTAGTAGATGTCAGCGCACGCAGAGGCACCCTTCGCTGCCTTGTCGCTTTTTGTTCTCATCTCCGAGTTCTGCTCCCCTCCATGGCTGGGCAACCAAATGGGAAAACAGTAAAAACGTCCGAAAAATGCACAATCCAGCCCAGTCCCATAACGCCGGGCACCCTGCAAACAGAACTTGCGTATATCAGTATATGCGTGTACACCTCGAAAATGAAGGGAAATATGGCAAATAGCAGCCACAAAACACTCTCAAGCCCAGTCTTAGCTCCGAAGTGCCTCCAGCCTTTCGCGCATTTGGCTCATCATAGCCTCTGCGTCCTCCTCGTCTTCTTCCTGCGCGGCAGCGGTTTCGGCCTCGACTGGCCTGGGTTCCTGGGAGACAGGGACGGTGGGAAGCTTTTCGCGGGCAGCGGGGCCACGGTCCTTGAGGATTTCGCCGAGAACCTTGTCGATTTCGCCTTCGCCTTCGGCGTCCTCAGTGAGACCATCCATGTCCTCGGGGAGACTCTCGCCAACCATCTCCTCGATAATGCCCGCCTTCATGAGTTCAACGCTAAGCTCCTGCATGGTTCCGGCAAGTTCGGGAAGACGGATGAGCGAGTTGATATCACGCATAACGCCAACGCTGGCACGGATGCTCCCCTCTATCTTGCGGACGGCAAAGGCCTCGTTGACCTGCATCTGAACGCTGTTGAGCTGTGCTTTGGATGTCACCAAACGATTGCTCGTTTTCCGCGCTCGGATCAGTTCCCTGGCAAAGTCGCGCGCCTCTTTTTGCGCCTGCTTGGCCCGCTGTGGCTCTCGCTGGGCGCGCTTGTCGGCTTGAACGATAAGGCTCTTCGTCTTAGCTTCGACTTGCTTGACGGAGGCGATGTCTCGATCGAGTTTTCGAATGTTCGAGCGGATAAGCGCGTTGCATTTTCGGAGCTGTGAGCACCGAAAGTACATATGTTAGCTCCAGCTCATGTCGGAGGCCGCAAATTGAGTGAATCCCTCATAGATTTCGACATAATGCCGGAGGAGATCTTTCCATCGCGCAACGTACTTGTGCCTGAGGGTCCGGTTTGGCAAACATGGCCCGGAGTGTCTCCATGTTGGGCGACCAGGCCTCTGAAACTGCCTCTAGCGTTGTTCAGAATATCGAAAGCAAAAAGATGCTACTTGATATAGATACTTTAGGAGAGCGGCAGGACGAAAGAGACTCAGTTGATCGTCTTCAGCTAGTGGATCGCGAAGTGGACCGTGAGGTGGTTCGTTTGCTGGAGGTTCAAATCGAGGCTCGACGGGTGGTATTCGCGACTAGGCAGGACAAGGGAGGCTAGCTAGACGTGAAGTGCTGGGTAGTGAAATCGGAACTGCCCGTGAAATCAAGCAGTTCAGAAACCCTGGAGCGAATTGGCATGAAACCTGTTGAGCAGCGGCCTTCGTACGGCGGGGCCAATTGGTCCCCGCGTCTTGGCTTGCCTCGGGAGGTTCCCTATCAGCTCCGATAATGGCACGTCAGCGAAGCTCACAGACAGTCCAGGCTGACACATGAACTACAGGTACCTAGGGTAGGTACCGCAGGAGAAATCTGTTTGTCCAACTCCGAGGGAGAACGTCATAACAAGATACATCATTCCCAGTAGAAGCAACATGTAAATGGTAAGTACTTCTCGATCATGAAGGTGGGGCTGGTGAGCAACGGGGACTTCCCTCAGCCCTGTCGTTTGCTACCTCCGGTCTGTATTCGTACCGCATCTTCGACTTTCTTAGACTTTCTATGGAAGCTTCCGGCACTCTCTCCAGTAGCAACTGCCCCCGCTATTTGAGAATCACATCTCGATCATCGCCTGCCTTACCGCCTGCCACCACCTGGGCCCGCCGTTTTTTTTTGCCCGTTCTCCTGTCCTCTCTTCATATTCAAAAAAGTCCTTCAATCTAGATCTGGCATCCTCTTCACCTCTAACGGAACTGAACTCAACTCAATTCATCCAGCTGCCGATCCCGGCGCTCGTGTTCTGTGCATAGCTACGTCAATACGCAACCCCTCTGCCACACTTTGTCATATTCCTTTCGCACTATAAGAGCTTCTCCCTACAAAGAGAACCTCTGAACAGTTCTTCGCAATGGCTACCACCGCTACCCCCGCTACCCCCGAAGGTAAGCAGCTCTGACGTGCAATATAGATGGGATGGTTCTGGAGGAAGCTGCGGTACGAGCCTTGCTGGTGTACCATGCATGGCCGCATCCTAATGCTTGCTACTGGCTCCTAAACATCAAGCGACCATATTGGCTACATATGCTGATCGTGCTTGTGCTTCAGTTCTCTGGGCCCAGCGCTCTAGCGCCACGGATGCCTCCAAGAACTTCATCTACCTCACCATCTCCGTCCCAGACATTCCCCCGTCCAACCTCAAGCTGGACCTCAAGCCCCAGGGCCTGTCGTTCGAAGGCCACTCCGAGACTCTTAAGAAGTCGTACAAGGTTGACCTCGAGTTTTACGCCGAGATTGATACGGAGCAGAGCAAGGTCCACCACACCGGAAAGAACGTCGAGATGAAGCTTCAGAAGAAAGAGCTCAAGGAAGAGTACTGGCCCCGTCTTCTCAAGGACTCCAAGAGGGTCCACTTCCTCAAGACCGACTTCGACAAGTGGGTCGACGAGGACGAACAAGACGAGGCTCCTGAGGACGACTTCTCTCAGTTCGGCGGCATGGGTAAGTGACTCCGACTATTTGATTCTGCCGTTCCAGTTCCTCACCGGGCGAAGACTAACTTGGCCGTTTTATAGGTGGTATGCCCGGTATGGGAGGCATGGGAGGAGGCATGGGAGGTATGGGAGGCATGGGAGGCATGGGAGGCATGGGAGGCATGGGAGGCATGGGAGGCATGGGAGGCATGGGAGGCGACTTCGGCGGCATTGACTTCTCTAAGCTTGGCGGCGGCGGAGACTTGGGCGGAGACGATGACGACGATGACGACGATGACGATATGCCCCCCCTTGAAGGCGAGGAGGAAGAGGAGGTTGGGGAGAACAAAACAGCAGATACCAGCAAGGGCGATGCCGGTAAGGAGGGCGCTGTCAAGGACGACGGCGACAATGCCGCGAAGTAAATTCCGTCCCTGATTTTACAACCCACCACTACATAACGACCACACATGTTCTCATGCCATGCCTTTTGCCATGCAATGCGAAACGGAGACGGAGGAGACTCGCGGTCGAAGCTCCCACCGCAACACCGGCGCCTGTATCGGTATGAATAAGGTCAGCCGGCATTGTGCGAGTGAGACGGATATCTGAGATATTGTAATTCAAAAAATATCTATTCGGCGCATGAATTGCCTCGTGTGCACAAACGATCTCCGATCTCATCTGTTGTTCATTAATTCCTCCCTGCTTCCGGGAAAGCGCGCAGCTGCATGGGACTCAAACCAATACAGAAATAAATGAATGTTTTGACCAACTTCGAACATGACTGTCCTTGCTAATCGATCCATAGGCACCAAGCCGTTCGTTCTCCGTTCCTACTTCAGCCAGCCCACCACCAAGTTATGGGCCAAGCAGCAGCAATGTTAAAGAGAAGCCTACAAAGTGACCGTGTACCCAGTGGCAAGTGGCAGTCTCAGTCGGCGATATTAGTATTTGGATGGATTAGTGATGATAATAATACAACTTCCGCCGCCACCATCGACATCAAACACGAGTAGTACCATGCCTAACTCAGCTAGCTACTGTGAAGAACAAATCACCCATTCCGTTCCCTGAAATTGCCAGACAGCCCCATTCTAAAGTCTGCGAAGATGTGGCACAATCTGAATCCTCCCTTACTGACCAAATGGAAAAAAGAACGACAGCCTAAGGTCTCCTGCCTTGTTCTGGCTGCCCGACGACAAAAGATAAGAGGAAGCGAAAAACGGCCAGAAGTCAAGTCTAACTATGTCCCAGGTCATCCTAGGCCTGTTTCTGACTTCGTCTTAACCCTAAGCCATAAGCTGGCAGCCTATGTCTAAGTTCACATAATCTCATCCTCCATGGGCGCGTCGCCGTTTGTAGGAGCAGGAGCAGCTGCGGCGCCATTGGTGTTCTCGGTCGCAGGAGCATTGTTAGCAGATTCAAAGTAGTCGGCCATCTCGGAATCCAGCTCCTCGGCCGTCTTCTTGGCGGGTCTGCTGTTGCGCGGGCGGCGAGTCTTGCGACCTCGAGCACCGGCATTCGCCACAGCACTCTTCGCACCATTAGCGTTGTGCTTATCCGAAGCAGCAGACTTCGGCTGCACCTTGGGTTGCCTGCCGACTTGTTAGAGAAAGTCATGAGTGTCGAGCCGTGGAAGTCTTTGACATACGTGGTGCGCTCAGCGAGGCTCTTCGGCTGTGGGATGACGTTGGCAGCCTGGGCAGCGGCGACAACAATCTCAATCTGGAGAAGTTAGCAGCAAGCACCAACGATACTCTTACAGATCCGACTTACTTTGATGGGGCGACCATCAACCAGAAGACCATTGAGCTTCTGAAAGGCCTTGCTAGCGCCATCCGGCTTGTGAAAGGTCACATTGGCGATGCCGCGGCTGACCGAGTTGGGCCCATAGGAGAGCTCAACCTTCTTGATAGAACCGACCGCCTGGGCAAAATATTCCTGAGGGAAACCCCATGTTAGTATTTGAAAGGGTGGGAAGTAATGTTCGCTGATCGTCGACGCCAAGTTTCGCGGGAACCAAGACCGTCCGAGCACAGGAGTCCGGCGACGAGCAGAGCAGTGAGCGTGAGCAGCGGTACAGCCGAATTCCGTATGGGTCCGATGCCGGCCGAACCAGTAGCAGTGTCCGCCGACACCTCCGGTGACGCTATCCAAAGCAGCCAACAAGCGCTTATCCACCAACACTCCCCTGAAATATCGAGTTCATAGCCAATGCCAACATGCCCCCGGGCGCGCCCATTGATACGCGGCAGATGTCTAGAAGATCGGAACCCATCCGGTATGTATCTATGCAGTATCGACAGCACATCGATCAAGCTCGCTGTTGCTCACTGCTATGCTCGCTAGAAGCCATCATGCGAAATTGCAATCCAATCGGGAGAAAACCCAGATGCCAACTCGTAGCAACCTCGTGTTGGTTATATCGCCTGCATCCCATGTGTCCAGTCTCTGCTATCAGGCTCCAGAGGTGCTGACCAGGCTACCTCGAGTCTCTGACTATGCGCGAGAGGGATACGCTCAACTTCCGTTCATCGCACCATCTTCCAGGTTGCGAAATGTAGGGAAGGAGTTTTGAGGCGTCTCGACAGGCTCCAGCGAGGGGTGGTTGAATCAACATCCTTTTGCGATGTTTCTCGATCTGGCGCCGATAGAAGGGATACGAGCGAAGAAAACAGGCCGAACAGAGATCCAAGGTCGTAGGAGCCTCAACGGCGACATACCTTAATTTGCTGCTCGTTTACATCCTTGGGCTACAGGGTGTTAGCTTCGGTAAAGTTGGTTGCGAGAGGCTTGTAGACTGGAAAGTCTCACCAGGTTGTTCACGATTATCTTGCTTTCACCAGTGTGGGGTGTAGCCTTGGCGGGAGTAGGCTTATTGGCCGCGACGCGCGCGGCCCTCGATGTCTTCTGAACACCGCCAACGGGCGCAGTTGTTGCGGGACGGCCAGCAGACTGACGTTGCGACCTGCGGCGAGTTCCGGCAGACTTGCGACGAGTCGAAAGGATCTCGTCGAGAGACTGGTCGAGCTTGCCTGACATGGTGTTGACGGGTTGGTCGGAATCTAAAAGGGAAATCGGCGTTGCCTTGATGAAAAGGAAAGGCTGTTATGAAATGCTAGCAGCTTGTTGATCGCTGCAGTTGGCGAGCAGCTAAGTAATTATGCCGCCTTGGAGAATGGTCTTGCAGAATGCGTCTGTCTCTTCCGTTGGCTTGGGCGATGAAATAGAATGGTCGAATATTGTGGAAAAAGAGAGTGGGTAGGTTATGTAAACGGTAAAAGCGGTTTGTAACAAAAAGCGCAGGAGAAAGTAGAGCAGAGGAAGGAGATTATTGAATGGGAGAGACTGGGTTGGCTGGGATGTGGATTGATGAGGGTTTGGCAGGAGGGAGAGTTGGGGGAAAGGGAAGGATGCGAGACAGGAAGGAGGCGACCAGCCTTTTCTGCCTGGTCGCGCCAAACAGCCAAACAATGTAATTAGGTGGTAATCAGCTAGATACCTAGGTACCTACAGGCTTCGTGCCTGCCCAACCAAATTCTTCATGTGGGTGGCACACTCTGGTGTTTTTATTTAGCCACCAATGCAGCCAGTACGGTACTCCCGTATCCGTACCTTATTACACGGGCATTGTTTATCATGATTGTGGCTGTGCATCTGTTTCAACGCAGCCAGCAAGGCAACAGATCAAGAGCGGCACCTCCTTACCTTGCACTATAGAAACATCACAAGGGCAGCATCACAAAGAAACGGAATCCCCAACGACGCGAATAAGGTGATGTTGATGGCCTTATCAATGCCACGGTCTCGCGCAGGGGCCTCGCCGAAGCTATCTCGGGGAAAGGTATAGACCCGCATCTCTAAACAGTCCTTGAAAATCACGAAAAGCACCGGTACTCCTTATTCTCCAGCTAGTAGCACACGGTAGCGTAGGGTATGTTCTTATTTGCGCCCGTTCCCCTGCGTGTAGTTGTGCTGCAGGTGATAGTTGCGCCAAATGATGGCTTTCGAGGTATATTGCAAAAGTTTGGTCGTAGTCCACTCCATCTCGTGTGCAGATCAAACCTAGCCGGAAGCTGTGACTTTGGCCGAATTCGTAGCTTGTGACTTCTGAGATGCCTTGCCGTCGTCGTCAGCATTGACTTCCAGGTAGTGGTAGACCACGATCAAGGCCATGGCTGTGGATCCCAGAAAAATGGCCAGTTGATACAGGTCCGAATCGGAAATCATGATGGACAATGTGATCGGTCGTGTGATTGAGGATTTGGCTTGAACTCAAGAGACGGCGGAGTTGGACGGGGGGCAGTGCGTGGGTGAGGTTGAGTGTGGCGAACTGTCTCCTCCGGGCCTATTGAGAGTATAGTCAGCGCTGAAGTCGAAGGTGTTAGAAGCGGTTCTATTGCGTACCTTTGAGTCAGGCGAGGTGCCTACTCCGTGGTTGTGGTTGAATTAATTAGGTGCACGTTGGCAATGGAATCTTGACAGTCCAAGAAAGATGGCTCTAAAAACAAGACGCTCCATCCATACGGGTACTCTGGATCGGTACGGGATAATTACAGGACAGGTTGTTAATAAACAGACCATATGTAGTTATTACGGTTACGTAACGGGTGTCAGATACAGCGTAACTTTTATTTTATTTTATTTATTTTACGCTGTATCTGACACAGTACCTTACTTACCTTACCTTAGGCGCTTGACATACAGTGCAAATATGTTCATTCAGGATATTATTACTGTACCTATCCGTCGAGTACCTAGAACGGCCCCGGTCACCCCGCCTCACGTGACCCTCTGACATGACTTCATGTTACGGGTGAATTTCTTATTTTGGGCTTGGATTAACGGTCACAAATTCCCACTTCTCTGAACTCCTCCACTCCGCCCACATTCGACCGCCATCGCCGCAATAACAACGAAACCTCGAGTTCCATCCTCTGCCCAACTCTGTATCCTCGTCTATTTTGCATTGGCAGCGTATCTGTCAACATTCATCACGATGCCGCCCAAGAAGGTTGAGAAAGGAGGCAAAAAGCCTGCCACCCAAAAGGTTGTCGAGGACAAGACCTTCGGCATGAAGAACAAAAAAGGCGGTGCCGCTCAAAAGCAAATAAAGCAGATTGTTGCTCAAGCAAAGTCAGGTGGAACCCCGGAACAGAAGCGGAAAGAGGCCGAAAAGGCTGAGAGAGCGAAAGAGAAGAAGGCGGCAGAGGATGCCCAGAGGGAGGCGGAGGCACTTCTTAATAAGCCTGCTCAAGTCCAAAAAGTCCCCTTCGGCGTCGACCCTAAGACAGTCGTCTGTATCTTTTACAAGAAAGGCAACTGTGAAAAGGGCAAGAAGTGCAAGTTCTCCCACAACCTCGAAGACGAACGAAAGACGGAGAAGAAGAGCCTGTACCAGGATACCCGTCAGGATGAGGAGGAAAAGAAGAAGACCGAGACCTCAGCGGACTGGGACGAGGAGAAACTCCGATTGGTCGTTCTTTCGAAGAAGGGCAATCAGAGGACGTCCACCGATAAGGTCTGCAAGTATTTCATTGAGGCCATCGAAGACGGAAAATACGGCTGGTTCTGGGTATGTCCCAATGGAGGGGATAAGTGCATGTACAAGCATGCTTTGCCACCTGGGTAAGTTCTTCGTAAAGTCTCTCCACTCCAATGCGTCGTGCTGATGTCTTCTCGTAGCTTTATCTTGAAAACCAAGGAGCAACGGGCAGCGGAGAAGGCTCTGCTGGACAAGTCTCCACTCAAGACCCTTACCCTCGAGGAATTTTTGGAATCCGAACGCCACAAGCTCGTTGCGCCTCTCACCCCGGTCACACCCGAGACCTTTGCGAAGTGGAAGAAGGAGCGCCTGAGCAAGAAGGCGGCCGAGGAACAGGCGAAGCGGGCCAAGGAGGCTACCGGTCGTGCCATGTTCGAGAGTGGATCCTGGAAGTTGGATGACGACTTGGACGACGACGATGATGGCGCATTGAACCTGGAAAAGCTACGCGCGGAAACTGAGGCATTGCGCGAAAAGAAGGAGGAGGAGAGATTGGCTACGCTCTACGGGACTGGTACCGTTGACACCACAGACACACCGAACGGCGAACCATCGGGATCTTGAGGCGACAATAACATGCGACTTACTGCCTAGAAATATACGACGCCGGAACCGCACCGCGCACGAGGCCGATTCCGAGCACCCGCCCTAGCGGGTTCTTTCGGCGGCCCAAAGCGGCATGAATCAGAAGGCGGTCTCTGATCGACGGACGCGTCTACTTGCATCAGACGAACGAAGTATGACTCTTTCCCCAGAAACGAATACTAGATGGCCAATTACACACACCTTCCATCGGAGGAGAACATGTCAAGCTACAGGTCCAATCGACGCCCTCAGACGGCGAGTTGTGCACTTATTCCTTGGCAGCCCATTCTGCCTTCTGCCATGCTTCCCGTGTAGGCTCATCTCCACTGCAGCCGGAATCACTTCAGAATTTTTCTACAAATGGCCGCGTATCGATTTCATGCGTGAATCCGGAGCGATGTTGGATGTGCAGATGCCAATAATCCTCGGCGATCTGTGGCGCCAGTATGTTAATAGAGCTTAGGGAAAGTTGTGCATGGTCTGTTCTGGTTAGTTAGCTCACCTGCTCGGGTTTGATCTTGCCATCTTCGACACCATTGTTCATAACCAGGTCCTTGCCCCAGGGGGTGTCAATCCCTCCGTCGATGATAGCGTGGGCTACATGGACACCTTTAGGGTGAAACTCGCGTGCCAGGGACTGGCCGAGGGCGCGCAGTGCAAACTTGCCAGCGGCAAAGCCCCCGAAGTACGCTGATCCTCTGACAGATGCTGTAGCCCCTGTGATGATGAGCGTCGGGGGGTAAAGGGAGTCAGGGACTGATTCGAGCAGCATTGGCAGGGTCTTCTGTGCGAATGCGAAGAAGCCGCGTCTAGTGGTAAGAGTGAGTGAGTGTGCTCTCTTAAAAAGTCACATCATGTTGGGCACGTACGGCGCGGCGTCAAGGCTGGCGTCCAATTCTTCCAGCTTCAGATCCAAAAACGGCTTTCTTGTGAAGCCACCGTTGACGTTGTAAATGGCGGCAGCGAGCTTGCTGCCGGGCAATGTCTGGCTGATGGTCTGGAAGGCCGAGTCCAAAGCGGCCTGGTCCGTGGCATCGGCCGTAATGCCAATGGCCCGTCCCCCAGAGCTATTGATTTCGGAGACGATGTCATTATAGCTCTCCGGCCTGCGGGCGAGAAGCACAACGGGGTATGCCTTGGCGAAGCGAATAGCGGACGCTCGGCCTTCGAATTCCGTATCAGAGAAGGGTACTGATTTGGAACAAGGTTAGAGAATACGTGCCTGTTCCGGAACCAGCGCCGGCTATGATGGCGTAAAAGGTCTTAGAGGCCATGTTGAAGACGGTGAATCTGCGGATGTGGTTACAGACGAAACTGCGAGAAATTCGGAAGCAAATAAACGATGTTCTGCTCGTTGACAAGGGAGATAGTGGCAATATGGCAATACGGTCGTCAACTGTTGCGGGGGATCACACGATGGTAATCAGAGGAGATCAGCTGCCCACATTCGCCACCTGTTTAACTTTTGTTCCTTCTTAGATACGTAGATATGAGGGGCACAACCTGACAGGTTCCGAGATGGGAAACTGGCCTTGGTTTATACGCGGGAGTAGAGTGAGAGGAAACAGGTGAGATATCAAGCATGGATGACGCCTTCGGAACCTGGAAGTGAATTAATAATTGCGGTTCGTTGTACACTTGAGCTAGGAAAGCCGGATTTGTAATTTCAAGAACTGTCCGAAGTCCGCCGAGATGCTTAGCCCAACATGGTCGAGTTACCACGCGGGTAGTTAGGTAAGGTTTAGGAGTATGCAAGGACAAAAGAGTGACATGTCACATGGTGGAATGACTAGACCCACATAAGGTACATACTTGACAGTTGGTGGTTTTAAGGCTACCTTACTAAGGTACAGTGGGTAAGCAATAATTTCGGTATATTTTAAAGATCAAGTGATTCGTTACTTTTGCAAGATAATATGGGTTTGCCCTGATAGAAAAGTGTTCCCTAAAAGCTTCGAAGCATTCTACTTTAGGTTATCCCGAAACTTTTGCTCACTCACTATACATAATATATGACAAGCACCATATTATGTGTGCTTAGGAGAGGAAAAGAGATATGCTCTATCCTCGGCTAGAGCGTCGGAGATCTGACTACACTAATGTTGTAGTCTGATTGGCTGGTGGAAGTAATCACGTGACTACCCGTAACACGTAATCACCTCGTACGGTACCAGGTACGACACTTTTGGCACTGCAAGTTAATCCGCAGGTCGGTCTCATCCAACTTTAGACGCGTTCATCGCGATAGGCTGACCGACTTCACGTACGTGAACAAGACGAAATTGAACAGGCCACTTCAAACATGCCTCCTAGCCTAGTCAAGAAAAGCAAGCCGAATAATAAGTCCGGACTAGGACAGGGACGACAGTTAGGCCTCGACTCATTTTTCCGCCCCGCTGCTGCGATCAGCACAGGCGCAGGAGCTTCAGCGGCAAAATCGATATCGAAATCAAGCCCTCGTAAACAACGATCACCCTTTCCACCAAATGCCCCCCAAACACCGTCAGGCTCTCGCATTGCCGTTGTATTAGGCTCTCGCCCGAGAACAGGACCCGCCAGCGAGCATCGTCGGGTCGAAGAAGATGCGGAGGACGAGAAATTGACCTCCGATTTCCAGGTCATTTCAGACCTTTCACCCCAGTTTCGTCGCCTAGTCGCCCAGGCTACACAGCCCATCAGTATTGCCAAACCAGTACCGCCAAGGACAACTACGACTACAACAAATGAGTCACAACCACCCGCAAAGCGACCACGAGGTCGCCCCAAGGGCTACCGGCCCAGCCTAGTACGCAAGGGTCTCCAAAGCAGCTCCGGCGGCCCTGCTAGGACTGCAAGCGCCGTTGCCTCGACACTTAGCTCTACTACGGCTGCAGACGACGGCGCAGACGCTCGACGACGGCGCAACCAGGCTGGTACGGTATCGTACATCCAACCCAAGCGGCGCGGGAGGCCGCCCAAAGCGCCGCCGCTGAAGCCGAGGGAGGTCTACGAGTCACTGAAGCCCAACTTCATCCGCTTCGTCTGCGAATGGGAAAGGTGTCCCGCGGAGCTCCACAACCTCGAGACACTGCGACGGCATCTCGCGGTTGTGCATGCGCGACAGGAACCGGCCGCGGGGTGCCGGTACGCCAAGTGCGCCACTGCCCATGATGCCACGGCGGGAGGACACCAACCGCCGTCACCAGGAACAGGGGTTACGCCTACGATGACGGAGGACGAGTTGCGGAGACATCTCGAGGAGGTACACGTCCCGCCCGTGTTATGGCAGGCCGGAGACGGGCCGAGCGTGACAATGACGCTGTACGCGCCGGACGATGGTAGCGGATCGCTGCCGAGGTATCTGTTCGACAAGGAAGGGAATCAGGTCACGCCTTCCGTGCGGGAGCAAAAAGTGGAGGACGTGCTCACGAGGCAGCAGAACCGGCGGAGACTCAAGGCACTATTGCTGCTACGGGACCAGAACTTGCCGAGCGAAGAAGAGGATGGGGATGAGATGGACGAGGGCGGGGGGACGACACATAACTATTTGTCCCCGATGATGACGTACAAAGAAGGTGGAAGATGAACTGACATTCGGCCGCCGTCCCCGTGGCCTCATATGTATTCTACAGCACAGATGAAGTGAGCGTTGGTATGGAGGAGTATATACGTAGTCAAGGGATGATGGAGAAAGGAGACGGGGGAAATTGATCAGCCGATGTATTATTATTCGGCCGTGTCCTTGGATTTTACGATTAATCCTGTTGGCTTATGAAATGCGGCCAACCCTTTCAGCCGGTGAGAGATGGCAAGTGCAGCGGTCTCTCAAGGATGGTTAAGAGCATCATGACAAGAAATCACCGAGCGGTCTCATCACCTAGGACGACATGAATATCTTGAGGTCGGTATTTGGCGAAGAGACGGCAGATAATTACAAGGCGCGTTACTTTGGGTGTGTCTGATTTTGGCGGGTTCGGTTGATGTTAAGATACCGGCACTGAACAGTTTAACATTGAAAGGTCGCTCCATGAATTCCAGGCCACGGCATTCCTTAGCAGAACCATTTCTGCTTTCCGAAGACATGCGTGAGACGGGTGTCCAGTAGGGCAGAAGGCGGTACGATCTTGGTGTCAGTGATTAGGTAACCTGGGTGGAGTCGAGATGACTGTTTCGTATGTGATGGGGCACACAGGGTGGATCTGGCTATGATGCTATCACATCGAACAGATCATGGGAAGAAAAGGCAGAAGAAGGCAAAGAGAAAGACGAGGAGTAGAGAAATGATCGGCTATTAATCTTCATAGTTCTTGCTTAATTAGCATCGGGAAAGAACAGAAGAAGCAGTCATATAATTACTGTAGCCAGTTTGGCAATTGGATGTGTAAGCCAACCAAGGAAGGTGGCTTGAGGTGGATTGAGGTGGTATTCGTACTTCATATGGAGTAATAATGAAGGGAATGTATCCGTACTACACGTGTATATGGAGTACGACTACGAATATCCCGTACTTCGGACGTACCTTACCGTACGCTATGGCGATACGACCTGCTTGATAAGGTAGGGTGCTAGGGGGTGGGCCATGGAAGTGCAACCGTCTTGTTTGACGCTCCAAAATAACCCCACAGGATGCATCACCATAAGGTACCTAAGGCTAAGGTATCGTAGGTACGGTAGTCCGAACTGCGTAACTTTGTACGAAGTAGTAGGTATGGTGTAATTGTTAGTGAAATTCTTATTGTAAGTTAAGGGTAAGGTAGTCTACTGCAAGAATAGAATTTAGGGACCAGAACCAATGGGGAAGCTCAAGAATGCGGTATGCTGGCATATTCCGGGCCCAAGGGAAGAAAGATGGAAGCGAAAAGACGCGTGAAAATGTCCGCCCCTCTCATCTGCCAAGTGGAAGCCCCCCTGACGCTTGGGAAGTTGTCTGGTCTGGATTCCCTGGTCTTTGATTGGTAATACATAGATTTGAATGGCGGTATCAACTACCTCTTCTTACCACCACGCTAGGTCGGGCTGCCGTGTGCCCAGTACCTTCCATCCATCACAGAGCGATCGCGACTTACTTCCAGGTTATTGTCGCCTCCTGGTTGTCACTTGCGCTAAACGAAGTATCTCATTCTCCGTCAAAGTCCAGTCCATTCCCGTCCCCAAACCCAGGTTTCCGACACCCCCGGCCGCCCATCCTGCTTTGCTTCGCATCCATCCTCCCCAGTTGGATGTCCCGCCCACCGCCGTCCATCCATCCCGGTTAATTACCATCCAGCATCTCACCTCCCCTCTTCCCTACCATCACGCTATTCTTCTACCAACTTCCCGCTACCTCTCGCCTCACCCGCAGCATCGGATCGGATCAACCTATTCAGGCATTTGTAATTGCATACATAGCAATCGCCATAGCTGTCACGATCGCCAGCTAGAATTGGACCTGTAGCTTGTTCCATTGGCCCAACGGCTCCCGTTCGACGACCCATCTCAGCTTCCTCGTCTCTTGCCCGAGCCATGGCATCCTCGGTCGCATGACCGCCCCCCTATTTCGAGATGCCGTCCACGAAACCCCACGCCGGAAGCGCATCCTCGCCCTTCAATCAGAAGTTGAAAAGTTTCTTCCGAATCCAAGGCGGCGCGGCCCGGGACACAGCCAGGGATAAAACCTCGCCGCATGGCGGCGTCAACAGTTGTAATTCCAGCCTCAACACCCAGAACGGCAACACCAGCGGCAGCAAGCCCGACTTCAAATCCATCCGCAATACCAGTTTCTTCAAGACCACCGTCGGCCGTCTGAGGTCCACGACTACCCTCAGCGAGGGCAATCCCCTCGATGAGACCCTCAGCCCTACCGCCCACGCCAATCCCTACTTCGCCCATCAGGGACAGCCTGGCCTACGCCATCACAATGACGGCTCCGTGCCTCCTAGCCCGCCCGACACCCCCAGTCTCATCATCGCCAAACCCGGCTCAGCCAGCAATTGTGCCGATCCGAGTCAGCAACCCACAAATGCCACCCGCGAGGAGTTAGCCAGGAAGCTTAGGAGAGTCGCCAGCGCTCCCAACGCCCAAGGCCTCTTTTCCAAGGGCAAAGGCGCCGCCGAACGCCCTGCCACTGCTGAGCTCGGCAAGGATCCCCTCGTCGTGGACAAGAATTCCGGTACCCTCGAGCTTGTCGGTTCATCCGGTGCTGCCGCCTCCTCCACGACTGCCGGCCGTACGGCCACCTCGTCGTCCACCGCCTCGGCTCTTCAAACTCATCCCGACCATGACATCCTCACCACACTGCCTCCACCCGTCCCCAATCCCCTCGCTTTCCGGAGGACCTACAGCTCGAATTCGATCAAAGTTCGCAACGTCGAGGTTGGACCCGAGAGCTTCGATAAAATAAAGCTCATCGGTAAAGGCGATGTCGGCAAGGTCTACCTCGTACGGGAGAAGAAGAGCGCCCGCCTCTATGCTATGAAGGGTGCGTTTTCTATTTGTCCATTTTGTTTTCTTTACTTGACTTACGGCTGGCTTCCTTCCTACCTTTCTCTTTTCTATTCTTCATTTTCGACAACCTCTTCCTCCGCCTTACACCTCCGATAGCCTTGCTCTGTCATATCATTGTGACACGAATGATCCTTTACTAACCTTGTGTTGCATTTCGACAGTTCTTAGCAAGAAAGAGATGATCAAACGAAACAAGATCAAGAGAGCCCTCGCCGAACAGGAAATCCTAGCCACGAGCAACCACCCTTTCATCGTCACACTGTATCATTCCTTCCAGTCGGAAGACTACCTCTACCTGTGCATGGAGTACTGCAGCGGTGGCGAGTTCTTCCGCGCTCTCCAAACCCGGCCTGGGAAGTGCATCCCCGAAGACGATGCCCGGTTTTACGCCGCTGAGGTCACCGCGGCCCTTGAGTACTTGCACCTCATGGGCTTCATCTACCGGGACCTCAAACCCGAAAGTGAGTCGCGACTCGGGGACTTGATCGAACATGGGGGGGGGGTTTCGCCAGCGCAACGTCTTCTAACCTGACTCGTCAGATATTCTCCTCCATCAGTCCGGTCATATCATGCTTTCGGACTTCGATCTCTCCAAGCAGTCAGATCCGGGCGGAAAGCCAACCATGATCGTCGGCAAGAACGGAACAAGCCAGTCTTCGTTTCACATCGATACTCGATCGTGTATTGCGAACTTTCGAACCAACTCGTTTGTCGGTACAGAGGAGTATATTGCGCCCGAAGTCATCAAGGGTAGTGGGCATACCAGTGCGGTGGATTGGTGGACGCTTGGCATCCTGATCTACGAAATGCTATACGGCACCACCCCATTCAAGGGCAAGAACCGTAATGGGACATTTGCGAACATTCTCAGGGAAGATATCCCGTTCCCGGATTCGGCTGGCAGCCCTCAGGTCTCCAAGTACGTTTCGGCAGTTGCAGATCAGAGGTCTCTTTACCTTGTGGAACACCAACTGACTCTTTCTCTCTTTGTTTTCCTGTTTAGCCTATGCAAGTCCTTGATCAGGAAGCTTCTCATCAAGGACGAACACCGAAGACTCGGTGCCAAAGCCGGCGCCTCGGATATTAAGGCACATCCTTTCTTCCGAACCACGCAGTGGGCGCTGATCCGGCACATGAAACCACCCATCATCCCCAGCCAGGGCCGCGGTATTGACACGGTTAACTTCCGTAACGTCAAAGAGAGCGAGAGTGTGGATTTCACCGGAACTCGTCTGATGAATATCAAGGGTGTTCCCTTGGACAGTGGACTGACCACTCCCGGCGGCGAAGTGGTAGACCCCTTTGAGGAATTCAACAGCGTTACCCTTCATCACGATGGGGACGATGTCCATGGTCACGCTCACAGCTATCACCACTAGTCATAGTATAACGCCCAAAAGCAAATCTCCAGACTCGATGCCCAAAGAAGGTTTTACAGTCAAAACCTCCCTGCATGGTTCAGCACCGTTACGAAGAAAGTAAAAATCATCGTCCACCCAAGGCACTCTCTGCCCAGGGTAGGGGTCTGATGTCTCCGATTATCTTTGGCTGTTCCTGAAGGCGAAAACGAAAAGGGATTCTACAGGAAGAAAACAAATGCGTTTCGGCTATTCATTACCATGCTACCGACGTTCATTTAGATTTGGTTTCGATCTGAAGGAGCCAGGGAGCACCACTCGCGAGTGTGTTACAGATGGAAAGGGGGTTGGGTGGCACAACCGCTCACAGGTATCACGGCGGCCAGCGTCGGAGTGGCAACCCCCTCCTTTCACGCATTTCTCACGCTAGCATTGACCTCGTGTTTTTTTCTTTTCTTCTTTTTTTTTCGTGACTATCGTAGGAGTTAGCTGTGTCTGGCGTTTCTTTTGAGGAGACTATGCAAGAAAAGAGGAAAGAGGAGAGAAGAAGGGGTTGGGAACTGGGTCTTCGTATGGTGGTCCTCCCCCACCCTGCCATTGTACACGGAGAAACATAAAACATTTGTGCGGATTTAGAACCTTGTTGTTTGTTCCTTGCCTTTCTCTTCCATCGCATCGCAGAGATTCATCCCAGAACCGCTGCGAGGCGTTGCCTGGTGTCTGGGAAACAAGTTATTACACCTGCGGAGTAAGCCAATGTTGAGAACAAACGGTCTCGTCTGACGAATGATGCGGAGACGCTGTGGCATCTTGTCACTCCCGAGGCGTTTGCGGCTTCTTCCAAGTCCATTTTGTAGGTAGTCTGGCCGGACTTAATACCTTGGTGGCTGCACCGGGAGGCCGGGCCAAGCTGCGGCCTGCAGCAGTGGCCTATCGATTGTGGGGTTTAGCTGTTTGGCTGCCAAAAAGGTACGGTACCTCTGATGCACCACTCGCGGGGTAGAAAGCTCACACTGCACCCCTTCCCCGTACCTGCCTTAAGCTTCTAGGTAAGGTACCCAGTTCACTCAGAACGCGCCGAGTCCGAGTTGATCAAGAGCACCGCGCTTCCATATCCCTTCACTGTTCCTCTCATAGCCCGGCGTGTGAAGAGGATAGGCTGAGCATCGTCATGGATATCAGTCACGACTCGAATTTGCTCACGCAGCCAGACCTGACACCTCTGGAGCAGGAGGTCCTCGAGGAATACGAGAAGCTCGCAGAGAACATGAAAACGGTATGCTAACGTCTTGGAATGTATTCAATCTACTTTTCTCTTCTGCTTTGCTTTTCATTTTCAATCACCTTCTCCTCTAACTTGGGCTGGGGGCTCTCTCCCGTAGCTGGCTTCCATCCTCGATACCCTCGCTACCCAACCAAGCACCGAAATCCTCGACGGCCTCCGCGAGTTGGAGCGCAAGACAAGTCTCGTATTCACACTGCTCAAGGCTAGCGTGTACAGCATTGTGTTGCAGCAAGAGATTGATTATGGCGGTCAGCCGGGTGGTGGGACCAGTGCCGAGGAGGATGGCTGATAGTTGAGACGACGGCGACGGGCACTACAATAGGCGCAACGAAACTTGTAAGACACGCCTACAGACCATGATATTTGCGAGAGAGGCACAGAGGAGCCCCTTCCCGAACCCCTCCCGCCCAAGTGTCTTCCGATGACATTGCGATGTGAATCTATCGACAGACAACCCGCAACAATGGCGAGAACCATGAACAACATCGCGATACGGCGAGTTTACCAGGCGACGACATAGAGAGGAAAGAAAACAAGACGAATAGTCGGTCACCCACACGGACCATGATATCTGTGAAAGCGCATTGCGAGACCGGCTGGGGGAATATCTAGGTATGGTTATTGCATAGTTACAAGAAATTGTACAGGGATGGTGGTGGTCGTCCGATGGTAATACAAGAACAACACCCCCACCGGAAAGTTTTTAAAAATACAGCCATCTAGTATACAGCACCGCCATAGTACACCTTGCGCACATCCACCAGCTTCTTGCCTCGGCCGATGGCAATCTGTTCCGGGTCGGGCTGATTCATCAGAGCTTCGTAGCACGCCTTCGCCGTGTTGAGAGGGTTCCTCGATCGAGGGATCTTCGCCGACAAATCGTGGATGCCTGCCAGACGCGCCATTTCAAAGATGCGATGTGACACGCGGAGACCAAAGCCTGGTGGAAGGTTCATGTTAGCATTTCTAGAATTGCTTTCTTTTTTTTTTTTTTTTTGCGTGTGTGTGTGTGTGTGACCGTCGATCGTGTTGGGGACGGGAGAGAGGGAAGAGAGAGAAGAGAAGAGAGACAAACCGGGAGGGCGAGAACGGAGCTGCACCACGGTACCCGACACCTTAGCCTCTACATTGCCGTAGATGGTCCGGTTCTCGTACCGCCGAACAGGTCGCATGTTTCGAATGGCCAGCAACTCGGCCGTAGTCCGCGCAATGTCGCCATCGGTCGACTTGGCGAGACCGATCCCTAGTCGTCCGTCGCCATTGCCCGCCGCCACAAGAATGCTGACGCTGCGGATTTTGCCCAGACGCGTCTGATTGTGCACGTATCGGCGGACAAGGACCTTGCGCGGCATGGCGATGATGTCCTTGACGGCCATCCCCGTCAACCGCTTCACCTCCTGATAGATACCGGCATCGTCCAGTCCCTCGTCCGCCGGGTCGACTGGCGGTTTGTACAAGCCCTTCACGCCTTCCACCTTGCCCAGCTGGGGCGCCACCGCCGAGTTGTTCATGTCGCCATGGGCTTTCTTCCAGTAGTCCAGCTTGCTGCCTTCCAGAGGGTTGGTCTCCAAGCTGAGCTGCTCCTGGAGCTCCTTGTAGAACTCCTCATCGATTTGGTTCCACCATTTCTCGCCCGCGGGCGTCGGCGTCGACTTGGCTTCGGCCAGAGCCTCTGCCGCCTTGTAACCCTCGTCGTTTTCACCCTCGATAATGTACTTGCGTCGTAGCTCGGCGTTATTCTCAAGATCCTTGAGCTCCTCTTCGGTAAAGTCGATCTCCGAGGGATTCGTCTCCTTGACGCGACGCAGCGCCCGCGCCACTGCCTTCCCAATGGTGTCCTTCATCTTCACCTCGGCCTTGTCGGCGAGCTTGTCGATGTAGGCATCCACCCATTCCTGGTGTGGGAGGAACTTGACTTCTTCTGGGGGCGCGGTGGTCTTGGGCCTGGAATCAATGATGGGTTGGATGGTCGAGAAATCTTCCAGGTAAGGCATTCGATAAGGGTCGTCTCGTAATCGGCCTTGAATAGCGAGATCCTTCGCGTCGACAGCCTCCTCGCCTGCCAAAATGGCCTCGTACTGCTCAAGGGTGTACTTTCCCCTCAAGGCTGCCTTCTCCTCGTCCGTGTACTCCGGAAACGTCTTTGTGGCAAAGGACTCCAGTTTCTTAGGGTCGGTCAATCCCATCTCTTCGGCCTTGATATTCCTGAACCTCGATCTCCGCTTTAACCTGCTGGCCGAGGTCTGGAAAGAACGGCTGGGACCCGCCGCCGGGGCGCTCGAGACCGACTGCCGTAGGCATCTGGAGAGGACGCTCCGGGCCGGGCGTACCGCGTTCATGGCTGCGAGTTATCGATCCCAAGGCTTGCGCCTGTCTAGATCTAACGGCTGTTTAGGAGCCGTCGCTCGATAGAACTGGCGAGAATGCCGGGCTGTTTACAGTATGTCAAAGTTCCAATGGCTGTCGCGAACTCTCCAGCAATTTTTTGGGACGTGAATGGCCCCACAAGCCAGAACGACACCGTCTCCTGGTTGGGTCCTGGTTGGTCCCAAATTCAATCCAGAATCACATGACCATATTATGATGACTAAGTAAAACTTTCCCCTTTTCATCTAGTCGTTCCGGGGTACGGAGGTACGGGTATGAATAGGTAGGACTACCTTACCGAGTACAAGCTGTACGCATCTCAACGGGATCGTTTTCTGGGTTTCGAGAACCTTGAAATGTCCCTTCAACTTCCGAGCTGTTCCCTACCAAAGCCATCATTCGTGCGTCAAAATGAACGTCGGCGAAGAAGATATTCTTATCGGGATTGGGGATGGCTCGCTAAGGTACCTAGGTACTGTAATCAGGATGCTTACCATTGGAACTTTCCAGGGCTCGCAAATCATTCGATTTGTCGATGCGTCGCCATGGTGAAACGAAGCGGAGCGGCCCCTTGTTTTCCCTAACCGCCTACGATGTCGCAGCTTTCCCACTTGAATAGGCTCAGTGACATCGTCGTTCACGTGTTTCTTGTCCAACCGCGTTGCGACCTTGACCGTTTCGTTCCTGGCCCAGTGGCTGCTGTTCTTTTTCATCCATCCCAGCTCGTTAATTTCAACTTCTCACATTCCTTTCTTTCTTCATATTGCCGTGCGATATTACCCAGTCTCCCAACACAACCTATCTTCACCCGTGACAGGCAGGCAGGCTCTACCTGTGGCTCTCGTTTTCCCGTCATTTGCTATCTATATATATATATATATATATATTTATTTTCATTTTCTTATTTCTTTTTAATATTTGCTCCCGGGCGCAACGAATTCATCTTTCACCCGAGCTCCTCGCAAGACGCCTCGTGGTTCGGGTCCAAAGTTCTCGTCGTATCTGCTCCACGCATATCACGGCCAAGACTCCTCCCTCCCTCAATTCGTCACTGGACGCATTTTCGACCTCTCTTCACGTCCAGCTCGCACATACACGGCCAATTTCCCGTTAATTCGCACTTCTGAGCTCTTCCCCCCAGCTGCCTCAGACACCATGGGCCAATTCGACTTCATGAAGTCCATCGGTGCCACCGATGAAGCAGTCGCCGTCCTCAACGATCAGCCATACTTGTTCACTATCCTCGTCGTCGTCCTCGTCGCCCTCATCATACAAGGCGTGCTTATCTGGTACATCCACTACGCAACCATGAAACCGGAACAGAAGAAGAAGAAAGAAAAGAAGGGCGACAAGAAGGAGGGTGGCAAAAAATAAAGGGCTTTACACAGGGGAGGAGAACATCAAGCTGTCTGAGTTCGGCTGGTCGAGAGCCACCACTCCAAAGCAATTCACATGCCAGATCGTATTAGATCTCTCAGGCGATCCTTTTCCCACGGCACGGGTTTGGCATTCTGCAGTGGAAGGACGATCGACCAACAATTTCCCACAACCTCTTGGGGGCCAAGTTTGGCAATCTAGTGCAGCGGCATCTTCTGTCTCTCTCCGAACTCTATCGTTGTTATGCATTACAATGCTTGGAAGAAATTATTAAAGGATCCGATCCAGAGAACCCAGAGAGGCAACGGACATTTGTCATATCGAAGGCTAGGCGCCTGCAAACAGCGATGCGAATTGCCAAATGTTGCAATAAGTCACTGGTAACAGAGCTCTTCAAACGTCTACCTGATGTGGATAACTGCGGAACCCATCAACAACCTGGTCTTGTATAGTGTGTGTGGCACCATTGATCTTGGAATATATCCTCCCCCTTGTCGTCGGAAAAGTCGCTCCAGGGACTTGACCATCGCGTATTATACTCATGCATATCGGATGTGCCGTCAATCCCAATCCCTCCTCCATCTTCTTCCGTTCCGTCGTCTGAGCAATCCTGCCAGTCGTCTGACCATGGGACGCCGTCGGTGCTGCTCTCAGTCGCGATATCTTGGTCTCTACCGCTAGATCGTTCCTCGATAAATGTAACAGGTATGTCAGTCAGGTCGCTGCCATCCTCTTGTCGCATGAGGTGGTGGGAGTTCTGTGATGTCAGGGGTGTCTCCGTCTTGTTGTCATCTTGGTCAGTCCAGTCGTCCCAGGAATCCCACCCAATATTCTCACTCGAAAACCACGATGAATCGAAAGGCCATTCATCATGGGCTTTGGGATTGCCGCAGTCCTCTTCAATTTCACATTGCAGCTCAGCTATCTCATCTCTTGAGACGTAGGCCTCCTCTGAGGAGACACTTGCGGGCCATCCGTCCCACAATACGGGCAAGGCTGTCGTTTGAACCATCAAGTGATGGCCATGCCGCCTTGGCCTTGGATCGTCCCTGATGTTACTGGCCCTGGCATGTGGTGTAGAGCGAGCCAGTCTCGTGGATACCGGCATTAAGCTACTGGACAAGACCAACTTCCAGAGCTTGCTTTCCAACTCGCCCCCATCGTTCTCAGTTTCAACTTGTCCTTGAAAGATTTGTCGTCCGCGGCTAATGGATTCGGAGACAGATTTGTTCATCGGTCTGGATGACTGTGATTGAAGGAAATTCGCCAGATTGAATGAGATTTTGGGCAATAGCGTTGCTCGCGTCGAAATGGCCTGAGAATTATTAACACGATTGATCACGTATCCTGTTGACTAGGGGCCATCGTACGGTTAGATATCCCGTATCGAACACTGACGGGGCTAGGATACTAAGCGGAGGGGGCAGCTTCTGCTTGCGGAGTTTGACCCCCCTACCCCCTCGTCGTATGCCGACTAAAAGGTATAGCATGCCGGCCTCTACCAGCCTCAGGCTCCATGAAGACCTGCAAACATCGTCGGCAAAGGTGCGTCTCGTTTCGCAAAAGAAACCGCCGAGAACGGGACGACAAGGTGACTAGCCTTGGGGTTCGCGTTCTAATCGATTTTCTTGGGCCTGTCTGTCCAGAGTCGGGACATATCGGCTGGTAGTAGGGGATGGGAATTCGATGGCGCATGAAGATGTTTCTCGGGACAATGGGACTACCTTTGGGTAATTATAAAAATAGACGGAGCATGTAAGTCGCTGAAATGTTGCTGTAGGCGCTCCAATGGGCGTCAGAAGGCTGGATGCAAGATCCGGATGGCCGATGATGAATACCATCGTGTTGCTGCGCAGCTGGTTGTCCGGATAACGAGTTAGTTGAAGTCCTAATCGAGCCCAGAGCTATGAGTTTCAAAAATGTTATTACGAGTACAGGCTATCTAGTGCGCTGAAGCAAGGAACGGACCAACCTTGAGGTTCTCCAGGAACGTTGCTATGTGCTCTACAAGCCAAGACAAGGCGATGTCCGGGCCGTCGTTAGAGTCTTCGAGAAGTACTGTGAGGTAGAACCGACAGATGCCCGTACGTGCTATCCAGAGTTCACCCGACTGAACGAGACGCTTCATCTCATCCAGATCATTGATAGATCCGAAAAGATCAGGGAGGTCAACTGAAATGATGGGACTGAGAATCATTGACGTGTTGGAATCGGTATTATCGGAGAGAGTAAACGGCTCCAGCGGGAAAGAACGAGGTGCCATGAGGAGTATTCGAACATTCTTTTGCGACCAGCAATGAAACCTACCGCGTCCATATTTCGTGTGTTTAAGCAAGATGGAAAGGGGGGGGGGGGGGCAGGGGAGGAGAGAATGGGCGAGGAGAGAACATGGACTGGACACAGCTCAAAGGAAGGTGTACTTAGTACCCGCGTGTTATCACGAAGTACTTCGTGAGATTTGCGGGGGTTACCGGCCGTTGGTACTGGCACGTTCCAAGAATGACTACCTTAACCTACGGTAAGGTACCTTCCCTTTTACCTCAGGTAACCTAGAGGTAGAATACCTGGTAGGTACAGAAACACCCGAAGGCGTGGGAGGAGGAAATAGGTAATAAGAACCGAATAACCAAGTGCCCTAGTCGGACTAACCCCACCCAAAACAAAAGCGTGAACATGACGAGAACCTCCACGGGGGCTTCTTCCCAGAGTACTTACTATTCAACCCCTTGTCGGTCAGAGCTCCCGTCTAGACGAGATAGGATTCTCTGCCCCCCACATGATTCTCAAAGTTCACATGACGGTGAGATTCTTAGAGCACATTATTAAATTTGGCAATTACGTTGCAAGTTCGTTATGTTCGTCATCACCAGCCATGACAGAAATACCCCCTTCTCCCCATGCCACAGGAGAAGGTTTGGTTAAGAAAGCAAAGTAGAGAAGAAAAATAAAGCCCGTGATATCCGTTCCAATGACCAGTCACCCCCTGATTGTCAATCCGGTCTCTCAAGATCTGAACGACATATACCGATACATCAGGACATGATGGCTCATGACTGACCGTCGAAGAGAAAGAAACGGTATGAAGTGTTCGGTCCCTGTGGAAATGGGTGACTCATAGAGACGACGATTAACTGGGGCCAGAAGAGATCTCATAGGAGCGCCACCGGTGCTTTACAGGAGCAGGACCGCAACGCCAGCAATGGCAAGGAGACCGGCAGCGGGAACTGCATTCAGATGGGCGGACTGCGAGGGTCAGTTAGCAAGGGACGTGTCACGAATTCAAATGTAGAATATTTACCGAATCATCGTCTTCTTCAGCATCTCCATCCGCTGAAGGGGTGCTAGTAGCAGCATCGCCGGTCTCGGTCTCTGTCTCTGTCTGGGTCTGGGTCCGTCCCGAGGTAGTGTCGGGAGTCTCGCTAACAAGGGTAGAACCAGAGAGGGTAACGGAGACATCGGTCGTGGCCGAAGCATCCTCATCCTCGCCAGCGTCGCCAGTGGCAGAAGCTGCGATGGTAGACGTGAAGGTGGAACCGCCGGAGACAAAGGTCGTGAGATTGGAGTCCTGCGAGGCAACCGGGATGAGCAAGGATCATTTCTACTTAACGTATGTCAAATCTTACCTCTTCGTCAATGCTTCCGGAAACAGTGGTAGTTGCGGTAGCCGTAGCCTATGGTAGGGTTAGAGAAACGTCACAAAATTGGCGGAGTGTGGTGAGACATGCCGTAGAATGAGCGATGGTGCTTATAACGACGCCGTTGTCTTAGAAGGGAGAAGGAGCCAAGCCGGGTCAGTAGATTCGCAAAGGCGATGTGGGATAGTTATGTAGGCTCACTTGCACAGAGGCTGTAACCGAAGCTAAGAACGCTATCGGCTTCACCTTCGCCGAAGCACGACTGGAAGGAACAGTCGCGGACACCGTAGATAAAGTCTTGTTGACGACAGAGGCAGCCAAGATCACCCTGGTTGCAGCCAAGTTGCTCGGCAATGGTAGAGCCCTGCATAGCATTGATACAGAATTGCTGGGAATGTCAGTTAAAGCCGGAAAGACGGAGATGTTAGGGACTTACACCGCACTCGGGGAGATCCGCCAGGCCAGGGATTTCCTGAGCGGCGCAGAGGCCGACAAGGCCACCAAGACCGAAAACAATGCCCTTCTTCATGGCGCTTGAAGGCGTGGATCGCGTGAGAATGAGAAGATTTAGTCGGGTACTGCCTAAGATGGACGAGTTAGCAATCTTTGAATAACGATCTGCAGCAGTGGAAGCACACGCAAAGTGGCTATGTAAACATTAGGCCCGCAAGGAAATGATGAGAATGGATATATGACGGGAACGTAATACCTGAGCCGTTGCTTGTTGGGAACGAGGGCTGTGAGTAGGACGAAATCCACGATCTTGGGTAAACAAGAGGGAAGAAAAGCTCAGGGTTATGGTGTGAGGAGGGAAAAGCGTTTAACAACCTAGAAGGGTGGGAGAATTGCAATCAAGTGGGAAATTATGAGAATGGATAGTGAAAGAGAAAAATATAGAAGGAGCGAAGGAGAGGAAATGAAGGTAGTGTAACTTGCGTGGGGAGCGGCAACTCGTGGCAGGTACGGTGCAACATCAAGTGAGGCAACCACCAGAGAGGTGACACCCCAACAATCAACAAGATGGCAGTGGCAACTTCCTTCCATATTGCCAGGCGTGACACCAACAAAAAGGGAAGAGATTCTTGGTATGGATTCAGGCTCAGATGGAAGTGACAACGTGAGAATTGCTCAACACATACCTATGTTGAAAGAGGCCCCCGAAAGTGTGTGTTGGTCGAGGGAGGTTCCCGAGTAGAATGGTGAGCAAGTGAAGCCTTGTCGGGGTTCCTTAAGGTATTGTAGGAAAGCTGGCTCAAGTTTGCACGTAGTTCCACGTAATGAAAGCGGGTTGAGGCTGTAAATAACCGAGGGTTCGGCGAAAGGGGGTATTTGGCTGCTGGAGAGAGAAAAAAACGCTTTGACCCTGATGAGAAAATATAGAGAGAAAGGAGAAGGAAGGAAGGAGGAAGAGCGAGAGGGAGAAGGAGACGCAGAGTGTGTGATGTTGATATGTCTGTTCAGAGAGTTGTATGCCATAAAATTGAGGGGCAAACTAGGTGACCATACTGGGAAAGGAAATGGCGATCGTACTCTAAGGCTTCCCGGGCAACTAGGGCCTATTTTGTCTGTGACTGTTCTCGCTTTACATCCCGTCACCTGGATGCTTCACAGTGTGTGGATGATTGGCTGAGCGTTCAGGCAGGCAGGGAAGGTAGGTATCCGCGATCGGTATTGGTGTCGGGAACGGCTTCCCACGCCCCTACCTAGGTACTACAGCTTTCTTCAAAGTGTTCCTTATGCGAGACCGGATATCACCTCGGTCAACTCCCGTTAACTGAATCGATATTTGGTACATGAAGTCCATCAGCAGACTTCATAAGATACGTAATGAGGGTCGACAGATGGCACATAGGCAGGTATCTACCTTCCTCTAAGGTTCGCGATAGATTCTACCATCCCACGAAGGCATCAGATCGCCAAGTACGTGAACTTACCTGAAGAGGACCCAATGCTACCTAAGCTTTATGATCTTCTATCACCAGTCCCCCGTCCATGGAGCGAGGAGAACGAGGGACACGCGAATCATAGGGTGGAATTTAACTGGACCAGTAAGACAGTTATCCTGGTAGGTACATCGTAACCTTTCTTTTTCGTCGAGCGATCACCAATCGCAGCGTCTGTGAGAATAATACAGCTCTCATTTGTCTGCAAGGTTCTAAGACGGTAGAGGCTTCGAGGGAAAAAGAAAAAAGAAACATCATACCCGTTCCGCCGGTCATGCTTGCGCTGTTCTCAAGCATAGACCCCGACACGTCGACCGAGAACTTATGGTTGATGGGTAGTTCGGGCTTTTCCATTAAGAGATCCTCGTCATGAGAAGCACGAGGGAATTGGATGATGAGGAGATGAGAAGTTATTATGGATAGATTAGGCATGGAAAGTCAAGGAGATGTTAGTTAGACTTGAAGTCGGATTTCAATGTCGTTGAAGATCTTGGCACTTGTACAGGGTGATCTCCCTGCATCAGCCCCACAATATTCAGCTCCACCGCCACGAATTACACTGCACCTTACCTTATGAAGGACAAAGTACTACGGAGTACCAGCCTCGAACAATTGTTCAAGCTGTATCCGTAATAATGCCCCAAAGCTTTCTGTCTGGTCACGCAGGGATTTAGAGTACGCCGATGTACCTGAGGTGACTTGTTTTAAAGTAATTATTCCGAGTCAGTCTCGGTTCCAACGCGTCTCTCCATTCAGTACCTTTAAGGTACCTTACCTTACCTTACCTTCTGTACGTACCTAAGGTACTCTGTACGGATATAGGGAGATGGAACGATTCGCCAATTTCTTCCGCCTGGCCAACAGTCAAACTGGCTCCATGAAAACGGAACCGCCATTATTGCAGGTCATGCTGGAAAGAAGAAAAGGTTAATCTTAATATTACATCGTAGAATATCTTGACGAGCCCATAGCTTTGCTGCCTGACTTATGCATCATTACTCACCGCCAGTGACGCTGTCTGAGGTGCAAATTAGCAGCGCATCGTTGACTGCGCAGACCAATGGTTTCAGATGCTTTCTTTTCAGGTGAATTATTTCTGGGCCTGTGTCTGCAAGTGGTACTATGTACGACGTACCATGCCGCTTCCAGTTATGCCGTTCCCGTTCCACGTACGTACGAAGTAGAACAACTCATCAAAACCGTGCGAGGGGCACCCCACTGCCATGGGTCTTTGTCGACCCCCAGATAATAACCTGGTAGTGAGTGAACATAGCAGCGCCAACCTCAGGTATTCTACCACTAGCCCTCCTTTAGCCCTTGTCAAACCAGCTTCGTACAACAGAGAATCAGCCGCGGTTCAGTCGCTAGACTTGATTCTCGGTAAGCATCTTTGCCCATACAATGGCCAGCTAGCTGCGGTGGGGGATAAGCCCACACGTCCAGCCACTTGCTAATCGTTCTGAGTATTATATTATCCTGCCGCTAACCGTTCAGGCCGGGTTAAGACAGCCGACAAACTAGACAAACTTGCAGGAGTATAGATAGGTGGGTAATTATTCGAAAAGTCAAGTTTAGGTATAATACTAAAAAGAAAGGCCTCCCCGAGTGCTACTATGTTAATTTAGCGCTTCTCCGCTAGTTAACTGGTGTTGGCCTCGGGGCAGCGTTGTTTTCTGATTTTATTTAGCTAAAGTCGGTGTTAAAGGCGTCTTACGCTACACCGTTAGGGTTACGGTTCTGCCCCTTTATCTTATAATTCGGTCTTTTTACGGGAACAATTTGCCCTAATAAAGATTAATACGACTACACGATTTCATCCCTAATAATGCAATACTCGCAGGCGTGGCGTTATACTATCCTTTTAGTTAGGATTAATCATAAACTCACCATCTGGAAAGCGCTATGTAAATACAGCGGAATTATGCCCCCCACTAGCATTTCGTTATCAGGGTGATGATGGTTTGTTCCCCCCTTGATATTGCCTAGGTATCTGGAGTTACCCAGCTCCTCCTAATAACCAGCCGTGGACATACAGTATGACAATAATCCTCAGCCTACATAAGGTAATACTTTATACAAAAGCGATGAAACAGCTAAAGGCACCACATGGCCCCGTATGTCGAGAAGAAGCCAATATAGGAAACGAATACAGAAAAACAAGTACAAATAATCGTCGAACAAAGACACAAAGGAGGGAAGAGTTAGAAATGATAATCCGAAGCTAAGCCATGCCAAAGGAGCCTCCCGTCATGTTGAGACTGGGTTCCCGTGCCGTCTCATCCTTCCCTGGTAATGCATAAAAAAAGACCCATCCCATTAACAGTATCATAATCCATCACAGCATGTCGTTTGTACGTGATATCGCTCCTTCAACCACTGCACATGACACAGGACTCGGGGTTGTCAATGCTGCCTGGTGTGAAATGTCAGCAACACGAACTTGTTCATCACGATTGACGCAGTTCCAACTCACATGCGAGCACGGCTTCAGAATAAATATCCATCTCCCGCTCCTTGCTGTCTTTATCTTTATCCTCAGCGTCTGGTGTCCTCTTGCCCTCGGGCATCTCCTCGGCCTTGATCTTGTCCTCCGGTTCAGTGGGGAGAGCCTTGGGGCTGTCGCCCTCCTCGGCATCTGCCTTGATTGCAGCAGACTTAGCAGGCGAGGCGACAGGTCGTGCAGCCGCGTTGAGAGGAGGGGTTGTGCCACGAGTTGGGACATCGTCGCGACTGCCGTTCGCATCCGAACCCGACCTCTCCTTGTCTTTCATGAACATGGGCCTGGGAACGGCCGCTGGAGAAGACATGTAGCTGCCCGCAGGGGGGGCTCTCTTCTTGAGGACACGATCCTTGCCGACAGTCGTGTCCGCCACCTTAAGAGCTTCTTGGTCGACAGTAAACTGGATGGGAGCCGCCGCCGCCTGGGTGCGCAAATAGTACATGCCTGTCTTGAGGCCGAGTTTCCAGCCTGTGAAGTGCATGCTGGTGATTTTGCCCATGGTAGGATCTTTCATGTGGATGTTTAACGACTGGGACTGGTCGATGAACGCACCGCGATCGGCGGCCATTTGCACCACAGTACGCTGTGAGATTTCCCAAACTGTCTTGTAAAGTCCCTTGATGTCGGCGGGGATGTTGGGGATATTCTGGATGGATCCGTTTTCCGCGATGATGCGGTTCTTCATGGCATCTGACCATAGACCCATGTCCACAAGGTCCTTGAGAAGCCATGGGTTGACGACCTGGAACTCACCGGCCAGCACACGCCGCTGGTAGATGTTCGATGTGTAGGGCTCGAAGCACTCGTTATTGCCCAGGATCTGAGACGTGCTGGCCGTGGGCATGGGTGCAACGAGCAAACTATTGCGGATGCCATGCTCCTTGATTTGCGCCTTTAGTGAATCCCAGTCCCAGAGTTCGGAGGGTTTGACGTTCCACATATCGTATTGCAAGATGCCCTTGGAAACAGGCGAGCCTTCGTAGGTCGAATAGGTACCCTCTTCCTTGGCAAGCTGCACAGACATAGTCAGGGCAGCGTGGTAGATGGTCTCGAAAATCTGTTTATTGAGCTCCCGAGCCTCGGGAGACTCGAAGGGCATCCGGAGAGCGAGGAAAGCATCAGCGAGGCCTTGGACGCCCAGACCAATGGGACGGTGCCGCATGTTGCTATTGCGGGCCTCGGGAACAGGGTAGTGGTTGACGTCGATGATCCTATTCAGGTTGCGGACGACAACCTGAGTGACCTTATGAAGCTTTTTGAAGTCGTAGACGCCCTCATTGTAGTCAACAAAAGCAGGCAGAGAAAGAGAAGCCAAGTTGCAGACAGCAACCTCATCCGGCGCCGAGTACTCGATAATCTCGGTGCAGAGATTGGAGCTCCGAATGGTGCCCAGGTTCTGTTGGTTGCTCTTGCGATTGCAGTGGTCCTTGTAGAGCATGAAAGGGTTGCCCGTCTCCGTCTGAGCTTCCAAGATGGCATACCAGAGCTTCTGAGCCCGGATTGTGGCGCGACCCTTGTCCTCCTTCTCGTACTTCTCGTACAGGGCCTCGAATTCTTCACCATAGCAATCCGCAAGCCCCGGGCACTCATTGGGGCACATCAAGGTCCAATCCCCGTTCTTTTCAACGCGTTTCATGAAAAGGTCTGGAATCCAGAGAGCGAGGAACAGATCCCGAGCACGGACCTCCTCCTTGCCGTGGTTTTTGCGCAGATCGAGAAACTCAAAGACGTCGGCATGCCAGGGCTCAAGATAGATAGCGAAAGCGCCGGGACGCTTGTTGCCACCCTGATCGACGTATCGAGCAGTATTATTAAACACGCGCAGCATTGGGACGACACCGTTGGATGTGCCATTGGTGCCAGCGATATATGATCCGGTGGCACGGATGCGATGAACATTGAGACCAATGCCACCGGCCATCTTGGAGATCATGGCGCACGTCTTGAGGGTGTCGTAGATACCTTCAATGCTATCCTCCTTCATATCCACGAGGAAGCAGGAGGAGAGCTGTGCCTGTGGGGTACCGGCGTTGAAAAGGGTAGGCGAAGCATGGGTGAAGAACTTGCTGGACATGAGGTTGTACGTCTCGATGACACGTTCAACGTTGTCGCCCCAGATGCCAACAGCCACGCGCATGATCATGTGTTGGGGTCGCTCCGCAATCTTACCATCAAGCTTCAAAAGGTAAGAGCGTTCCAGAGTCTTAAAACCGAAGTATTGGTAGTTGAAGTCTCTGTCATATACGATTGCCGAGTCAAACTCTTCCTTATGTCTCATGACGGCCTCGTACGTCTCTTTGGAGATCATGGGTGACGGTTTGCCGTTCTTGGAGTTCACATAGTGATAGAGGTCGCTGACAACTGATGACCATTGCTTTTTTGTCTGCTTGTGGAGGTTGGACACGGCGATACGCGCGGCGAGAATGGCATAATCAGGGTGTGTAACGGTCATGTATGCGGCTGTTTCGGCGGCCTTCGAGCAGATAGTCAGACATGGAACATCCTGAAGAAAGCATGTAGAGACTTACCAGATCATCTAGTTGAACTGTCGTGACACCGCCATAGACACCTGAGATGACTTTCTGAGTGATGGCCACCGGGTCGACATGATCCATGTCAAGGCCATAGCACAGCCGAGAAACACGGGCAGTGATCTTGTCGAACTGCACGCGCTCCTGGCGCCCATCTGCTGTTGTTTAGCATTCAATTGCAGCAGCAATCCTGCCGAACCCGTGATAGTTCACATACCTCGCTTTCTCACGAACATGGTGCGTCAGCAGGGGAGCCGGACGTTGAAGTGGGCAGAGAAAGTCGGATAACGCGGAGAGAAGGGCGAACGACTATTCCGGAAACCCGATTCAAAAGAAAGATGAAGGACCTTCTTGAGGTGTGAAAGTATGACGAGATGAGATTGTGTCGGATTACTGGGTAGGTAGGGTGCAAAACAGGGGAGACAATTGATGGGAGAAAGAACTTGTTTGGACTTCTTAAAAGTACGATTTGGCTGGAGTGTATGTACGTGCTAGCGGGGGGTCGCGTTGGAGACGCGACACGACTTTGCCGCGACAATCATTTAGTAACACGTCCAAAGAACAAAGAAGACTAATTACTAAGCAACGCGTCTGCTCGACGGTGTTTATCAGCGAGCTTAAAAATCCGAAAACCGTTGAGCGGATTCGCGTTGTCACGTGACAGTGTATGAAGGGGAGTGAGGCAGGGCGATGACTCTTGTCCTACTCCGTAGACATCGTACCTTAGATATTGAGAGTGAGTGATCAAGCTACGGCACATGACAAGATCAGTCTGTCTGCGATCTCCGACACGGAAACTACGAATAATCCTATGACACTGCCCCTTAGAACGGTTATTTGTAATCCGACGCGACTCTGGGCTCCGCATATTCATCGTTCCCCAAGCCTAATTGCGTCTCTCTCTCCTGTTCGGAGAATGACAGCCATGAAGGCGGAGGTGCCAGCACAGGGAGATGGATATAAGCCGAGATATATTGATGTGCGACTCCACCAAATGATGTATCCGCCTTTTAAGTTCAGAAGACTAACTTCAAACGTCTAGTAGATTGGAATCAATTTGGCTGATCCCATCTTTCGGGGCTTTTCTCATGGGAAGAGACGTCATCCCGATGACTTGGACGCCGTCATCGGCAGAGCTCGTGAAGTCGGGTGTTCCAAAATGATAGTTACGGGCTCTGATTTTCAGAGTTCAAGAGATGCCTTGAAGATTGCCAAGGACTATCGTGAGTAACCGGCTATTGAGCCATGAGGTACGCACAACACGGGGGGGGGGGGGTTTCCTGGGCTGACAGTGTACTTTCAGCGGGCATCGTCTATTCGACCATAGGCATACATCCCTGCAGCAGCTCTATCTTCAGTACTGCTTACTCCGAGTCCGACAAACCCCACGCAGGCCCCGACCCTTCTGAGCCTATACCTGAGCATCACATGCCGGACCCGGACAGGACGAAGGCCATTTTGTCGGACCTCCAGGATCTCATCTCCAGCACTCGGGCATCGCAGTCTGGACTGGTATCTTTCGGCGAATTTGGCCTCGACTATGATCGCCTTCATTATTGCTCCAAAGTGATCCAGATCCACTCCTTCGCTGCTCAACTTGACCTGGCAGCTTCTCTGCAGCCACAACTACCCCTATTCCTCCACTCAAGGGCTTGCCACGCAGACTTTGTATCTTTACTCAAGAAGACATTCGGCTCCAAGCTTGAGAGACTCGAAAAGGGGGGCGTTGTTCACAGCTTCACTGGCACAATTGAGGAGGCGAGAGAGCTGATGGATCTCGGCTTGTACATTGGCATCAACGGGTGCAGCTTCAAGACGGCAGAAAACTGCGAAGTGGTCAAGGAGATTGATCTTGACCTAATCATGCTTGAAACTGACGGGCCCTGGTGCGAGATTCGGCCTAGCCATGAAGGCTACAAGTACTTACTTGACGATACGTCGAAGGCAGATGGTGTGGACGCAGCCGCCGATTCATCAGAGCAGACACCAAAGCCGGTGCCCAAGTCAAAGAAGAATCAGAAGAAAGAGTCCGCCGTGCCTGAAAGGTGGAAGGTAATGAAGAAGGAGAAGTGGGTGGAAGGAGCCATGGTCAAGGGACGCAACGAACCCTGCATGATTGAGCGAGTAGCGAAGGTCGTGGCCGGCATCAAGGGTATCTCGGAACAGGAGGTTTGCGAAGCTGCATGGCGAAACACGAACAAAGTCTTCGGAATAGACAACGATGTCACTCGCATGTAGAAGGGCTTTGCCCCCCTTCTTCAATACATACAGGACCGAAAGACGACTAGTATAGACGAAAGTCATAGAGAAGTAGCCGTAGGGTTGTTGACTACTATAGTTTTACATGTAGTCATTGCACCATGAAATCCTGTACAACGCCGTGCCCGCGCCGCTGAATACGCCCAAGGATGTTTGGTAATCAAAAACCGGATCCATAATGACCCTGGACCCTTCCATGCCGAACTTCTCCCACCGTTACCCCCTCCTCCCCCGTTAACCATCCTGGCATCCGCTGACCGTTTATAATGCCATTTTCGACCAACAGTCGCATGCCGGCGAAGACATGAGGGCCTCGAAATGTCAACTTTACTTCAGGCGCCCAAGACGACAATCCCTCCGTATCGTGTTCGGCTATCTGGCGCTCTCCAGCCCTACGAGTCTTGAAGGGGTCTCTCATGGAAATGTCGACCCGTTCAACGCCCCTGCCATCTTCGGGCCTGGCGCTATTGCCAAATCGAGCCTGTGCGGAGCGTCGTGCTTTGCGAATACATTGTTCCTCTGCAACGTCTATGTGCGATTTTCTCTTGGTACCCCTCTTTAGATTCTCTAGAATAACGTCGTCTGAGGAGTCTTCGGAGAGTGGTGGTGTAGGGAGTAATGTGTCCAGAGGTGACTCCTTCCTTTTGTCAGCGTACATACTCCAGCCACCGTCAGCCGCATTGCCACGACCGGCTCCCTTCATGGAGAGCAAGGCCTGGAGGTTTTTGCCCTGAATGTTTGTGTACTTGAGTGTGTACCTCTCTCGGGGTCTCGAGAGTGCCTTGGGAATACTGTCTGTCACCAGATTGCGGAACAATTTGGAATCTGCCCCTCCCGATGATGCTGAGGCACCTTGTATCTTGGATATATAAACAAAAGGAGCACCATCGGGAAAGACGATATACAGCGTCCGGGACGTGTCAGCGTGTGTTGCGTCCGCTGATGACGACCCGTTACCGGAAGGTAGGTTGTTACTATAAGGAGTATCGATCAGAAAGACGCGGATCAGAAGGAGGCGAAGTTCCGGCAGGCGGTGTAGATGATAGTGCGCTTTGGTATCCGGGAGAACCTGAGACTGGAGGTTCTTCAAGAACGACGATGGATGCAGCCTCGATACTGACAGCGACTCATGGTCGACCTCGGATGCATCAGCCTCGGTGTCGAGATCAGGGTTTATCGCCAATGGCAAAATACGATAGACCATCCATTTCTGCCAAGTGGGATGTTCATGGAGGTATCGTACATCAGCCATGGCGAGTTGGTAGAGACTGAGGCCATGTCTCCAGTCACCCTCAAGAATACGATCCGAAACTTCTTTCTTGGACCCTTTCCTGGTCTCCATATCCCGGTATAACTCGCGAAGCTTCGCAAGCGAGCTCACCGGTGGATAGAAATCGTTGGGGTCATCGTAGTCTTGGAGAAGTGGGGCGCACAGGGCTCGATTCGGTTCGTCCATCCAGTCGAGGGCGAGAGAGAGAAGAGCTTGGCGAGATAGACGGTTTATCACCTTCTGAACGACAACAGTGGAGTTAGAGATTCGGACTGTTGGCGAGAGTCGACCAGAGGTAGGAACGGACAGACGACTCATAGCGGCTATGGGGAGGGAGAAAAGCCGAAAAAAAAATAGTTATTAGGCAGGACAAAGGCCACAAAGGTCAACCTGACATCTCAGCGATGTTGTTGACGATCCAGCATGGTATGAACGGTCGTGCGAAACCCGTTGGCTATTTACGTATGGCTGGTTCTCGATTTACCGATCTCACGACGCGTCACGGAACTGATATGCAGCCTTGTTGATTATGTAAGCCATCGGCCTGTCTCACGGTGGTACACAAAGAGCCAGCGTCGCCGGGTGATGAGTACTCCGTGCACAACTAGCTACTACGGCTAATTACTTCGTAATACCTTATGGAATCGGCTGCAACCTGGATGACGATTCAGATGGCCTAATTCACATAAGAATCTCACCTAAGAAAGTAGGCTGGGGTAAACGGAACACACAACTCGAGATAGTTGAGGTAACTTCCCGTGTTACGTGAATACCTCAGATCTGATGTGTGGTAGAACAACGTGACATGAGAGTAAAAGAAATGAGGTCCGGCATTCTATGAACGACGGCCGAGTTTAACTAAACTGTAAGCTAGGTAGTGTCTATAGGTAGGATCTAGGTTATGGCCTTACGCGAACATGATAGCTCAAATCATGGAAAGCGTCATAGTGAGGTTGATCGGGAAAATTGAGAAGCGAAAAAAGAAAAGAGAAAAAAACCCAACCGAGATTAAGGACGGAGTACATGCATCGGTCCGACAATGAGCAGGCTCTCGAATGCACCGTAGCTGTAGTTGGGGGGCGTGTTCTGTTTTCCGGAATGTGGAATGTCTGATTACCTATCGGTTTAGGCATCAGACCGACGGTTTCGTAGTCTCGAGTTCGTGGATTCGACTATCCAAGGTTGTTATCAATCTTTGTAAACCTACCTATACGAAGTAGGAAAGGCTCCTTTCAATTAGCCTACTGAGGACGGAAACCGACCTCGGAGCTTGGTTCCGGTGCTGACAAAATGAAAAGTTTGGCGACGTCGACGTTCCTAAACTGCCCACAAAATATACTGAGGCAGTTCTTATGTCCGTACGGATACCCGTAGGTATAACCTACCTTACTAGGTATTTGGGGATCTATCGCTTGGCTTGCCTCTAACCTATACACTATGTGTGCTATTACATGGAAGAAACCCCTCTCTTGCGGTGCTGCACATTGTGTTTGAAGTCTATTCATATTATTAGGGGCTTTCCCACCTAATTTTGAACACACGAACTGGAGTTTGGGAACGCGTATGGTAATTAATGACTACCTTACCTAGTTTAGTGCACCCATTATTACGAAGAATTACATCCTAGGACGTGGGAGGTGGTGCGTGGGGAACTCCCGCATGTGGTTGGTCATTCAAACAGGACCCAGCTAGTTGGGCAATGGACCTGACTAAGCCCCACTTATTCGTGCCATTTGGAAGTGTAAGTGTACCTACGGAGTAGAAGTCCTGATACAAGGGGTATGAGCAAGATCCGTCCTCGAAAGTGGGACGTGTAGATATGAGTACATACAAAGTAATTGCAACCCGTACATTATATGAAGAGGATGTCGGGTAGCTTTTCGGTAAGGTGATGAGGATCATGAACTGACACCTGGGAGCATGTATTACATACGGGGTACTCTGTACACACGGGTAGCTTGTGGGACTCGTACACGTTTCGAGACATTGCGCAGGGCATCGGTTTGATGGAATGTGATGGTGAAGCCACCAGCAAGCAGTGTGACTCGTGAGATCAAGAAGACGCGGGAAGCCTGGACCCGGAGCGTTGAGCGTCACTTCTACGTTCTGGCGAATTGGTAGGTACCTTAGGTACCTACCTTAGTCAAATAGTCAGGCCCGTAAGGTAATTACGGAGTAATTACTCAGGTAGGTATGTCTTTTACGCAACAGTGGTTATTCTTCAGGTATCTCCGTACCCATCTCCGTTTAGTTTGCACGGTGCAGTCCTCTCGGGTTTACGGAATGCCCCCACACTACATGCCAACCAAAGGGCACCCACACCCAGTCTTCTCTTATGATGCCGGGTGCAACTGATCAACCCCGACTTCGCCCCTCAACCGCAGCTTCTTCCCACTCTTCATTATTCTACCTCTGAGAGACTGGAATCGCAGTGGTTTTCTGGGAACGAAATACAACACAAGAGAACGACAAACAGCTACGGGAAATCTTGCGCACCTTATAATATCAATTCTCAGCCTTTTCGCTGATTTGAAGGCCCCGCCCCAGCGCTTCGTTCAGTGCACGTTTTTTCTGCGCGTCACCATTTCTCGCCATCCGCCCCTCCATCAAGTGCCAACTTGCAGCACTCGAGAACCTCAACCATTGGGACCTGTGGCTACAGACGTGCGAGAAGCTGCAGATATATACGCCTCTCGCCAATTCAATTCCTTGACGACGACGCCCCAACGTCTCCTCGTTCCTACACGAACTTCATTTCTCCTACGATTCATTGAAGCCGCTGAGACATTTCACGAATTCGCTCCTCGACCGCTGTCCAGCACAGCTTGACACGAGAACCTTGTCCTGACCCGGATCAGTGCCAGATACATTATCGAATCCCGGACTTCGCTGAAATGGCTCCTGCTTACACGAGTGGCCGTCGAGGCCCCAATGTCTCGCAGTATCTGCGTCAACTGAACACCGTCAACGAAAAGCCGCTTGAGGATGACTTCACATTCGAAGACGACTTGGCCATGTTTACCAATACCCAGTTCTTCGACTTCGAAACCGGCCAACACATGGATTATCAGGCACCTCCAGCAAAACCAGACTGCGACCCCTCCCCTACCACCACTACGGTTAACCCCGATGCCCTTGCATCCCCCATCGGCGATTTGTCCAACCTAGATTTCATGCCGGGTGAGTTTTCTGGAGTTTTCCTAGGGTCTATTCGGAGGGCTTTTTTTTTCGATACTGAAGATGTGCGGTGGACTACACTGTGCTTTCCTGCACTGGTCTCTGCATGTCTGCTTGCGCAATTCACTGCGGGACAAGTTATCTCATATCGATGTTTGTTTTCTTTCCCCATCCACACGTTTTACTCCTGTTTTATTGTTACCTGGTCGATCGTTATCACACCCAGTTTGCCTTTGTTGACTACTCTACACCTGTTTCGAGATATATGCCTCATTCGCGCTGGGGTTTTTTCTTTTCTTTCGGGGCCCTTTTTTCCCCGGGCATTGTCTGTCGACCCACCTTTCTCAAAGTCACCATCACCAATTGCCCTTCAACTCCCGTCAAGTGGCAGCGCTTCATAACCAGCCTACCACCGTTTTCAAGCAGTTGGATGGACATAGCGAGCGTTATCAGAGTCCTGGTCCTCACCAATCGCGAAATTCGAACATGCAGAAGCGCTGCCATCCTCGGCCCTGCTCGTTGGCAGCTACCTTTTCTGGGATGCATCTTGATCGCCCTCGGAGCGGGGGTTTCGAGGGGAAGGGTGACCAGATTGAATCTTTAGTCGCTTTCTGGGGATGGTGTAATATCCCGTGACTTTCCGTCATCAACCCGGCACGGGAAGCGGCCGTTGCAAGTGCCTGGCGTATCTGGTGTCGCCGACGAGCAGCAAGTGCGTTCATTGCTCGTGGTGGACGACCATGCCTTTAGCCATCCCGCGCCCCATTGATGCCTTGACACCATCATAATCCATTTCTTATGTTCTTTCTCGCGCGCAAGCCTTACTTGCGACGCCACGATGCCAAGACTCAGTTGATCACCATTCAACACGATCAGCTTCTAACAATGGCAGGCGATTTCAATTTTTCCGACTTCAACTCCTACCCTGCCTCGGGCGTGCCCTCATTGCATGAAGGACTCGGCAACCTCCAACCTCTGCAGCCGAACCCGCAAACTCACTACTCTTCCCCGGTACCTCCTCATCCGCATCCGCACCCGGCCCAGGCTGCGTACGTCCAGCCGGTGTCCCGCCCGAGCGAGCCCACTAGCAGACCAGAGCCATACAACGACAACGGCAACGGCAGGCCAGTCTCGAACTTCGAAGAACAATCTCGTCTGGCCGCTGACGAAGATAAGCGGAGACGGAACACCGCCGCCAGTGCCCGATTCCGCATCAAGAAGAAGCAGCGCGAGCAGGCTCTGGAGAAGACAGCCAAGGAAATGTCGGACAAGGTCACCCAGCTCGAAAGCCGTATTAACCTCCTCGAGACCGAGAACCGATGGCTCAAGAACCTCGTTATGGAGAAAAATGACGGCAACGAGGAGATCGCCGCCATGTTCAAGGAGTTCGATTCCAAACATAAAGCCAACAAAGCATCGAGTGAGGCCGCTTCATCCGACGTCAAAGACGAAAATTGACTTGACTATATCCAACTGGTCGTCGGTGGGTAGTCCATTTTAGGGGTCAGCGTTCTGCACTTCATTGCATCGTGCGAGGCGTTGGGGTTTGCGTGGCCAGCTGGATGCGGGAGGGATACAGTGCTATCCTGACTGGAAGATAATCTTTGGCGTCGTCGCGTTGTCGATCGTATCGTCAAGATGCATGGTCAACAAGGAGTTTCTGGCGGGGTTATTGAAGGGAGCGTGAGCCATGGTTTTGTGGGCGGATATGTTTGCTTTCTCAATGTATTTGTCGGGCACAATGCGTTGCATATATGGTTTACGGGAAGAAATTCGATCATGATCACCACACCTGCTACCTTGGCCTGCTACCTTGGTTCTGTCTACCGTGACTTGGATTATTCATTCGTCGCTTACGATGCCCGACTGATCTTGGCAGCACTGACCGCCTATTCTCGTCTTCAGGTCTTCAGGTCTTCAGGCAAAGCCTGCCCAGATTGTTGAGGACATTGAATGGTCGCCAGAAGCACGAAGCCATCTATTCTTCGCAGCACACACGAGAAAGCTCTCTGTCCTTTCGCACCCTCGGACCCTCTCACGGCATTCCTCTCTCACGCATGTCTGACCGACCATCCCTCTTTCTTCTTGTTCGCCGCTCGACATTTGACCATAAGAGAGCCGGGCTATCTATCTCTAGCGGTGGGGTCAGGGGAAGGGGAGTGCGCCGGGCCAACGGGGACATAATCACGGCAGGCGGTGAGATGCCTAACAACTCAAAGTCCGACCTGCTAAGCTTTCTCCTGGTGGCTCCAGTTGCTTCTACACTGTACCTCGACCACATGGAGGCACGTTCCTTGACCTCTGCGCCCATCATTGGTGTGCAGAATCGTTCCCCTAAGTGGCTGCTGCAGACTGACGGTTTCCATCGGTTCCTCTAGGGCGCAAAACTCTTCTCGGTCGCCAGAGGTGGGTACCGTTATACTATCCGTACGGATACTTTTACAGATAATTACCTACCAACCTACACCGGGTGAGTCTGTAAGGTATTCACGTGCCGCGAGGTAGCCCCTTGCCCACGCGGTGCGGAGTACAAGCGAAAACACGGAGACTACCAGCCTATCGTGCCCTCAGGTAATACCGAACATACGCCTTCAAGGTAGATACAGTGGGGGTTTCCGCGATGTCGAGCTTTTCAGGCTGGGTGACGTGCTCACCGTATGCGGGTCCTCCCACCTGGTCAGCATCGCGTGTTGCCTTGAGCAGTTGGCTACTGCAGGCATACGAAGTACGTGCATGCAGTGTATCCCTACTCTAGGGCAACGGGTTTGTTCAGCGCCAGCAATGTCAGGTTTAATGTCAAGACACAGGTATTCGACAGTAGGTAAGGTAGGTATAACTCTACACTCGACGTGGGGGGCCCATTATCCATGGAGGGAGGGACAGTGAAGCCGGTGTACTCTGTACTCCGTGTGCACAGCATCCTTCATTCCCCCGCCTCTTTGCCGTCTGGATTTCTAGTCTCTCCCTCTGGCACGTACAGCTGTCTCCATGGGCCGATGGCACCATGCCCCTGTTCCTGTCGATTTTCTCTTTCCTCTTTCAGGCAGGTCCAATATTGCTGCCGGCGGTACGAATCGTCCCGAGCAAAGGCTTCGACCTTTTTTATTCATTCCTTTTTTATTTATTCGGATTATTTTATTAACCACGTTTTATTACTTCGCTACTCCCCTGAAAGCCGGGATGTCCGACAGGTCGGCTTCCGTCGGTGTCTTAACAGATACACATGTCCATATTCTTGTCAGTGCCTCGTATGCATCGAGACAAAAAAATCTGTGAGGGACGCATAGCGGTGGTTTGATACGTACGTCATGTACGCCTGCACTTTATGTGACTGGCGCCCTGCAGTCCGGATACTGAGGAACATTCTCTGTCGTTCTCAGCACGTCCTTTGGCAGGTTTCGGACAACACAAATGGCTAACGCGTCCCTGGGTATAGTTTACTAGTCCCTCTTGCAATCTATCTCCGATCTAGCACTCTCGAGACACTCTCCTACGACTTGTCCAGAACCGATTCTTCAATTGCACTCCCACCCACCGATGTTCTATACCTGTATATGGGTTAACAAACATTCCTATTTCTTTTAAGGTAGGCAGTGTTCAAGAACGGGGGGGGGGCCTACTTGGTCACCACCCTCTCGATACCATCGCAGCCCTTTTTTAGGGTCTCCATCTTGGGTCCATACGAGAAGCGAACAAAATGGTGGCATGAACTATCAAAGAGGTCGCGACGCATTGATGGGTTCAAGTCGAAGAAAATCCCCGGTACGACGATGACTTTCTCTTCCAGGCATGCCTGGAAGAAATTCAGACCATCGGCAATGGGTCCCGGCAGGCCTTCGAGATTGAGCCAGCTACTTGCAAGTCAGTCGACAGATCCGAAGGCCGGCAAGTGAGTCAAGCACGGAAAGAGGCAAAATCAGCCACGGAGAGATGAACAGTCCCGCCCCCGTCGAAGGTCCCGTCGAAGGTAGGGGTTTCCAAAGGAGATTACGCACAGGTAGAATGTGGAGTCGGGGACGATGCGGATGATGAAGCCCATCCCGCACAGTCGATCCACGACATAGTCGCGCTTGTCCTATCGAGAGGCTTATGAGTACCCGTACGAGTGGCGGTTCATTTGAGATGGTGACAAACCCGGAAATGTCTTTGAAGACAAATCATTTCTTGCTTGACCAGAGTTGGATCAAGCATGGGGATGGAGGCTTCTTGAAACGGATGGCTAGCACCTCCATCGAGGTAGCTCCCGCAGGATCCAATGCTGACGAAGTGTCAGTTCGCTGCTAAACTCCATGTTCCAAGTAAGGAGAGGATATCCCTTACGCCTTGATGTATTCTGGCGAGTTGTCATTTTGTCAGCACAGGGATTCCCATCGTCCCATCGTCCCGTCGTCCTTCATCCTCTTTTTCCTCTCTTCTTCTTTTCTTTTCTTTTCTTCTTCAAGTAAAACCATCCTTCCATACCTTTGGGACCGAGGATCCAAGCGATCCGCCAACCGGGTAGCCTGAACCTCTTGGTGAGCCCGTCGATGATCAGGACGTCGTCCTCGTTGACGTCTTCAACGTTTTCGGCGGCGGATATGGTTGACCCGTCGCAGTCGCTGGTGTAATTGTATCCAGAGTAAAACTCGTCGCTGACGAAGGTGGCACGGCCACGACATATGGCCTGGATCTCGGCGAGCTCGGGATTGCGGACCACACGTCCAGTCGGGTTGCGGGGGTTCGAGGTCAGAATCACCGAAGAACCCCTGGAGATTTCTTCGGCGATTTTATCGGGATGAATGTGGTATCCGTCGTCTTCAGATAGCGGCACGGGAATAGCGGCGAACTACGGCAGAACAAGTGGGCAATGTGAGCATGGTGAAGAGAGCAAGTCTTTCGGCGGACCATCGTTTCGAATTTCAGAAGGGAAGAGCTCGACAAACGGAGATATTGGGTGAGAAGATCCTGAGCTTTACGGGGGCGACCCCGGGGTGAGGAGGAGGAAGGATCGCTTACATTCTTGAAGAGAGACAGCATCTCATTATAGGCAGTATAGTCCGGCAGGAAGAAGGAGAGGTACGAGTTACCAAGGACAGCAGCGATACGGATAAGACCGGCTCGGCCACCGGGGACGATGGCGACGTTCTCCCAGGTGTACTGACTTTCCTTGCCCTGGCGGTGCATAGTGTTATAGAGATTAGCAACAGCCTCGCGGAGGGGCTTGATACCGGCTGTGGGGCCGTATTCGCGGCCAGCGAGGGAGATTTCAATGGACTTGGGCCTCTGGAAGCAGCCGGCGATGTCGTCTTCTACTTCGGGGGCACCTTGACCGAGGTTGGCCCAAGCCTCGGGCTCCTCGAGGAAGCCATATTCGATAGCCCGCTCAGTGCACCAGACGACGCCGGTGGATGCACGGCTGGCGTCGAGGCCGGCATGGGGCATGTGGCCGGCATTTCGAAACTGACGATGTGTCTTGGATTGGGCCTCTGTTGTTGTGAGCGGGGAGGGGAATTGTTAGCCCTGTTCGTCTAACCTTGATCTACGGTGGTTGCTTCGATTCGAATCACCCCAACCATTTGACCATTTGGATGGCAATGTGGGTAAGCTGTGTCCTGTGTTCTGTGCCCGTTGCATGTTGATGCTGTGATAGCAAGAGGTCCAGAACCCAGATTTTCAACGGAACCTCTCACTATTAACCGACTACGAGTAGGTCGAAGGGGAATAAATGGGGCAGGATAAAATGTCTTTGTGCTTACCACTCTGCAAAGGTTCCCCGACACTGAAGCGTCGGGCTTCGGGTTTGGGCACGCCCGTATGGCGATTGATGGAGAACTTGCGGTTGAACATGGCGAAAATAGGCAGAGGAGGACTGCGGAGGTCGATATATTAGGCGGTGGTTGAGACGATCGAGCACAAGAATGCTTGGAGAGAAAAATATGCCGTAGTATTCAGTACGTTGGTCAGTTTCCTGAAGCCTTCTTGGGGCACGCTTCTGCTCCTCCTGAACAGATACCCTTCTCAGCTTTCGGCTTGTATAGTCCCCACGCGGGTATTGATTCTTTGGAGCGTAAGCCACGGGAAGCCCGCAGGGTACTCAGAGGATGGTGGTGGTGGTGGGGGTGGTGGTGAAGGAGACGATGAGGAAGTTGATGTTTGAGTGTGGTTGATTCGCTTGTTTTGTGATACCTTTCGTTGCAAGAACGCCCGATGATATCCCACCGTTTTGGAGCAAACAAATCAAACGGTCCAAGCCATTTACGCATCCCTCCATGCTGCCACCGACTTCCTGGCACATAAAGCCAGATAATCGCCCCTCCTTCCTCTCTCTAACCCAGACCCAGCACATATACGCGTTGAAACCCAACCTTCCCCCTTCCGTGAATCCAGTGTTCCAATAGCTGTAAGCATGCCCCATCTTACCTCTCCACCTCGTAATCGGGGAATGGATTGGCTACTCGCATCTTGCTCCGTGATTGGATGTGGTGGTAACACTGACTGTTGGTGAGACTGTCGGTGAGGACTGCATGCCGGACCGATCTTCTGTAAGGATCGCGCTGAGGATGAACTTCGTCCCTTTGATCTTGTTGCCAATATCGGCGGCGCACAATGCCCAGAGGGTTATATTACGTTTGGACAGACACATGAATAGTTTGCCTTGCTCAATGTGCCGAGATATCAAAAGGTGACTGGAGAATTCCAGTGGGAGGCAATAAGTATTTGAACACTCCTATGTATTTGAGGCTAGATAGTAAGCCCATATGCCCTCAGCCTGACATTTTGTGGGTCGATGGTACATAGGCGTATTCAACTACTTTTTGCCAGGGGTGTAGAGGCCCACGGAGTACGGATATTAGGTCATACCCCGGCCGAGATTCTGTGGCGGTGCTGGGTCGGCGGGGCGAACCTCAGTACTACAGTAGTGGCTGGGAAACTACGACTTTGTGGCTGGGCTGGATAGGTACAGTGGGGTAAACATTAATTTCGGGACATCTTAATATAAAAGGTCAGAGAACTCGATACCTTCTGCTGTCCCTGTCGATCGACACGAGGTTGACACAAGGCACATGGAGACACTTTAAGAGCCCCCGGTCTTCCCTTTGTCCAATAATGCACGAGCAAGCAACTTCCACTCTGCAAGATGGCAAGAGAAGCATCAACACGTGCCCAAAATCTCTCCCTAGGCGTGGCACAAAACTCAAAGTTATGGCCATTCAGAAGATCCCAGCTAAACAAGCTTTGGGTAGGGGGTAGTTTCTCGTTCCTGACCTTTGGACCTCTACGGATATAATAATTGCCGGTCCATCACGAATCTCCGTTCAAACTGTATCCTACCTGCCTACGGAACCTCTGTCGTATAAGGTAGGTAGATGTAACAAGAAACACATAAGTTCGACCTTGATTACTAGGTATTTACACATCGGCTCTGAAATACGTTTACCCTTCTATTCTTCTCCTAGGACATCCTGAGCACGCCAAAACATGACGGGCAAGTCATTCTTCAGATCGCTCAAGAACAAGATATCACCTTCTCATAAGTCTCCAATGTCGTCCGACGCATGGGGCAATGACGCCGACATGAGGCATTCTGATTTTGGCTCCCGACATGTCGGTTCTGGTACGAACCCCTTCTCGAACCCTTCATTATCAGTCCCCGCTCCTTCTCGTACGTACCGACTCTTCCCCGAGCATTCTCGCCGTCCGGCCCCGATACTTGAAGACGGATATATCTCTGACTCTAGCCAGAACTAGCCACGGAAAAGCCCCCAGCGTACTCTGAGTCGCCGAATGACCTCCGCATTGGAAATAGTCGCGGAGTGTCGCCGACACCTTCCCACATCTCCGCTGGAAGCCTCACCACCCCAGAAGACCCTTATGCTTTTCTAACCACCTTCGACACCATCTTCGTTATCGATGACTCGGGATCCATGTCGGGCCGTTCATGGAAGGAGGTTGCCGACGTTCTTCGCACGATCACCCCTATCTGCACCGCCCACGATACCGACGGTATCGACCTTTTCTTCCTCAATCACAAGTCTCGTAGCCACGCGCTCCCTTCGAAGGGCTCTGCGGCTGGGGGCTACCGCGGCATTACCGATAGTGCAACCATTCAGAGACTCTTCGCCTCTGTCCACCCCACCAACGGTACACCTACCGGCACTTGCCTGCAAAGCATCCTGAAGCCTTACCTGGCCCTCTGCACGGAGAAGAAGGACGTCTTGGAGACCGTCAAACCCGTCAACGTTATCGTCATCACCGACGGTGTACCTTCAGATGACGTGGAGAGCGTCCTCATCGCTGCTGCCAAGAAGCTCGATAAGCTCGAGGCCCCTCCTTACCAAGTAGGCGTACAGTTCTTCCAGGTCGGTAATGAACCTGGCGCCAGAGAGGCCCTCGAGCAGCTAGACGACGGCCTCAGCGACCTCGTCGACGGCGGGATCCGGGACATCGTGGACACGGTTACTTGGAATACCCAGAAAGGTGTATCTAGGGTCCTGACTGCCGACGGGATTCTAAAGACTGTGCTCGGCGCTGTGGTGAAGCGGCTCGACCGGCAGCCGGTTAACGCTGAGGCCTCGGGAAGGCACCTCAGGCCTTGATCATATGTCGTCATGATGGTTGCGAACCCATCTTCTATCCACTTCAGAGTCATTGTCCCTGTGTTTTCGGGGTCGTTGACTGGTTTTTTTTTTTTTTTTGCCTCGCTTCTTCTGCTCCCCCACCAACATTTTTTTGGTTTGTTTCTATCACTACCTAAGGGCAGGTGGCTCGGAAAAGCCTGGTGCTGGAACTTCGAGACTTCAGTAATGTATAGTATTCATTCAACATGTACTAGGGGGCGTCAAAATGCTCACAGGGAACCTACCTTGCCCTTGATCGATGGAATTTTTCGCTGGAGCTAAATATGGACGATGATCTTGGGCGGCGTGATTTCTTCACCATCCAGGTGAGTTCAGAAGTTATTAATGCAGAGTTAAACCACGTCAAATCACTTGTCTTCGAGGGCTTCGGGTAATCCTTTATAGTAATCCAAATGGTCAGTAACATCTTGAGCGTAATGTCCACACACACATGGTCGAAGAAGAGAGTTCCCATCCGATGTATCTGTGTTCATTCCGTCAAGAACCATGTCACATCATCCATAACATCACACAAAATCTGGATCAGAGACAGTGTGAGCAATCTCCCATGTTCAGTGTCTCTATAGCTAACGTAGGTCCCAAGCATGTCCCAAAGACCCCCACTCCACGACGGCAGCTCAACCAGAGCAGCAGTAGCTAGCTTCCAGACTTCTTGCCTCCGATAACGAAGCCTTATGCTATGGAAAAGGGGAAACAGAACTATCAACCAGAAGAAAACGAGAAGAAAAAGCCCCAATAGAAGAAAGTAGACGGCAGACGAAGAACAAAATGCATAGCCGAGAAACCAAACCAGATAGCATCCCTATCCCTCCAAATCTCAATGCATACCAATTGCCGTCTTCAGCTTTTGCGAGCGTGTTAGGCAATGCAGGGTTCAGAGTTGAGGAGGCAAATCGAGACTTCAGTGACTGGTGCCCTTGCAGCTGTAGTCGGGTGGGCTCAAAGGAAAAGGGGGCGTCAGCATCAAATCCACAAGAAGGCAGGAAAAAGGGAAAAGTGATGCCATCACACCAATGTGCCTTATGCTGGCATCTGTGCTTCGTGATGCTTGCGGCTGCCAGTGACAAAAGAAAAAAAAAAGCAGACAACCCCTCCCACGAACTGAAAGCAATGGAAGACCAGAAAACCCAACTCCCAGCACTTCGCCATGTCCATGTGCACGGCCGCCTGATGAAGAGATTGCAAGAAAGATGAGTCCCAAACAAAACAGCAAAGATTGATGTCAAGAGGTCGTAAGAAGGCATGGATACATCGCCAACTTTAGCATCCTGAATTCACCATCCCCCCGGACACGCCGGCAGATATGGCGCCGGCGATCCTCTGGCTGGTATGAGCCAAAAAAAAGAGAAACGCCCCCCCCCCCCCAGCGTAGACATAGGCTCAATTGAGCGTTTTGTAGAGAATAGTCTGGGGCTTCAGAAGATGCTGCCCTTCACCATCCCAATCACGCTCAAGGAAACAATTCCCAAGATGCTTCTTCACTTCATGAGGAGAACCTCGGCCAAATTGGTCACATGGACCGAGAGCGTATTGCCGCTGTCGTTACGGACCGTAATCACAGGGGTGACCACGAGCTGTATACGCCAGTGTTCAGCCTGAAGAGTGTACCCATCGATGTTAGGGGCAACAGCAATCATGCTCTGCATCGAGAAGCGAGACCCAGCCTCGGGGAAGCGGTACTCGAAGGTCATGCGGGACGTGAGGGTCTTGGCCGAAAGTGACCAAGCTTTACCAACCATAGAGCGTAGATCACTCTTTGCTTCGGCCAAGTTGGCGTAGGGGGTGATGAGGGGGCTGAGCATATTCTCGAGTTCAGCAGCGAAGTATTCGATGCGGCCCTCACGATAGTGCTCGTATCTCTCACTGTTCACGATGGAGTTGATGATCTCCGAGACGGCTCTGTTGTACTCGCTGCGAGCGCTTGGGGTGACGACTGTATGGTGATCATTGTGTGATTAGCAAGTGACATCAAGGTAGCTAGTTAATAGAGAAGTGAATTGGCTGGGAGAAAGCGGGTTAGGTAGGGTGGGGGGGGCGAGGGGAGGATATAGAATAGCAACTGGGGATTTGGAGAGTGAGAGAGTGAGATGCCCTCGGAAACAGTGTGTTACTTACTCGGACCACGTGCAAGCTCTTCTTCCAGCTGCTGAATGCGGCGGTCGTTCTGGAAATCGAACCCCTGCCAAGCACTGGGAACAAGGATCCTCTGAACAATGAAATCGACCATGACCCGAGCAAAAAGACAGGAGCGGGAAAGTCCATCATTGAGATGCTGGCGAATGTAGGACCAAGCTTGCTGTTCAGTAAAGCCTGTATAGACCTTGGGCAGATACTGCATGATGGGTGCCTGTCGGTGCATCTCGACGTTGGTTCCAACCCAAGTGCCGATGAAGCCGCGAGAAATACCAAAGAGCTCACGGAAGGCGGCCTCGAAGCGGCTTAAATCGTCATCCAATCCGCCATATGTCTGGCCGACGGGGATGATAGGCTGGGAGCGATGGACCACAGCTTGACTGTCATAGTGAGTGGGGCCAAACTGTGGACGCTTCGGACCTTCGTAGGCGAAAGTGTTGTTGTGGTCGAGGCCGTCATAGTACATTTGATGGTTGTACATGGCCTGAGGACCACCCTGTGGACGAGGGTATGACACCTGCGTCTGTTCAGGCATTTGTGGCTGGCCATAGGACGTGTTCGCGATCTGGTCAATGTTCCTGACACCTTCAAAACCGTTGGTGTTCACCCTAAAGTTCCCATCGACGGGTTGGAACTCCGGTGCCTTAGGCCGGAAATTGTGAGGGCCAGATCTAGGACCAGGGCCGCGTGGTTGACCGAAGCCCATGTTCATGCTGACGGGAGGTCGGCTGCGCATACCCGCCGCAGTGTTGACCCTGCTCGGTCCGCCAAAGCTGTCGTTTCTGCCAAGAGCTCCACCATGGCCATTTTGGTGGGAGGCATCCGGGGTCTGGGGGGTAGATGGTCGAAAAACGTCGTCACCCATTCCAGGGCTATTGAGCATACGCTGGCTGGGAGTGTGCGGCCAAGGCATGCGTCCCTGACTGGAGGCGCTCTGAGTATCCTTGCCGGAAGTACTACGCGTGCTAGTCTGAGCAACACCACGGAAAGAGTGCTGAGACAGGAAGCCCACAGGTTCACTGCCGTAAACATGAGAATGCGAGAGCAGCTGCATACCTCCATCATCGCAAGGCTTGCTGCTAACATCTTTGTGGAGATATTCGCGAGTCGACAGATCTTCCAAACGACCAGCGAACTCGTCGGCTTGACTCTCGTCCGACTCCTGCAACTGGGCTTTATGAAAAGCCGTCAGAGCTTGTTCAATGGAAGTCGCCTCGGACTTTGTGGGCTTAGGCGAGATGGAGTGTCGGATGCTAAGCTGTGTTTGAAGCATCTACGTGTCCCAGTTAGTAACTACGACTGTAGGGCAACCCACAATTGACCAAAGATAGTCAGAGGAAAAGAGAAAGATTGAATGGGAGGACAAACCTTCAGAAGAGCATTAGTGAGCTCTCTTTTCTGCTCCTCATCATTGGCCCCATTGAGCCGAGCGAGGGCCTCGCGCAGCTCGTTCCGATCTTTCTCGGCATCAGCATGGTACTTAGCTAGACGGTTTTCAGCATCTTCAATTTTGGAGACGTTCTCCTTGATTTGCTTGTGTGCCTCAGAGACGTCAAACTTGGAAGCGGTCTCCTGGATCTTGAGACTCATGATGGCCATGTTGGCGTCCTCCAGTTGGATGCGCAGCTCCGAAGCATCATCAACCGTCTCACGGATGGCGTTGTTCATATCTTGGGCAGAGGCAATGAGTGTCTGACACAACTGATCGGCGAGCTTCCTAGGAATGCCGGGATTACGGCGGACTTCCTGCTGTGTCGTCATGACGCCATGCTGAAACTTGCGTGCTTGCTCCCATACGGGCTAGTTTTGACCGGTCAGCGACTCTTGTTGGATACTGGAAGGGCTAATAAAGAATACCCTGTGGGGAGAGGGGGAAAATAAAAAGAAACAAGAAAATAAATTAGAAAAAGTACTCACATGTTTCTGTGAAAGCTCAGACCGTCGACGCTCTCGAAGAGGTCCAATGAGCGGTCCACGTAACTGACAGTGAGCCATGTTGATGGTATCGCGTGCCTCGTCCTGCTCAGTCAGTGTGGGTGATGGATGTGTCTGTCTCTCACTAGTGATTGAGAACAATGATGGACGAATCCGTGTAGACAATGATCCAGTAGACGGTCTAGCCTGCGGTCTTTCAGCCGAGGAAGACTGAACCAAGCCCCCGGGACCTGTAAGATTCTGCATGGTCGATCCCGGTTAGTTGAGTTATGATCTTCTCCGTGCTTCAAAGTGAAATAAAGACCGGGGGAAAAGAACTGAAGATATGCAGTTGTTATGGGGGGAATTTCCGAGTGCTAGAAAATAAAGTGAAAGCAGGCATGGATAGGAAGAGTTTGGTGGGTTAAGGGAGGAGAGAGAGACAAGAAAAAGTAAGAAAGATCTCACAGTGCTGAACAATGGAAGGGCAAGTGCGTTCGGTCAGTTGTCGTTTTGGGAATCAACAGAAATCCAAGGCAACAGCCCAGGTCATTGCCAGAGAGGATAAGGCAACTCAAGTGAACTGAGAGGATCTCGGTGAGACTCGGTGAGACTCGGTGAGGTAGGGAGGTTGGTGACAAGAAACTGGAGAGTATCGGTGAACTCGGTGGGCATACCTGGTTAGGTGGTGGTCTTGAGGTCTTGAGTGGGGCCTCCCCTGAAGATGCCGTTCACAAAGAAGGGATGGAAGAAGAAATAACCAGCTAGAGGCCACAGGATCTGAGACTAACCAAGGAAAGGAGTCAGCTCCAGTTCACGGACATTGGCTTTGTTCCTAGGGTAGGGACATTGAAAAAGACTTGCCTTTTTGAGACTAAATTGGCTGTTGATGTGAGATTATCTGGTAAATCCGTAGTCTGAAAGACAGTCCCAGGCAAAGAATCACATGTGATGGTAGTGATATAAGCCCAGGAACAAACCTAAGGAGATGAAATTAGTTAAAATCAATCAAATCCTTTAACTAGGCAGGGAGTGTCAGGTTCTGGTCAATAACAGAGACCATAGTTTCTCTTTAAGAGATATGGCAGTCAACTACACGGCAGCAGTGTGGCATAGGAAGAAGAACATGGATCAGCGGATCACATATCCACCTGCCAAGGACAACCCCAGAGGAGAAGGTGATAATATAGAGGGACTTGCCTGATACAGCTAACGTGGTGAATTCTTCACCGAGTAGAAAGAAGTATGTCAGATGTAAAGGGTTTCCTAGATAGATCCCCACAGGAGTGATAGGACTCCAGATTGTAAGGTTCAGCTGGTAATATTCGTGCTGGTGATCAAGAAGGTTAAAGGAGGACGGGGGAGAAGGGTCATGAGAGTTGATCACGGGATGCAATAGAGGGAAGAATACTATCAGGAAAAGATGTTTCCTTCACACAGGTGACCCATCGTGACAGAACACCCACGAATCGTGAACTGAGGCTGAAAGCCTGGGCTGTGTTCCCTGACTAATAGCCACGCCGAGAAATAAACTCCTATACATGGAGCTGCCTGGGACATTGACGCTTCGAGCCCTGCTTTAGTAGTATAAGGAGGACAGTGCAGTAGAAATCAGGAAAAAAAAAGGTCTGAATGAAGCAAACGCAAGAACATCTCACTGGAACTTCTTCCAGGGGGTAATAGTATGGCACGCCAATGGACCAGGTCTCAAATAAGCGGGTTATCAGGGCGAGGTAAAGGAAAGCCTTCAACGAAAAAAAGAAGTCGTTGGCACCTTGGAGAGAGTATGATGGCCTTGACGCATGGAAACATGACCAGGCAGGCCAGGTCGAGAATATAATCCCAGAAAGGGTAAGGTGGGTGACATCCAAGACTCCCTGAACAAGGCATATACGTCGTTCACAAAGGACTCTTGGGCAGGACAGAGCAGGTAAAACCAAGCATAGTCGAGATCTAGGGTATTAGTAGTAGGCCCCGTTCGACAATTTCATATTAGCGTGGACGCACGGGCTATATCAGACTTTCCCTCCGTACACGGGGTAGCCGTAAGCCTGTTTCCCGGCGTTTTCGCACTTATAATACGCCCTAACTAGCGCATGCGCGATATAGGGCTATATAGGCGTATAGAGCTTGAAAAGAGCTATCGATTAATATTGGTTTCGAGCGGTTTAGAGCGTTTGTGCGTAATCCGTGGGTCCCCTAAGTGAGTTGTAAGAAGGATGAGAGCAGGTCGGTTCGAGTCGAGTTCCACTCACCTTCGGAAACACATAATCCCGTATCCGAATAGCTGCTGCATCCCCCGACGACGTCAACTTCACCAAGTACGTTCGTATTGACGGGTCGGGGAAAACCAACTGACCAAGGGACCGTGAAGTCGTAATCCCAAGGCTTCTCACAAAGCCATGTCTGCCACGCTGCACACAACGGTCGGAGACCTCAAGATTGAGGTCTTCTGCGAGAGTGTCCCCAAAACTGCTGAAGTAAGCGCCTCGGTTCTATCATTCCCAACTCGCGCGAGTCGCGTCCCCTTCCCCGGCTAATGTGCGTGGCGCTCCAGAACTTCCTCGCGCTCTGTGCCTCTGGCTACTACGATGCATCGCCATTTCACCGTCTGATTCCCGGCTTCATGGTTCAAACAGGCGGCCCAGCATACCCTTCACCTCCCGAGAATCCCAAAGGTGGCCGGTCCATCTGGGGCGAACCTTTCGAGGACGAAATTCGACCGGCCTTACGCCACAGCTCTCGCGGCGTCATTTCCATGGCGAATAAGGGTCCCGGCACCAACGGTTCACAGTTCTTCATCCTCTTCGACAAGGCGCCACATCTTGACGGTCTTAATACCGTCTTTGGCCATTTGATCGGCGACGAGAGCACCGCTACCCTAGCCAAGATCGAGGCTGTTGAGGTCGACAAGAAGAACCGACCAAAGGACCCAATCCGAATTGAGAAGATCACCATCCACGCCAACCCTCTTGCCGGCTGAACATTTGTCCTTCGAAGACTTTTTGGAGACACCCTATACTATACCATGAGGATAGAACATTGCCCTGTTTCCGCTAGCCAACGTCGGCCACTCATAAGTTCGGACAAGGGCACGGTGTGCTAGCCTCGGCGGTCCTGTTTACAACATGCCCCTGTCCTCGAGCCCAGACAGCTCTTGTCATGTGGCCGGCTTAACGAGGAGGTCTTTACAATGTCGGTTCCAAAGTGAACGCCCCCAAACCCCCCCGCAGTGGCCATTGGCCGGAATGCCCTCGGTCATGAAGTGCTACCAGGACTACCTCGACCAATTACACATGTCCATACTCGGCTATGCCACCACGGATCTCGTGATCATTCTGGTCCTGCAATGGATGAATCTGCACCCTCGTACCTCCTAGGCTCATGGCGACGAATGGACGGGTACACGTCGTTTCGGTGCGATCAAGCATCTGAATCAATAACTAGCAGGAGCGGCCAGGACGCGACTGCGTTACCCTTTTCTCCTTCGAAGGCACCAAGGAGATAAACGTTGAACAATATGAATCCCAAAGGCGACTGCCCGTGCGTGTTCAACAAGAGCTCGATGCGAAATGTTGTCTATGAGAGACAAACTAGCAATACTTTTGAGTCGCTCCATATACTCCTCGATGCCACCTCAGTACTATCCTCATCTATGACCCCCCTCATAAGATAATTGCAGCAACCACCGCCCCGAGACGGCAGAGCTCCGTTTCTCAAAATCCGCGGATGTGACAGCACTGACTCGAGACTACTACAACACTGTGTGCGGGTGTGTGTGTCGGTTATGTGTCGCTGTTCGTTCTTCTCGCACAAGCGCGGATTCTGGCTATCCACAAAGACGAGACTTTGTGGAACAAACCTTCTCACATTGTCATTTCATGTCCTCCCCATTACCGTAACCCCACGTCTCCGACTCATATACGACCCCCTTCTTGGGCTATTCAGCATCAGGCGATTCTGCTGGCCTGCCCCAGAACTGTACTCATATCAGGAATACGAAAACACCCGCTACCTGCAAGACGCCGTGGCCAAACCTATTAGCATCGTCTAAAATACCCTTACCTCCATTGTGAAGGCGGGCTTGGATGGCTGCCAGCTCCACAGCTCCACCCATGGGACCAGGTCAAATTCCCCGGTAACGACCGCCCATTCTCTCCAAATCAGCCTCTTCTAAGACGGGGCTATTCATGCTTGCGCCGCCTCCGCCGCCGGCTTTTTGCGGCGACATCGACACCACCCCCGGGGCACCCCCGCCGCTACCGCCCCAACTTCCCCAGCTTCCGCGCGGTTCCCTTCCGTACCGCTCTGTATGTTCTCGAAAGTCTTGAGACTCCTGCTGTAGTGCGACTTCTTGAGCTGGATTACTGTTCGCGATCCCCGTATCGGCGCCGGAGTCTCCGTGAACCTGGGCCGAAGGTTGCTGCTGATGCTGACCCTGATTCTGCGTCAGGGCCAGGCTGACAGTGGAGGCCGAAGCGGAGGCCAAAGGCGGTGCCGGAGGGAGGGCGCGGTTGGGGGGCGGTCCTGGTCCCGGTCCGTGGCCGCGGTCAGGCCCCGGGCGGACAAGGTCCGGAATCTCAAGTGGGGCCTCGTGAGGTCGCTGCGGCCGGCGTGGAGAGACTGGCGGCGTCAATGCAAGCGATGCTGCAGCGGGAACCGGCGCGACAGAATTTGTAGTCGTGGACGTCCTCAAGGTCGTCGTAGTGCGGTTGCTAGCGGAGCTACTCAAACTTGCCGTCTTGCCCGCTGCCGTCACGTGGTGGCTGAGTGTCGGCAACAGAGTCTCGTGGACCTTGGGTAGAGGTCTGCCCTTGTAGAAAGCCCCATCGGACCTCGACCCGCCGAGCGATGACGACCGGGAGGAATGCCCCCCTCCCCCTCTGGGCGCAGGCCGATATGACCTCGCTGATATCGAGAAGGATCTATCCTCGCTCGCTGGTGCCGGTCGGCCTGGGACGAGGATAGTCGGTAACAGTTTGCGTTCCTTCAGTCGAGGCGGCGGAGTTAAGGGCGTTGCAGGCTGCCTAGGGACCGTGCCGGTTGGGAGGAGAACTGATATGGGCGAGCCCGTGGACTGGGGACCGTGCAGCTTGAAACGGCGCCTCACGTCTCGCAAATATCGATGATCGAACCGTTTGCGACGAAAGCACCAGAATAGGAGCCCAAGGATGGCTATTATCCCAACCACGGAGCAGATAGCGACGGCGGCCTTATCCCCAGCTGACAGTCCAGTTGAACCTTTGTTGCCCAGTTGCTCGTCGTCTTCCTGGTTTACGCCGGCTGCTTCGGAGTCACTTAATGTGGATGTAGGCGTGTGGCGTGCGGACGGCACTCTCGTCTCCCTGGTCCCAGTGGGCAAGTTCGTCGTCTTCACAGGGTTACTCGCACTTGACTCCCGCTTCTGGCAGGGCAGCCCATTTTCCGTATGCGATGTAGCAACCGCGGGACAGATGTAGGTTGGAGGAGGCAGGCCGGGGTCTTGGACGGATAGAAAGCCTAGGCTGATATGTGATAGTCAGCACTTTTCCTCGACCAAAAAAGGGAGATTTTGAGCCTTGAGATGTTCGTACTTATGGCAACGATTAATGATATTCCTAGCACTGGCTGTTGGTGAATGTCAGTCAGACTAGTACTTGTCCTATGAGTTGAACACGAAATGTTACGCAGCACTATGGTGATAACTTACGAGAGTGACGAAATTCCTCGCTCGCGTCGCTGATCAAGACACCGCAGACCGCGGAATTGCAACAATAGAGCTCCCACAGAGAAGGATCCTTATCTGCTGATTTGCCGTCCAACAGTCTTTCGCAGACGGGGACGAGGTCGTTCCCATCATATTCCGGTACTCGTCTCCGGAGGAATTGCGTCTCACACTCCTCCACACAGGCTGGCGCATTTGGAACATCGCTGGGGATGGAGCCCCAACCAACCTCCGAAGCGTCGATACAGACATCTTCCCCCCTCGACGCTTCGTCTCCCCGGGAGTCCATGTTGGTCGATGTTGTCATCGGGGGAGCACCAGGGGGTTAATCGAAACAGTCAAAAGAATGCGCCAGGTGAAATCTGGACGGGATAGAGGTCTTTGTGAATAACCTGTACAAATGTGAAGGAGGGTATGAGGGAAGAGGCGATGGATCAGCAGAGAAGCAATTGTCTAGTAACTACTATCACGGTGTCCGCAGCCCCATTGACAGACTCCTGGATACAATCACATGGTTATTATTTGACGTCAGCCAGATTGATGGCTGACAGCATCTGGTATTTTTTTTTTTTTTTTTCCCTTCGCTGTGTGGACCAGACTAGAGAACTATCCACGATCTCTCAGCCCACGGCATCGCTACACATGGATTCTCTCTTCCCTGTTCCAAGTCGACCAGGGGTCAGAGTCGTGGGAAGGCGAGCGGCATATAACAAAAGGGCTGCTGGCCACTAGACATGGTGTCAACGGTTACACGGCGCTGTGCTTGGCCGGACCAGGACGACATAGGCATTCGTATGAGAACAAAAGCTGCGAAGAAGCCCGAGGAAAACTTGAAATATGTAGGCAGCCGTCCGGCAGTGCGAGGCAAGAAAGCGTGCGATTGAGATGCGTCCAACGCTCAGCTCACATGGGAGATCGTAGCCAAACCTAAGTTATGCGGTCTTCCGTCGGGCCGCAGACTATATCAGAAAACCGCCCTTTCTGGGAAGAGAAGCTACTTTTCTCACCCCACAACCAGCCAGAAGCGCGAGCATGGCTCGGTTGATGAAGACATTGTATCTTGGAGCGCAAGTTTTCCGCAGAGCGGAGCCGAGCCCCTGGATTTCACAGCAGCTCGGTCATTCGGCGGGAAAACGAAGGACGAGGTTTGGCATCGACTCGCCTGCAACCAAGTCTGTGGTCGGATAGACCTCACTAGAATCAGCTTCTATTGTTCTTGTACCGGCCGAGAAGGGTGACACAGGCGGCCATATTTCGCGTGAACACTACAACACTACCTATCTGGGCTTCCTCCGGGGAGGACAGCATTGAAAAGCGCAGTAGACGGTAACACAAATAAACCAACTATCCGCGGAAAAAATAGGACGGACTCGCGGGATGGTTTAAGGGGAAATGGGGGGGTTTTTTTTAGGATCGCCGTTATACGATACACTACTCCCCAAGTCGAACGTCCCTCTGTCCCTAGCGAAATCTCGAGACATGCATGTTGCAGTCCCTGTAGCGGCCGGCGGTCGTGTCCAGACACAGCTTAGACGATGGCCATATTGCATTATATGATGAAGCAAAAACCGCCGGGAAGGTTGCCACTCCTGTCCAATGACTTTGCCCCTTACGCGAAGAGCCACAATGACCCCTCCGTGACATTCGGGTGCCGGAAGTTTGCATATCAGTCTATAACCCAAGAGTCGAGGTCTTCGGTTCCTCATTCTTGTTTGTTTTCTCTAACCCCCACTGGGCCCATTGGGCTGGACTCAGAGGTTTGGAGAGATACTTGAGCTTCTCAGGTGGTACGTCTGCCATCACCGTACAAGGCATTCACTGGAGACCGACCCTCGACAAGAGCAATCGCGAGGGTCACGAAGATAAGTCGGTGAGGTAGGGAAGGCAGACTGCATCACACTCGGCAACAGAGAAACTCACAAGCTTCACCGCTACCTCAAGGAAGGCCGTAAATACCGGCAGAAGTGGGCTCGATAAGTGGACTGCAACCACAACCACAACCACAACTGCAACCACAACTGCAACTGCAACTACAGCGAGTGAGCATGGAGCCGCGAGATCCAGGTCGGCGAAGTGACGGTCGAGTGACGGGCCACCTCCTAACAATGGCATCGATGCAGTGGAGATCGCAATGCAAATACCCGTGTCACTCGTGACCATTGGGCTCTCTACCCCTGGGTCATAGGCCAGTCCTGGAGCTTTTTCGTCGGGGTTCAACCTAATCGACAGGCAGGGCCATTACCACAAGCGGTGAGAGACTCAATCTTCAGGACTCCCTCCTTCAGGGCAATGGACATGATGACGGCTCGAGAGCTATGGCCTTTCACGCGGATGTCTGTCGTAGATGGATTCGGCAACATGTCGGTCATCCCGACTAGGAATTACTGAGCTTACTCCGTACCAGGTAGGCTCTCATTTTCGTGTGGCTTCTCGTGTTAGATAATGTGCCGACATGTCGTAGCCAATGAGGCGTCCCTTCGTGTTGAATATGTCGATGTTATTGGGATTTTTGTTGCCGCGCCGGCATATTTGGTCTTTGCCAGGATATCAAAACAGTCAGTGAGGTCTCACCTGGACGTTGCTCTGCACAATACTCAAAATAAGTAGCCCAGACGGGTTCTTGTCTCGTTCGCAAACAAACCAAAAAGTAAAAAAGGTGACAAGGGGCAATCGGGGATGTATATGAGCTTCATGGATGCTCCGTCCTATTTTGGGATTGACAGGACGTGACGTTCACACCCAAACAAAAAGAATGCGTTACGAACGCCGATACACGTGTAGTGTAGGTCTTGTTTTCCGAGTCGTAGATACACCAACCCACGGGTTTCGCTTATTCGCCGACGTTTATCCTAATAGGAGGGCATTGAAGGCGACTTCTCTGCATCTGATTCCGATTGAGCTTCATTTTGAAATAATAAAAAAGAAGAAAAAGGTGGAAATGAGAAAAAAGTGAGTGGACGATCCGCGAATCGAACGCGGGACCTTCAGCATGCTAAGCAGACGTTATACCACTAAACCAATCGCCCGATGAATATTGTTCTATTGCTTATACTCCACATGCTATAAGCCTACTGGAGTATTGGGGCAACATATGTAACCGTACTTCGTACAAAGTCCCCGCCCCCTTTTAGGACACACCCCTGCCAGACCTCGGCTTATTATTAATCTGACATCTCCCGGTTCAGGCGAATGCGTTCACTGTTTACAAGTCGTGCCTCGGCGTCTACTATCCCCAAACAGCCGACAGGATGGTCGAGGCAGATGGTTTCTTTCTTGTTGTTAACTTCTTGCATTCTTAAAACAAAACGGTCGACGGGAACTAGGCCACAGTTATCTTACTATACGCAGTGAAACGCCGTAACACCACTCTCTCACTATGGCCGACAAGGCAAAGCAGAGAATCGAGGCCCTTGGGAAGCAACTCGACCATGGTATCCCCGCCATCAAGAAGACCGCCGGGAGCTCCAATGGGCCGCGAGTCCAGGACAAGGTCATAATCATCACCGGTGCGGCTATGTCCCCTTTCATGCTAGTCGGCCCATAAGCGCCTCGAATTCAATTCGTATCTTTTGATGATGATTGCGCCGGCTTCCTCTCCCCATTGTACAGAGCCCATAGTAATTACTTCTCTCCTACTCACATTCCCCGTATAGGTGCCAATTCACCCCTGGGCATCGGCCGCGCAACGGCTCACCAACTGGCCGAGAATGGTGCCAAAGCGCTCTATCTCTGCGACATGGACGGCAGCCATCTGGAGACCCACAAGCGCGAGATCAATGCCCTGTTCCCAGATGTCCAGGTTCACGTGAGGCAGTTTGACGCCGCCTATGAGGCAGCCGTCAAGGATGTAGTCGCCCACGCCATCCAGTCCTACGGCCGGCTCGACGTTTTCTTCGCCAATGCTGGCATCACAGGGCCTTTGGCGCTCTTCACCGCTATATCGGAGAAGGACTTCATGCACAATTTGCGGACAAATGTCCTGAGGTAGGTCGTGCCCCCAAGTTCCGGAGTATCCCTGCGTCATTATACCCCGTCTATGCGAGAAAGACTCGGTCGGATGGCTGTAGGTTCGGTACCTGTATTACAGGCCACCTTTCTGATAACCGATTGTTCCTCTTTCATTACAGTGTCTTTCTGGCCGCCAAACACGCGGCCCCCGCCATGCGTCAGACCTCCAAGGACAAGCCAACGTCCCAGGGCAGCATCATCGCCACGGCCTCGGTGGCCGGCATCCGTTCCAACGCAGGGACCACCCCCTACTCCGCCGCCAAGGCCGCCGTCATCTCCCTCGCCCAGACCATGTCGTACCAGCTCGCAGGCACAAACATCCGCGTGAATGCCATCTGTCCGGGCCTCATCGAAACGGGTATGACTGCCGACGTGTACGAGGCCGCGCGGGCGCGTGGCACGGAAAAGAGGATCGGGCAGCTCAACCCTACCAAGAGAGGAGGACACGCCGACGAGATTGCGCGGGTGGCCCTGTTCCTAGCCAGTGACGAGAGTAGCTATGTGAACGGACAAGCGTGGGCCGTCGACGGCGGGCTCAGCGCCGGTCATCCGTACGTCCCGGGAAGGCTGGGCTAGCTAGGTAGCTTGACGCCAATCTTTGCTCCGTGCCTAATCCTTTTTCTTCGTTCTCGCCTAGGAACCCCCCCCCCCCCCCCCCCCCCCCCCCCCCCGGGCAGGGTGCCCTTTTAATCCTGTGAATGCAACCAAGTTGTTGAAAACCTCCCTCCCAGGTGAGAATGGTTTCACGGTGCGGACGAATTCCTCATGTATCTACATCCATTGGTCTAGGAGCAGCATCTTTCTCCAGTTGCCGAATCCGCCCGGTGATGCCTTCCTTCCATATGCGGTATTCTATGCGCTTCTGCTCACTTAGAAAGTCGTATCTGTCTTGGAACATGGTGTCTGCTCGGCGTACTGTCACCTTGACAGCTGACATGCCCCCCTCTTGACCGCCAAGCCCGCTTCGCTTTTCCCTCCTCGAATTGTCATCGTCATCAATGCGGTCAGCTGCTGCGATGACCTCACCAAGACACCGAAACCAGTCGTCCTCCAGGCAGCCACGGGTGGTAATCTCCTCCGCGGCGGCATCAAAGTCCCTGGCTTTGAGCGTGTGCCAACCTTCCCACGCATCTTCGTCGCTGAGCCCTTTCTGGGTCGCCATGGGCAGCTGCTGCTCTCTGGCCTTGGCCATCAGGCCCAGTACCTCTTTGCGTGCGGGGACGTAGGTGTCGCGGTTGATCTCCTGTCCGGTCCGTATCTTGAGCACCTGTTGGGTGACCAAGAAGTATAAGACTCCGCAGAGCGCGGTCAGATTGCCCAGCACCCATTCGTCGCGAGTCCTGCGGCCGCCAGGGGCGACGATAGACTCCACTCCGGCCAGTATGTTCGGGGCGAATCGTACGTATCCCGTCTCTCGGCATATGAAGCGTATTGTGGGTTGGAGCCACGGATGGAGGCCGGATCCCTCGGTTAGGGGAACGGTTAGGGGAACAGCTTTCCCGGTGGATTTTGAGGGTGTGTCGGGTGCGGAACGGAACATGGCTAGAGACTGGTCTTTCCCGGGCGTCGGTCTCGAAGGGAGGGGACGGCCGGAGTCACGCGTGTCGCGCAGCCTCGAACGAGGGGTACCATTTTTGCCTGGCGTACGGGGCCCTCCGGTAGCTGGTAATATATTGTCGAGATGCGCGTATAGACGCTTGTAGATGCGTGGGGGGATTGGGGGTCGTGGTTCGATCGGAGGGAGATTCAGGGAGATTTTGAGTCTGCGGTTGACATCGATCAGTGAGCGCACAACTATGTGCAAATTTCCACCAGAGTCATATACCTCTCACAAGCAATGTGGCAGCAAGCGTAGAGCCGTGCAACCTCCTCCTCGGTCTTGAGGGTGCTGGCACGAAGTCTAGACTGGGCAAGTAATGATCCTGCCAACTCGACAACAGGAGGAGGCAAGGCCGAGCTGTGTGTAGGCATCAGCGATAAGAGAATCGGCTCAATTGATCGGCTCATGATGACCAGGCTGTAATAATATGGTGGTCAAAGGCAGGGCAGAGTAGGGTCTGTGGTGATTCCTCGATGTAGTGTGACCGTGGGAGTGAAGACTGAAAGAGGGAGCGAGATCGACCTCTGCCTTTACGTTGTGGTTCCCTCGTGTACCCAAGGTACCTAGTGTGGGTCGAAGCTTCTCGGCTTCTGCACCTCTTGCACTGTGAACAGCCTCAGTTAGGTACCTTAGCACATTAGCACTGACTTAATCCCTGACCCCGGGCGACCCCACCCAGGTACCTTAGATCGGTGGACGATCCCGAACCTGCAAGTGCAACCGTGACCCAATTGCCGCGTCTCCCAATTGCCTCATCCTACACGTGTACGTCTTCGAAATACGGTATCCGTACCTCCTCTTCTCTCCTTCTCTCATATCACATCTTAGAACGGCTGCTTTTCGACTGAGATACCCAAGTCGGCCAGAGTCTGTCCAACATCTCTCGTCTACTTCATCCCCAAATGTCTCGGCTCCTGCTCTTGGGTCTTGCCCTTGCAGGCCCTGTGGTTGCCCACGGCGGACATGCCGGCCAGGCGCCCATCCTTGCCGACGATGCGGATTGGATGACGAAACATATGGCCGGTACGAGACGACACTATAGCGCTCATCGTCCTTCTATTACCTTACCTTTCCTCTTCTTCTGCCCTTGCTAACTCTCTTATTCTGGCTACTAGAGGAGCATCACATCGACGGCTGGGACGCGAAGTCGTTCTTTGCACTCCACGACTACAACAGCGATGGTTTATGGCAGATCGATGAGGTTATACGTACCTACGGCTTGATGGACGAGTCGAACAAGGACATGCCCCAAGATAAGAAACTCGCGATTGCGCGCGAAGTCATCGAGCTCATAGACAGCAACGGGGATGGCGTCGTCAGCAGGGAGGAATGGGACCACTACATAGAGGCCGGCGAGACGCTGCCTGACATGGACACAGGCCCTGGCCATCACGGAGACGACGAGTACGAATACGAGATACACCATTGGGAGAAGTGAGTCGACGGCCTGCAAGAAGAAGAAGATTATGGACACTGCTTTGCCAGGGTGGTGCACTGTTCGTTGTTGCTAACCAGTTGCATGATGGCAGGTATCATGACGAAAACACCAAGCTCGAGGACCTCACGCACCCCGAAGATATTGAGCATTTTAAAAAGCACGAGGAGATGGAGGAGGAAGAAGAGCGCATTGCAAATATGGAGAAGATGGCCATTGTGGAGGCGAATATTCCGTCCAAATTCATGAGAAGGTGGTGATGAGTAGTAAGTAACACGGGATATGAGATGGGACCCAGGAATGATATTTGACGAAGTATGGATTGTTGCTTAGGGACATGAATTTTCTGTATATATCCTCTTAATACATACGTCGAAGACGCAGTGCCACACGTCGGGCGCATATGTTTTGACCAGTTCAACATGTTCTACTTTGGCATGGCGCGAATTTCCAGTCCCGTTCTTTTCCGAGACTGCTGCACAGTCGTCAAATAAATTTTGTATCTCCTCGCGTCTGCGTCCCAAATCACTGAAGCCGACGTTCTCGTGGAGATGCAGCCAGCTGACTTCCCCTTCGAGAGCGGCCATGTCCCAGGCAGGGCGCCACGTCTCCTCACTGGTAGGGAGCATGCCGGCATTGACGTGGACGATGTCAAGTCTCAGCCCCGACGCTCTGATATCTTGCAGTCTGCGGGCGGCTTCCCGGTTGTCTTCCAGAAACACGATGATCCTTTCGTCGCCGGACACGAGCTCGGCCGAGGGACGGAGCAAGTCGTCCCCCTTCACAATCTTCACTCCCCATCCATTTGCCTTGCCGCCGCGACACAGGGCCTCGACGCTCCATGGGTTGAGTTCCCAGCAAAGGACGCGAAGCCGGAGCCGCGCATATGAGAATGTGAAATAGCCGATCCCGGCGTACAAGTCCACTGCCCACTGGCCCTCGGACCCAGGAGCAACGGCGAATCGGTGCGGCCAGGTGTCGTCGTTATGGAAGTTCAGAAGGCGGGCCTTCTCCTTGACGTTGCCCCGGCTGAACATTGTCCACCGCGGCGCCCAGGTCTGGTAGATTCCGTTCTGCTTGGTCGAAACCCACAGGGCCCGATCAAAATCTTCAGCGGACGGATTAGCGGGTGCCTGGCTTGGACCGAAATCACCGTACAACATCCTCAGCCCCTTGGGAGATCGGAGGACATTGTCGGTCCTATCAGCTTCCTGAGCAACCCCGTCGTCCGAAACCGGATCATGGGCGGGGCACCGTACAGGTATGCCTTCGTTGATGGCCAGATGAGTCGACAACCCCGAGTGACTGTGGGTTCGAGATATCTCGTCTAATATGGCTACCCAGAGATGATGGAGACTGGGCTCGTCGAGCTGGGGATGAGACAAAAGCGCACGCCATTGAGGGGTGTGAAAACTGCCAGCGGGGAGTAAGACCAGAGGCTCGTATACAGAGAAGCGTTTAGGTGTTTGTGCGAGGAGAGCATTATGACGGCCTAAGCCCGTAACGCTCTCGACCTCAACGGGAACCGTTGCAAGCCACTTCCTGGTGGCTAAAACGATCGGGTTTTCCGCCTTGACCTTTGGCGGCCGACATTGACTTTTTGTGGCTGTTGTCATATCTTTAACAATAAGCTGGATTAGGTTTCCTGGCTTTTCCATCAACAAAACCCAGAGGCGTCACTGAGTACCCAGGTAGACATCCAGCCATTTCGGCCAAGGTTTCTGACCGAAGTGGAGACAGCAACTAGGTGTGGGGACATGCATGAACACGGAAACACCAACTCTTTTCCGTACGAAACGCGTTCGCCGGAACCGTCACCTCCAAATTTCTTGCACATGCGAAGTAAATTATCCGTACAAATTCTCTGAGAATTACGAATGGAGAGATGTCCAGACTGACGTCTCGCTCCAAAACTGCCAAATGGACTCCCTATTATCGGCGCATCTCGCCTATCTGAGCAATGCAGCTCATCTACTCCGGGGGTCAGCGCCCGAAACATCGGCCTACCTGATGAGCCGCCGCAATGAGGTCATGTTCGCCCATGAGATCGAACAAACGGAACATCAACGGCTTCACGTGTGTGGGTGCTGTGGCCATATCATGGTACCGGGTCAAGGGACCACTTTGACCATCGAGGCGGCAACGAATGCCTTGCGGAAATGGAGGAAGAGCCATGCTCTTCAGGCAGAGCAACGCACAGCTGCCGCTCAACAACAAACTGAACAATCAAATCGGACGACGCGAGCTTCGGAAGAGAGGGGGCGAATGCGGCAAGTAATCCAATGCGGTAGCTGTCATCGTGCCACCACCGTTGTCGTCCCCAAACTTGCTAGGGGGGCTGGACACAATGGCCGGGCCAAAGGCAAAAGCAAAGGAAAAGCAAAATCTGCCGAAGTGGTCGAGAGTAAGCAAACCACCACAGAAAGTCTGACGACAATCGCTGGGGAGAAGCCCGTGGGGAAGTCCATTCCCACCACCTCGGTAGCGGCGAGAGCAGAAGATGGATCAAAGAGGTCCACGCCAATGACGGGAGCAACAACAACAGCAACGAAGGCCAATGCCAATGCCAGCAGCAAGAAACGCGCCAAGCAGAGGAAAGCAGGGCTCCAAGCGTTGTTGGATCAAGCACAAACCTCTTCCCGCAATCTCAGTCTCGCAGATTTCAGGAAAAAATAAGAGAGGTATTCAATCACAATGCTCGCCACATCGGATACGCCCTGCATCCGTTGCACGTCGCACGTCGCACCTTACCGCGTCGCATTACCAACAATTTTGCTGCCCGCGACCAGATTCGACCAGGTGCCTGGGGAACGTTCTGGAAGCCGCCGGTGATGACCATCCCGTTTGAGGTACCTTGGGTAGCTTCGGTACCTTGTCCTACCTTTTCTAAGGTATCTACCTACCCCAAACTCCAGCTGGCTAAGGTATTTGGGGTCTAATTGGGAAGTGCTCCGCACCTTATATGGCACCTACTCAAGTATCTGGAGCCACTATTGTCGGTCATGTTGGTTCTCTTGATGTGTTGAGCTGGTACATTTGCTTCGATGGTACTTGTGGAGCTGACATGACCGAACCCCGCGACTATCTACTAGGCCCCCTCCGTTGAAGTTGCCCCTCCATCGGGGGAAAAAAATAAAGAAGGGAAAAAATATTCACGACCAATCCTGTACCCCGCCGTTATATTTTATGACACCACCCCGCCATCGACATCTGCTCTGTTCAACTCAACTCTGGTGTCACTTCAACGCCCGACACAAAAGAACATTTCGTCGCGTAGTTCTTCGAGATCGCGCGGGAGCATACAATCTCGTCTACATACAGCCTACTTGTGTGAACAAGCAAGAAAAAGAAGAAAAAATGGCGACCGAGAACAAGGCAAACGCCAAAGATTTTTTCGAGACCATCGGCCAGAAGGTCGATCCGTCCTCTGAAGACATCCAACCCGTTGAGGAGATCGAGTCTCTCTGCATGAATTGCGGGGGAAATGTACGTTAATTCGACGACAGCATGCAATGGTCCTAGCTTTCTCGCGAGACGTTGATCGCTGACTACTTTTACTCTACAGGGTATCACCCGGCTGCTCCTCACGTCTATACCTTACTTCCGTGAGATCATCATCATGTCCTTCTCCTGCGAACACTGTGGGCTCCGCAATAACGAAGTTCAACCCGCTGGCACCATCCAACCCAAGGGAACTCACTATGAACTACGCCTGACTGCGATGCCCGACTTTGCCCGTCAGGTTGTCAAGTCCGATACTGCTACCGTCAAATTTATCGAACTCGACATCGAGGTCCCTCCCGGAAAGGGCCAGCTCACCAACGTCGAAGGCTTGTTGATGAGCATCGTTGAGGATCTCCAATTTGGTCAAGAAACCCGGAAAGAGGAGGCGCCCGAGGTTCACGATAAGGTGGCCGCGGTCATCGATAAGGGCCGAGCCATGTTGGCCGGCGAAGCTTTCCCCTTCCGAGTCACCATCGACGATCCGGCCGGAAACTCCTTCATCACTCCAGACCTGAAAGACGGCGTGGGCAAGTGGGAGAAGCACGAATATCAGCGGACGCCGGCCCAGAACGAGGCTCTGGGCTTGTCCGCCGACAGCGGCGACGTAGGCGCCGACGGAAGCCGCCCGGACGGCCAACCGGGCCTTGACGCCGACGGGAACATCATCCCCAACGAGGTCTACAGCTTCCCTGCCAGCTGCCCGGGATGCATGAAGCATTGCACGACGCACATGAAGATGGTCGACATCCCTCACTTCAAGCAGGTCGTCCTCATGTCCACGGTCTGCCACCTCTGCGGCTACCGTTCCAACGACGTCAAGACCGGCGGCGAGATCCCCGAGAAGGGAGAAAAGATCACCATCTCTGTGCAGAGTTCGACGGACCTGTCGCGCGATATCCTCAAATCGGAGAGCTGCCAACTTGAGTGTCCAGAACTCGGCCTGTCCGTCAACCCGGGCACGCTCGGAGGCCGCTTCACCACCATCGAAGGCCTCTTGACCCAGGTGCGCAACGACCTGCACTCGCAGATCTTCGAGGCAGACGGTGGCGCCGCGGGCCAGGGCGGCGACTCGCTTGTCCCCGAGGAGAAGGCCAGATGGACCGAGTTCTTTGACGGGCTGGACTCTGCTATCAATGGCGAGCGGCCTTTTACTGTGATCCTGACCGATCCGCTTGCCAGCAGCTACGTGCAGTCGCTTGTCGACCCCCCTGCACCCGACCCACAGATCACTAGGGAGTCGTACGAGCGGGCGGAAGAGGAGGAGGAGGACCTAGGACTCCTGGACATGAAAGTGGAAGGGTACGAGGAGGATGCAGAAAGGACAAAGACGGAGGAGGCAAAGACGGAGGAGGCAAAGACGGAAGAGCAGGCCAACGGCGAGAAGGCGGATGACGCTAGCCAGAGGTAGTGGTCGGGGGGGGGCTGGGCAGCTAGGAGTAAGAGCAATGTGCACGACGGAAATGACGATAGACTATGCTTGGTCTCGAGACATCTTTGCATCATCCGACTGCTTTGGTAGGAACATACTAGCACTTTTTTTTTACGGTAAAAGAGGAGGCATGGATTGTTTCTCGCACCTTGGATTTTCTCGTGAGATGAGTGGTTGGTACATCACAACTCTCTTACTCATATATATTCATCTATATCCCATTCACACGTCTCATCTAGATACCAAATGCTTTGATATCCTTGATCAAATCTACAATGCTTTTTTCCAAGGGAATCCAGTCAATGCCCAAGATGGCATTGGTCTCTGAACTGTCGTAGTTGAACAGCTTGTCCGCAGGGGGATACTCTCCGCCAGTGACCTCGGGTCCTGGCAGGCGGTCCTTCAGCTCGGGGAAATTCTCGCGGGCAGCCTTGGCAATCTCGGCGTTGCAGAAGCGGCCAGCAGTGGCGAAGAGGCGGTGACCACCACCAGCCTCGGGACGCTCGAGGGCACGCAGATGGGCGAGGGCAACATCGCGGACATCGATCCAGAGGAAAGGGGGCCCTGTCTCGGGGACGCTGGATTTCCAGTCGCCGCGGGCGAGGGCGACGACACGCTCGTTGGAGGTGTTGATGGCGTCGAGGCTGGCGAGGTGGTGGATCACGGGACCGAGGACCAGGGGCGGGCAGATGGTGACGAGGTCGAAAGAGGGCTTGCTGGAGTCGACGAAGTCCCAAGCGGCGCGCTCGGCGAGCGTCTTGGAGGCGCGGTAGGCGGTAGGCTTGGAGCGGTGGATGTCGTCTATGGTGACCGGGTTCCAGGTCCGTTCGGAGAAGACTACGCTGGGATCTTCGAGGCGGGTTTCATCCAGGATGGAGGCGAAGGAAGAGGTGATGACCACCCGTTTCACGCTTGGGGCTGAGCGGTGCAGGGCTTTCAGGATGCCTGTCGTGCCGATGACGGCCGGGTTGACGACTTCGGTGAGGGGATCGGCTGGGATAGGGGTAGTTTGTCCAAGTTAGTTTTGACGGTCCGGGCAGCGAGAATGGAGAGGACAGGAGGGCAGATGAGAAGGGACGAACGTACTCCACTTGTAATGGAAAGGCGAAGCAGTGTGCAAGACGGCTTCCAGGCCGGGCGTCTTGACCACTTCGTCAAAGGCATCCTCGCGAGCAATGTCTGGGACGATCACGACGTCGAGAACGTCCCGGCCGAGGTCCTTGTGGGCATCGCGAATCTTCTGGGCCTTTTCTTCAGACCGTACAGTCGTAACAACTTGGTGGCCGGCTTCGAGCAGCTGCTCCAAGATATGGGCTGGTCGGTGTTAAGTCAATATAAAGGAGTCATGAGAAAAGGCTTCCTTGCCGCTCCCAGAAAACCTATCCTTTGAGCATCAGAAGGAATTGTGGCCAGGGTCGGACTGAGCGTTCTCTAAAGGAAGCTCAGATAGGACAAGTGATGCTAATGGGGAGATACGGACATACCGGCAATGAAGCCCGAGCCACCTGTTTGAATATACGAAAATATATCAGCATACTCCTGAACATCGTCTAAACGCAGGAGACGGGGACAGTTTGACAGCGGAACCCCAGGTAGAAGACAGGGCTAACCTGTGAGAAGAATCTTGGTCATTTTCTAGGTTATATATGATGCCCCTGTCAACCCGAGTGAAGGTAGAGAATACGTCTTGAGCACGAGAGCAGGACAAATATCGAAGCTGCGGAGCGCGGAACTGAGTTTGGCTGGAGTAGCGTCCAGCAGTCTGCGTCCAGAAATAGGAAGACAAATCGGGAAGGAAATGAAAGAGGAGCAAGGGAGCGTGCGAAGTTGCTGTAGTATATGCGTAAGTAAAGTACGTTGGTAAGTAATAGTTGTTTATTTCTACTCGGATCTTGGGATCCGACGTCGGTAGATGACCTCCTTATATACGGAGTCGTGAGGCAGTACACTAGTGTACTTTACGGGAGCAAACTGAAACTGGAACGGTTCGCCGAGCTCTAATATTCCGTCCACTTAAAGTGCAATGCGATGACGCCACTCCTAGTTCACTGGCTAGTCTCTGGTATCTTCTCCTCTTGTTTGAATGGGATATGTGCTGATAGTCAGGGAAGAGGAACAGAGAGAGAGCGAAAGATGGTGCCGTTCTTGCCTGTGGTGCCTACATTATTATGCGACGTTCTCCGCTGACCTCCACCACTGGAACCCCTCCTACCCCTCCAACCCCTCCCCTCAATACTAGTTCCCAAAACCGTGGGCTTCCTCGTGGGGGAATGGGATTTGCACCCGATCATTGGACACACCACACCTGGGTGGAAGGCGGGAGGTTTCTGTAGGTAAGGTACTTTAGGTACTTCGTACACTTTACACTGTATCGGGCATTTCATAGGTACGTAGCACTCCGTAGGAGGTAATTAGGTATGATAGGCGGGTTACGTAACACGCACAGGGCTTGCTGTTAGGCCTTATAGTATCTCCACCACGGCAGGTATCTAGGGAGCTCTCTTCTATCAATTAATAACCTTATTACCGAAGAAGAGCGTTGTTTTAGGTGCGAATACGGAGGGAGTATCGATAGTTATTTCGCGGAAGACAAAAAGGGGGGAACACATGTCTCCGTATCTACCGACGACGTCACTCACACAGCGACCCCCACCCAACAGTCCCCCTAAGGTACCCGTAATGCCCGCCACGAAGGTCGGCGCCGCGATAAGTCGGCATTGCAACGTATATAATAGCATAAAGGCGTATGACCCGAAAAAACTCGAGGGTTCTCATGTTGCGGGGCATTCCATGGATGGGTTCGGTCAGTAAGACCCAGAGGACTAAGCTGAGACTAAAGCCAACTTTGGTTGGTTTCGCTACTTTGGACGTATATTCACCTATTTAAATTACAAGAGTAAATAAACAAATGAAACTAAGGTAAATCATTAATACTACACTCGTGGTTAGAGCATCGCTGCTGTTTGTTCTTTCTCAGGTTCCCCCCTTTTCTTCTGCTAAACCACCCACGCCGCGACTGAGCGGGTGCTCTGCATCTCGGGGGATACCTCCATTTGCCCTTTTAGTACTTTGGGGAGTAGCTGGTCCTAGCATTCCATTTCAAGTTACACGTCGAACGATATCATGGGCAGACCATGTCTGCCCTCGACATGCCCTCGAGGAGTGATGGACCGTCCTATTACCCTGACTAGGCCAGCGCCAACCCAATCTTCATAAGCGGAGAGGGGTGTTTGTTTCTGTTATGACGACAGCCCAAAGGAAAGAGAGATGTACTGTGACCGGTATTCGGCCCCGAGTCGGGAAGCCATCTTGCAAGCCATTTCCCCGACTACCTACATCTTCTTGCGGACGTCGTATTTCCCCCGAAAGGTGGCGGTAACAAATGTTGGGAAGCGGTCAACCGTGCTGCTCCGGCAGCTCCCTGGATCAGGCGATGGTGTCCTCAGACTACCCATCAGTCCGTACTCTCCCGCCATTAGTTCGCGGGAGGCGCTGCCGGAGGAGGCGACGCAGGCGGCTCGGAAGCACCGTCATCGGGTTCCAAAGGCGGTATCCCGGGAGCCTGCATAAGTCCGGGCTTAGACGGCACCACAAGTGGACCCTTGGGCACAGGTTTCCGGTTCACCAGCTTCTCGCCCCGAATGACCTTCTCGACTTCCGACACGTCGAGCGTCTCGTACTCGACGAGGGCCTTGGCCAGCAGGTCGAGTTCTTTCCGCTTGGTCGTCAAAAGCTCCCGCACGTTCTCTTGCGCCTCGCTGATGGTCCGATGCACCTCCGACTCGATCACTGCCCTGGTCTCCGAGCTGAGTTGCTTATATCTCCTGCCGTATTCGACCGGGCCGAGCTTGGCGGACATGCCGTACTGTGCCACCATTTGAAAGGCGATGTTGGTAGCATTTTGAAGGTCCTGTCATGAAAAGGAATTTCTTGTCAGTCAAATATTCTCGCTGGCACGATGGACAAAGAGAGACATGCGTGGAAAACTTACATTGGAGACGCCAGTAGTGACCTTGTCTTTGCCATAAACAAGTTCCTCAGCCAGCTTGCCACCCAAAGCTGTCTCGATGAGAGATCTCAGATCCTGCGTGGTGTACGAGTACTTGTCCATTTCCGGGAGATGTGCAGTGTGGCCAAGGGTGCTGCCGCGAGGCAGGATGGTGACCTTGTACAGCTTGTTGGGACCGTGCACGTTGAAGAACGAGACAAGAGCGTGACCGGCCTCGTGGTAAGCCGTCATCTCCTTCTCCTTCTCGCCGATCACAGTCTTCCGCTCGGCGCCCATGATGACCTTGTCCTTGGCCCATTCAAAGTCGCGCATCATCACAGCCGACTCCTTCAGTCTGCTGGCTCGGATGGCCGCTTGGTTGACGATGTTTTCTAGTTCAGCTCCAGACAGACCTGGAGTGCTAGCCGCAATGGCCTCGAAGTTGACCTCCGACGCCGCCTTGATCTTCTTGGCGTGGTGTTTCAGGATATCGATTCGTCCCCGGACGTCCGGCAGCGGCACGGTGACAAGGCGGTCGAATCGGCCAGGACGGGTCAGGGCCTTGTCGAGGAGTTCCGGGAAGTTGGTCGCCGCGATGATGATGACTCCGCTGTTCTGCTCGAAGCCGTCAAGCTCGGTCAAAAGCTGGTTAAGAGTCTGCTTCACATATGCCGCATCCCGGGCGTTGCGTCGCCCGCCGATAGCGTCCAGTTCGTCGATGAAAATGATGGAAGGCGACTTGCTCTTGGCGGCCGCGAAGAGATCCCGGACTCGTTTGGCACCGACGCCGACGTAGACCTCATCGAACTCGCTACCCGACATGTAGAAGAAAGGCACACCGGCCTCGCCAGCGACGGCACGGGCGAGGAGGGTCTTGCCAGTCCCCGGGGGGCCGACCAAGAGGATCCCCTTGGGCAGCTTGCCGCCGAGAGTAGAGAACTTTCCAGGATTGCGGAGGAACTCGACCAGTTCTTGAAGCTCGTCCTTCGCCTCAGTAGCACCGTGGACATCAGCAAACCTCGTCGTCTGGGCTTCCGCCCTCACTTCGGAGTCGGTCTTGCCGCCTGGGCGCTTGAACAAGTTGAGACCCTCAATGAGGAACGAGACGACGACCAGACTGAGATACGTGAAGAAGCAGAACCACAGCAGGAACTTAACCCAACGGAACACGATGCCGCCAACCGATTCGTCGACCACGACGTGCAACGGCCCATCCTTGGAACCAACACCGGAACCCTTAGCTACAGCGATGTTTGCGTCTCGCGACCGTGCCGCGATGGCTTGTCCCACAGCCTGCAACTGTGCTTGGGACAGGTGACCTGTTGGGGTGTTCGTATCCGTCTGGTGGCCCGAGAAATGGGTCGACACGTCCCCGTTGCCGGTAGCCACCGGGTGTTGCATCATCAAGGCTCGGTGGTAGGCGTCATCGGCAGCTTCATTCGTGGCGAATCTGCCGGACTGGTAACGCTCGATGATGATGGCCGGCATGTTCGCTTTGAGAAGTAACTGGTAGAACGCATTCTGAGCCGTGGCGCTGTTCGGGTTTCGGTTCGCCGCAGCTTCCCTGCTAGCGAGGAGGTTTCGTGAAATCCCGCCACTCCCGCCGCTTGACCCGAAAGGACGAGTATGAAGCAGCAAACCTAAGGATTGTGTTGTCGGTCTCGGTGTGACTCGCAGGTAGGGCGCGGTTGCCAGCTTAAACATGAGCCGCATCGTTGGTGGAGACATCAGTGGTCTTCGAAGAACGGAACTGGCCGCACTCAGTGCGAGCGCTGCCGTGGGCCGCAGAGCCATGGCACGTTCTTGTCGGATGTGGCCAGTTGAGACTCTGATGGACGGTCGAAGAGGAAGCCGGATTGGCCAGCCTCAGCCCAAATCGGTGAAGATTCAAAAGAACGAAGGTTATCGTATGGATTGTTTCGTATGGGTAGGAAGCACAACTACCGATGATCCCTCATGTTTGTTATTCTTGCCGGGTTGTTGTGTTGGGTGGGTTTGTGGATGAGGCAAAACAACACCTGACGTTGAATTCGAGTTGATGAAAGCCAGCTATGTTGAACGAAGGCTTCGGTGGCTCCGGAGTAAATCCGGCGGCAAAAGAGCGTTGAACGTTCTTTGACCTAAGCTGTCCAATCAACTTTTCAGTTCAGCCCAGCACCGGCACGTCGGTTAAACGTATCTCCGGAACTACCCTAAGAGCCCACCTCCATAAACGGTCTTCAGTGGGCCCGGAGAAGTTCGGAACTGTTGGGTGGGTCATGTGACCTCCTCTCGGGCTAGGAAGCTTACCTTATCCTAGGGTAATATTCCTTCCACTGTTGTATAGTGGGAGGCAATAAGTATTTGAACACTCCTATGTATTTGAGGCTAGATAGTAAGCCTATATGCCCTCAGCCTGATATTTTGTGGGTCGATGGTACATAGGCGTATTCAAATACTTTTTGCCAGGGGCTGTACCTAGGCAGTTGGGTTTCCCCTCCATCAACAACACTTATTAACCGAGCGTCAATCGTTGTTTCAGGACCCTCTTGTCTTCGTAACTTTTGGAACGGAGTACAGTGGCGTCACAAAATACTTGCCTTCATACGGAGGTAATGTAGGGGAAGTCGCGTCTGTTCGGTGAACTGAATAGGGGTACGGCACTTTTCAAACAGAAGCTGGACGTCTGACTCTTCACTTTCATCATACCTAAGGTAGTCAAAACAGAGGGTGGTGCCTTGTCGAATGCATATCTCTTCCTGAATAGAACGGCTTCTCAGCACCTCATCTCCAAAATGCTCGTCGTCACCTGATACACGCATTATTGAAGCACTCTAGGGCACTGTCCAATAGCCGTCCGATTCTCATCCATCGTATTACATTCAGCCCTCTTCAGTGAATCGTCAAGAGCCCCGGTAGAGTTCGGGATGTCCTTTAAGCCCCCCGCCATTTCTTCATGCGCATATGCTCCCGAGTATTCCTTGCGCATCTCGTCACATCATGGCCACTTAGGGTATTGGCCGACATCGTGAACCCGACATTCCTTCATCCTCCTCTTAAAACCGCTGTGAATAACCGCAGGTATTATAACAAACTGCAACTGATGAGAGAAAATGAGCATGCAGTGAGAAAGGACTGATCCAACATTTGTAACGCCGCGATCCACGGACCATGTGCCAAGCGGCCAGATGCAACATGATTAAACTGAAAATGGAAAAGGCAACTCCAAAATCGAGAAACAAAAGAGAGAATAAAAGGGGTGGGTGGGGGCAATTGAGAGATAATGCAACAATATACATCGCCCACTCCAAGCAAGCAAAACCCCAATATACAAGGGGCGAGTCGACATTATTAGGTCGAGGAAAAGAAAAATAAGGCAAGAACAAAGAATGACTGGCTCGTGGATCGATGTTGGTGTCATCGTCCGATCTGTTCGCCGGGTATCTTCAAAGAATAGTGGGCGCCATTGTTGAACATTGCAACGAATGCGGTGCTCCGTCAGCATGCCGGTCCTGTAAGCCCGCGTGGTATTCGCTTTCCCATGGGTATTTGAACGCAGAAGGATAGAGAGAGGAAAGGAATTAAAACTCCGATCGAACGAAAAACGGCGCCGCAGGTTGTACACGCAGGAATGCCCCGTGAAAGGAGGCCTGCAAAACAGAATAATGATATGCTATAAGCAAAGCGACACAAGATAGACGGAGAGTACAAAAGTCGGGAAAAGACTGTTTGTTCGTTAAAGGGTCGCGATCCGAGCACTCGGAAGTTGCATCGATGGATCTTCGAATTCTATTTTGGGCCCCCAGATGTCGTAGGTACCCGATCCAAAAGCCGGAAGCGAGCCGATGGTTGCCACCTCCACCGGCGTTTGGTATGGAAGGCCATGCCAATAATCTTCAGCCTGCTGCTGAGGGGGTGGGGAGGGGTATGCCTGGGCAACGTGCTGAACTTCCTGGACATGCTGTGGGACCTGCTGTACAGGTTGAGGTTGCGGGGCAGGGGGTTGAGTCTGACCCGTCTGGGATGTGGTGTGGACTGGCTGTTGGCATGCTGGTTGTTGCGTCGGCTGCTGCTGGTATTGGACGACAGTTGTGTGTGGGTGTTGCGGCGAAGTGCCCTGATGTGGATGGTGCTGGTCATCCGAGGCACCAGAGCCGGCACTGTTCAGTGCGAAGGCAGCCGTCTGTGTTTGCTGCTGGGCGTAAAACCCTTCGTGTGTGGAAGGACTGCCGCCCGAAGCTGCTGAAAACCCGCTTGGGCTACTCTGGAGGGAATGGCTCATGTTGGAACCCGTGTAAGGGATCTCCAGCATGGGCCGCTCAGGGTGTCTTTGGTCGGGATACCGGGGAGGCACAGCATTGGTATTCATCGTTGCGACCCCGGGATTGCTGTGTTCAGTCACGTAATAGGGATGATGCGGCATACTCGCGGTCCGATGGAGCATGTGTACGCTTGTGTGTGACGGCTGATGTTCTGGGACGGCGTGGGGGTGGTAGTCATGGGGATTGCCGGACGCAATACTATGTCGATGAACGAATTGTGGTTCCGGAGGCTGCATGGAGTAGTTTATTTGTTGGCCAAAGTCGGCAAATGATGCAGCGCGATGCAACGTGTGGCTGTGTGGCATGGAACCGTGGTGCATGGGCATGACCTCTTGGGGAGACCATTGTAGGCCAGGGTGCTTAGGGGTCGAGGGAGATTCGCCACTGTCCGAATCGGACGTACAGTCATCGATTTCGCTGGGATGTAAGCCTCGCTGATGGGACCGTCTTTGGTGCTTGACCATCGTGGTTTTACGACAGAAGCTATGGACACAGATTAGTCGTTTGTATCACATCAAGACTCATCGGCAGGGCGAACCTTTTCAAACAGCCTTCGTGAGCACATTTGTACGGGCGTTTGCCGGTATGGATACGGCGATGACGGGCAAGACTAGATGACTGTGACGAGTTAGCAACGCCTGCCACGGAAGATACACGACAGGGGCGACCCACGTCAGAGAAGCGTTTGCCGCAGCCTACATGTTGGCATTGGTGCGGCTTTTCTCCGGTATGGGTACGAATATGGACAGTCAGGGCGCTTCTCTGAATGAAGCTTTTACCACAGCCTGGTTTGGAGCACGCGTATGGCCTCTCATTTGTGTGGATACGGTAATGCCTCTGCAAATCCGACTTGCGATTGAAACTCTACACGGGATAAAGTCAGCATGAAAGTCCGGTGTCTTTTCTTTTCTTTTCTTTTCTTTTCTTTTCCTCTTTTTTTTTTCTTCTGGTGCGTGTTAGATGGTCCCTACTTTGTTGCACGAGTGCCAGTCACACCGAAAGGGACGAGCCGTAGGCTCATGATCCACAAGTTCCATGAGTTCCATGTCCTTGGTTCCGATCTGGAGTGGTGACGGGACGATGATCCCAAATTCGGTGCAGTGATCGGAGACGTCACACGGGCATTCGCAGTGTGGCAAGCAAGTAGAAGGAAGCGTCCCGTTTCGCCGTGTAACCAATAAACCAAATTCAGCTCGATAGGTTGTTGCTGCCAGGCCACGTAACGATCTGCAGGGTCAACTGGTTCGGGAGAAAGGCAGCCTTAATGCACTTGCTCAATGCCGCTTCGTCGAGGTGTATCTTTTGCTCTTGGTTTGGGCGGGCCGATCGCCCAGGGAAAGGGACGAGTTTGCACACACGAGTGTTTGGCCCAGGCTCGGTGTGCTGAAGGCAATTGTCGGGTTAGATTATGCGATCTTGGACGGCCAGCGTCAGCGAAGTATGCAAAGAGGGTCCCGAAGAACGAAGTCGAGTTCTGTTGTCGACTCCCTCTTTTGTCGTCGAGAACAAGGCAACAGTATATCTCAGCCTGACGTCCGGCGAGATATTCCAACGGTGAATATTGCTGGGTCACCGAGTAAGAAGAGTAATTGGACGGAAAGAGATGTGGCGAGCTTAGATTGTCGTGCCGAAACGAGCTGTTGCTCTCCTTCCCAGGTGATAGAAAAGACGAAATTCGACAAAAATGAACAGAAGCGTCCAGTCAGCCAGGCGACAGCGAGTTGTTGATAGTAATGGGCGTCCTTGAAGAACAAGCCGGAGAAGCGAGGTAGATATCCAAGTTGGAAATGAAAAGATAGGAGTGAAAAGGATACACATCAACACGAGCCGACATACACATCTGTACACACACCGCACAGAGGTATAGATAAAGATAGCGAGACGGGAAGAGTGCGAGTGATAATTAGAAAAAGAAGGACAGGAAAGAGAAGAAGGGTTGTTATGCGTCTTGTGAAGACTCTGAAGGGATGGTCGTCTCGAACCTCGTGGCTTGAGTGGGGGGGAGTGCGAGCACTGATACCTATATTCCACATGTAATGCCGGCAAAAGCACAGCATACATACACCTTACATTGTACGTTGTATGTAGAAAGAGGGTGGGATCTCTTCCAGTCGGAGGGGTGCTGAGACGGGCAGGAGGAGGGAGAGATGCAGCGGTGCCTGGGAGTTCCCTTGTCGGACAAGTTGACCGGGGACCCCTGCCCTGTCGGGAGGGGCAGAGAAACGCTCAAGCGCTACTGACAGAGCCAGGGGTCCCTGCGGAGAAAATGGCCCAAGTCAAAACGGGCCAAGGGCAATGCAGGTGGTCGCAGCAGCTGTGGGCGTGGGGATCTGCAGAACGGGGAATATCCCCTGTGCGTCGGGTGCGTCAGGTCATATGTACAGACTTCAAAGAGGAATGGCCCCGATATAGGTGCGCCACACGTAATAAGGATCGCTTACAATGTGCGTTGTACATATGGGCGATTTTGGAATATTGTGGACGATAGTGTGGGGTGGGGCTCCTTTTTGGGCGAGCAGCTCGAAACGAGCATGAGTTATTGCCGACATATGTACGTTGTACCTTATACGTTCAGAGTAGGTAGTGTGGTAAGGTACGCAATAATTTGTCTCGACCTGCAGCTCATTCTCTCCAATTTTGATACCAGTTCCATGTACCTTACAGAATCGTACGAAGTACTTCGTACATAATCCCCCTTGAACTTGTAGCCTGACGTGACTCCTTTCCACAGCAACAAATATCCTACCAATTCTCCGGAATCCATCCAACGCGACGCCTCCTCCACTGGTCCATACTTGCCCTACCGCACGCTGTTTGAAGCCATCATCGCCCTTCTCTCGCCATGGTGGCTCTTCTTGGCGAAGTCGCTGACGAGTGGGTGGTGGCATTTGTTGCAAGAACAACGAAGCAGCCAAGCATAAATTAAGGTTAACGGCTGCCGAGTCTACCTACTGTTAACGAGGAGAGACGTGAACTGGTGAGCGTTAATGATTGGTGGGATCCAGGCTGGGAATTGAATTGTGTTGTTCGTTATCGTCCCGCTTTCTATTCTATAAGACTAATCAATTATATAGTGTCGTAAAAGGCACGAAACCCGGCTCCCTGACCCAGCCAGAGGTTGGGGTAAATGATCGGTCAGTTAAGTGAGACCTCCTTGTTAGAGGGTCCCCAGAAGAAACATGTCGGGAACTGCCCAGCAACAGCAGATTTGGCCGCTTGTATGCAATGTGAAGTCGATAACGATCAGGACAGCAATCCATCTTATATATGTTGTGATTGTGATGGTCGTCTCGGTTATTTTTACTCCGTCCTGTCGCTGTATCATATAATCATACCACGATGGAGTTTGTATGGAGTCCATCCATCTGGTCTTTCCCCTATCCTCCCGGCCGTAGCAGTGACAGTTTATAGGTCAAGTCAGGCACTTCATAATCCAGCAGTAGACAAGTAATATCACTTTTAAGGACCCTGGCATATATCCCGCCAAGGGGGCAAACCTGTTGATGCATCATGGCTCTGAACTCGGCTCCGATTAGACACGCCCAGGATTTCCTACAAGCAAACTTAACGGGGCCAAGACCTGGGTCTTACTGGCCTACGGACACACGCCAACAAGGCGAGGAAAGCACCTGCATGCCTTTGCGAGCAACACACACATACACACACATACACACACACATGAGCAGGAAGACACGAGAGAACAGGCCGAGAAGGTGATACTAATACTGCCAAGTTGGCTAACGGTAACTAGCGAGTACCTATCTGGATAGGGTGCTACTCCGTACAGATCTGCTGCGCTACAAAGGCTCCAACTCGGCATTTCGCTGCATACCTAGGGAACTACTAGGCCTTAGCTGGGACGAAAGTGTTCAATAAACCGAATTATAAATTATACTAAGACATCGACTTTTCGCGGGATACCCAGAGACGGACATATGTCGTAAAGCTACGAAGTACGGTCCTCCGTACATAGTATTCTTACAAAATCGTACGGACCCAGTTTGAGGAATGAAGTCGCCTATGATCGAACGGCCTCCCCGCCTTTCCCTAAGAGCTCTCGTGTTAGCGTACTAATCGTTCACGACGGTATTTTCTAGCAGTTCTTGATTCGCACTATGCCTTTAATACAAAGTAGTGACTATCGGTGTTGTCCAGCCCGATCGAGACCTCTTTGGACGTCAGGAATACAATACGCGCTAATATCCAATGTCACCATTGCTCCAGCCATTACCTATCGTCAACGTGATCTATGCAACACCTCGAGTGTATATATTGAACTGGATTTTCTTCCACGACTTGATTTATGGTCGATTGACGGGTAATCATTAATATGCCGGGTGACTAAACCGTCTTGTCTGGATACCGCGAGACACTTATTAGAGGGAACATGAAGAAGAAGAAACAAGCCAACACCCAAATACGCGAGGCCAACAACCATCAACTTAGGTAATCGATGCCGACTATAGTGAAGGATGCCCTAGGCGAGAAGTGGGGCAACGAAAAATATAAAAGACAGGGGCACAAAGAGAAGGAGAAAAGGTGAATGACCTGAGGTACAACGTAAGGTAAGGTAGTTACATAACTTTGTACTCGTTGGGCTAGAAGATAGTGTCTGTGGCTAAGACTAAGGGGCCGGGGGACTAGCACCCGGTAGCCGACGCCTAGACTTCATGCACTGTGGGGTTCACTCATCAGGTGCTGTGAATAAGGGCCAGCCTCTTTGCTACTTAAAGTACACATGTACAACTTAGACAACTCTGCAGAAGAAGACTTGCTTGGCAGTAGTCAAGTCGTGGTAAATATAGGGGTCGTTGTCGAGTAATTCAGGCTAGCGTTGTCTTAGAGATCTGGGCAATCGCGAGAGCTCCATTAATATATCGTCAATAAGAGTTTTTATCCAGATACTACGTAATTATATACCTATACGTCTACGTCGTATGTACAGACATCTAGGTACCTAGTTCATACCTATCTTATACGTAAGCAACTTTAACTTGAGCTGACCCACTACCGATACCTAATCATGTTGCTTTCATCTCATTTCTCAATTGTTCACCTACGAACAAGTATGGATGGAGTAACTATTACTACCTAGTACTACCCTGTCCATTATCACCTGTGATATACTTACCCTTGCACTTACTAGCCACTTCTTATACACGTAAAAGATTCGACCTGGGATAAACAAGAATTTAAGGGGGGGGGGGGGGGGGAAGAAGAACCAAAAAAAACCCTCAAGAAATCAGGCCAGATATAGACTAACTGATAAACTCCTGATAAACCGACTCTGCTTTCCTCTCATTGAAGGTATCGCAGGATCTAGCCAGCGAGTTTCTTACTCTTATTCCCATAAACTTGAGGGCTTATTGAAGAGGTAGGTCATGTCACTTCGATCACCCAGTCGACGGACAAAAGCTTTTTCCGCCCATGATCTTCTTGAACTCTTGACATATGGATACAATATATCGACATGTACTTATTAGAGCTGTTACCCCCGCCGTCAAGTATGAACGAAGTATGCCCTGAAAGCAACGAATACATTTATGTACGCTGTAACTGTTCCCTCGGCTACGAAGCACTAGTACATATGGCGGTCGAAGCACTAATGCATGCTAATCATGTTAGCCAGATTCTACGCAACTGACTGATGCACCATTATTGTCAAGTTGCCCACTAATAAACAGGAAGACATCCGGTTCTGACAAGGGGCACTCGCGAGATCCCGATTTGCCCCAAAGACGACCACAAAGTAATTATGGGAACCCCCTATATGGACCTGGCGTCCCTTTCCCCACCTGCATACAACTGACGAAATTACGAAGTAAAGAGAACGACGGAAATGAACTTCTCAGCCGAGCCCCCACCACGTAAGGCATGTATCCATACAACCGTGTGTACAATCCCCCCTTTCGCAATGTCTCGGCCTTTCGTAGCGGATGAAAGGATGATGTCTAATACGACTCTAAAAGATCGTTTCTTTTACTTGGCGGAGTCTAATCACGGATTGTTTAGTGTCTTAATAAGCCCCGTTGTTCGAGAAGTGAACCGTTATGGGGAAGACGGCTGAGGATACAGGCGTCACATGACCGCTATGAGATGCCAGAAACGTTTGCTCCCCCACCACATCCCCGGCAGACAACAACCCGCAAGAAGTGACATGTTACCGAACTACGTTGTAGTGTACGTTGTATATATGGTAAGTTCCCACCGCCGCCCTCATCCGTGTCTGTCTCCTTGGCAGCGAGGCTACATGGTCTTACCTATGCCGATCGATCATCCTGTTGTGGTCAGACGCATTGGCGTTTGGGCAATCTATGGAGAATAATGTCCCATACGCACACAAACATTGTCCCATATATATATCGGTACCTACGTTGTACGAAGTGCAATGTTTCCGCAGCCCTGTGCTGGCTACGATGCGATCCTGATGCGGCCCGAACCCCACTTGTCATTCATGGGACTGAGCTCGGCAACGCGATTGCGGGAAAACTATCAATTGACAGTGATCCCGCTGCTCCTTTGGGCTTCCACGCCACATCTGTGTTTGAAAATTTATGGACACGGCCTATATCTTCACTACGAAGCAGACAGACAGTCGTCGGTTTCTTCCGTCGCAGCTGCGGAGAGGTCGCCAGCGGTGTAAAGCCTTCCGATTCGTACAAAAGGTATTGCTCTCGATTTCGGATATGCCACATCCATACCTGTACAACCGAGTCCATGGCTATTCGGTGATATAATACAGGAAAAACCATCAACAAGGGAGTCACCTTGTTCGGCCAGCTTCTATCTTTGTCTTTTGGCACCAAGCACTACATAGGTATATCTGCCCGTCCTCGGCAGCCTCTCTGCCCAACTTCCCTTTCAAAGGGTGCCCGCCAATCTTTACCGATTCAGCACGGCTATTCGTTTAAATGAAAGAGGGAAGCCCCTGGGCTGTTATTGGATATACGAAGTAGTTCGTTTGCCCACATTGTGATTAATTATATATTGGACTTCGGGGTCATAACCGAGCCAGTGCTTCTTCCAATGGGTACCTACCCACGAGGGAACATAATCACACTAATCCTCGACAACCCGTAGAAAGTACGACGTATATAGTCAGCAGAAAGTACGGATAGATATTCTTCGGTTACTCTAGCCTACTTCGTTGGCAAGTGCTTGACGAGGAAGGGAAAACCTCCGAGTGGTAGATATTTAAATCGGCAACAAATGTTGCCATGGGATCATGTCACTTCATCGATGTTGTGGCGACAGGTTGACAACGTGATGGCTACAGGTATTCTTGCTCTCTCTCACATTCCCAACCGGCATGAGCAGTACGTACAGATAATCTAGACACAAGGTTGATCTCAACTCACGTTGGTTCACTTCCGAGATCTATACCTATTATACCGATTATTATACGCCGTGACGAGGGGTATTAGAGACTAACGCGAACTAAGGAGATGATATTGTAAAGGGAGACACCTGGCTAGAAAAACACTGGCTGAATGCGACTCGCAATGCGTAATCATCCACAGCACTGCTGAGCAATGTCGAGATACGTACTTACCAAGCAAGCCCTTGCTTAACAGCGAGAGATCAGCCAATACCCAGTGGCGAGGAAGATACGGATACTACTTCGTGAGTCGCAAAACCCCGTGGGGTGTTCGCGTCAATATCCAGAGTCTAAAATTTTATCCAATTGCCATCTTATTCTTTTGTGAGGTGACATACCTGCATATAGACCCAAGGGCCTGTTTCGGGTGAGTTTCAGGACCTTAGGTAAGGAAGCCTCGACACTACAGCAGCTTTGCTTTCGTTTCCCGTTTTGGGCGACTTGTGCAGGCCAGTCGATATTGCAAAAATACTCTTTGCAACTGACTATGTCGGGTAGAGCTTATGTATACAGGTGTTCGACCGCCCGGCCCCCTAGTTTGTACGAAGTGCGAATACAGCGTACAGTAGAGAGCGAGAGCAGCCTCCAATCTGGGATCTCGCCCTCTTCTTGCAGGGGCCTTGGTGGTGGAACAGCCCGTTCGGCTACTACACTACTTTTTAGGACTCGTCAAACGTAACTAACTCCAACGCCAGTGGAGACGGGGGTCCCTCCTTGCAGAAAACAGTCCGCCGATGCAGTGAGATTCCCTCCCGCAGGTGCCATTTCTGTCAGCACCCGGGTCACGTCGAGTTCAGACGAACCAGCCTACAGGTAGACATATGCATGCCGAGCGGATGCAGGCACCCAAATGCTTTCAACTACAATGGTTGGTGGAATTCCAATGAGACAGAGCCCGCGACGTCTGTTCGAACATCGTGTTTCTGAGTCTCGGGCAGATCAAATGGCTCTTGTCTCTCCCTCAGGACCGCTAAGGGCACGATCAAGTCCAGCCCAAGGTTGACCAATAACGAGAATTTGGCCTGTGGAGAGTACACGAGAGAACCCCGTGGTTAGCGAGAAGTGTAAAATGGTTTATATACCTATTTGATCGTGTCCTGCCTAAATACAACAAACCACGTTGCGTGCTGTTCATACGAAGGAAACCTATGCTGTAGGGTTCACACCGGGTGGGAGGAAAACCTCCATTAACCTTTTCCCTAAGGTACCTAGGTAGGCGTTGCGATCTCCCCCTCTCCTCCTGTCAACCTGGAACCCCCGACCCCACCCATCCGCGAAAGGAGAGTGTGTGTTTCGAATATATAGGTACGTTGTACATATGTACCGTCCTCACCGCCTCGGGTACGTATGTACACTACCTAGGTAGGTAGGTAATGATACGTAGGCCGCCCCAGGAACAAACCCGAAGGACCCGCGGTTATGGGTAGTGCTGCCCGATTCTTAGCGTACTGTGGGACTCTTACGTTGTACATATGTGGACAAGGTGGGTGCACCGGCCAGTGATGCCATTGGTCTGAATCCCCGGTCAACGTGCTGTCCCAGACGGCTGGTGAGAGTACCTCCTGGATGCGGGAGGGGAAACAAAGGAAGCCTGAGAAATTTCCGAGTTTGGTTTCGGCACTGGGCCAGGCACGGCAGAAGCGGGACAGAATCGGAAAACTTCTGAGATCCGAATAGACGAACGGAGTAGGTAAGGTACCAGAAAGGGATAGAGGCAGTACGCTGTAGGTACGTTGTATACCCAAGTCCGCTTCTCGCGTCCCCCCCCCCCGGTTGATACCTTATACAAGTGCCGAGGCTCTCACGATCATTGAGCAGTCAAGTCGGACAGACGTCCGGTGAGTGTGCCGTGATCCGAATTACATGCATGCATACATGTATTATATAGGAGGCGGTCTGACTTGGGGTTGTAGTTGCTGTCCTCTCGATGTGACTCCGTCGCCCGGTTCACATCTCAGTCGCGAGGGAAATACGGAAGATACCTGTTGGTTGCGCGGACCCGAACCCCCAAACAATAGAAAAATGACATTTTCTATTTCCCCGGCAGGCACGGGGGCCCTTTGCTATTTCGCCGTTCGAGGTTGCATTTTCGCTTCGAAGACGCGATGTACGAAAATTGAGGCTGTATCCCTTATATGTAACCGAGATGCAGAATGCGAAGAGTGAAGTGCCGTCGGTGTGCCGTTGCATATCGAGTATCATCAGGATACATTCTCCGACTCGGTAACATCGGGGGTTCAGGTCAGGTAGCGCCACCAGGATAGGGAAGCGTTTCTCAATAAAGAACTTTGCAGCCAATCGGCAGCTGATATACGTTAGGTACCTAGGTAAGGTAGGTGCGGAGTAATACGGGATAACCACATCCACGCTCAACCCAGAATCATTAATTCGTTATATATATCTGCCTACTTACCTAATTTATTATATATATAAGTACCGTAGGTGCTGCTAACGAAGATTTACATATATGCGCTGTGCAGCTCGAGATATAGATACATATATACGTTGTCACTCGAACGCCTAGATACGAACCTGATTAGTAACACAGCACCTATGTCCCTAGGCTTTGTGCCTATAAGCTATGTACCCTTGCTAAATATCGCCCTATTTGCTTATGGCGTGGTAATTTCTGGGTATATAATTATTACTGACCATTTCTTGCCTGCCCACCACTCACCACCCCAGTGCCTAGGTACCTTATTCGTACTTTGATGTTGAACCCATGAACCGGCATGACACTCTAAACGTACCTAACTCATCATGAGTGGATACGCCGTACAAAGTACTCCAAAGGGTTACCGTTACCAATCTCAAAAGGCCACACAGACTGGCGGACGGGACGGAAAGCTTGGACCTCATCAAGGTCCGACCCACTCACTCGAAACCACGAGACTGCGGACAGACAGCGGGAAAGGGCTCTAGATTCGAACCGCGCTGATGGGCGATCCTACGAAGTATACATATACGACGTACGAATACAACGTAGATACAGCGTGACAAGCAGCATAAACCACCTTCAATGGATATTGGAGGGACCGGATCTGACCGGCAGGGCTGAGCTACGATACCTGAAAACTTACGCTTCGACATACTATTCGTTTAGATTAGAACTGGAAGACGACCCTTAGTATCGACGGCGATGCCCAGCTTACACTAATTATATGAAGTACATACGCCGCCCTTTGCGGTACAACGTATATACCTAGGTAGGCGAGGAATTTGGGGCTCCTTCGCGTATTTGCTCTCTTTTCTTCTGCTTGTCAGCTTCCCCCGGCGAAATCCATGGATTCAAGACACTTGCCTACTCTTTCGTGGGCTGTTCCTTGGTTGCTGATGCACTACTCAACGAGCTTGTTGTTCGTACCCACGGAAACGTACAGACCACCCCTCGAGGTGACTGAAGTCTGCACTGCATGCATGTAGAGTGTCTCAGGCGAGACGCAAGTGTCCAAATCCGTACACGCGAATCGGAATCCTGCAGCTTCTTCTGCATCCACCGCGTCCAAGTTCCCCACCTCTCTGTCTCCTGTTCCTACGCTCCACTGTTTGCTTGGGGACCACCATGTGAGTGTGTGCCAGGGGACCCTGGCTAGGAGAGACGAAGCGATAGGTATTTACATACCTGTATATACGTACCTAACAAAATATGACAAGCCTCCTCCGTACGGTACCTAGCATATAACGTATGTACTCAGTACCTAGATATGAGAGCAGACAGACAGTCATTATGTACCATATTAGTTGCGATACCCATCACGAACTTCAGTACGTTGTAACTAACCTTAGTAGCCGAAGGTCCAGCTAACTAACTACTGTTTACGAGCCCTTTAAGCTTCGCCGTACGTACAAAACGCTTTCTCTCACGAACTGGCTGCATACTGTCGAACAGACCACAGTCTTTTCGGCTACGTAATAGGCCGGATTGCCAAGAGTATAATCCGGGTGGACGCTTACAGAATCTGCACCATATAAAATACGGTGGTAGCGTTTCCCTGACGGTCTAAGACAGGTATAAGTATACATAATTACCTTAATCAATTTTTGACCTATTTTATAACGATTTTAACTACGCTTTATCTGATAATTAATAGTCTTACTTACTAAGTGAACCACCTACCTTTTTACCGCTACCATTACTACCGATTTAAGAAGCTATCTAGCTACGCCGATATAGCGTGTTAATCTATAAATAACTATTAAGATATCGCACCTTAGCCCTATTACGTATAAAACCTATAAGGATTAGGAGCTCTGGCGACGCCTATACGAATTGGTTACTACCTATAATAACGTGTAGAGGTTTCTCCGCCCTATCGATCCGACTTAGTCCCCCGAGGAGCCTATAATACCGGATTACGGCTTTTTTCCCTTTATAACACCTAGGCGTACGCCTATATAATATCTCGACCTTACGGACGCGGGCTAGAAAGCGTACGACGTTAAAATCGCGCGCTAGAAGATCCTATAAGCGTAATACGATAACTACCTAAAGGGGATTAATGTTATACTAACCTAGCAGTTTAATACTATCGACTAAAGCCGTAGATAACTACTATGAGGAGGTATACCTTATAAGGTATACGAAGCCGTTAAACACGATACGGATTAGTACCTAGCTACCCGCTAAACCGATACCATAAAGAGTATATTAAGCATGCACGGTACCCTATAAATAGCCTTAAGAAGCTCAGGGAGTAGGTAGATAAGTGGTAGCTACTACTATAAAGCTATAAAGATACCGGTTTAAAGCCCGCCACGTATATATAGGTTATAGATTTCTTTAGAGGTATACGCCCCTATACCAGCCACGATTAGACTAAGACCGAGGGATGTCTTATAGATAACTAAGTAGTTATACCCGAAAACCTTTACACCCTCGGCTAGAAGTATATTAACACTAGACTTAAAGACTAAGGAAAACGCGGTAGCCACCGCGCTATAGTATTTCTTATGCTATACACCGGAAGCGAAGAGGGTAAAGATACCTTAGAGGCTATGGCTAAGCCCCGTAAAAAGGGCGGCCGTGGGAAGAATAAAGCTAAGAATTCTATTACCGCGGTATCTATAGCTATACCTTTAGCTACTTTAACTAACCGTTCTAAGCGCCGCTAATCTACTTTATAGAGAGGGTAGATCTACCGCGTATACGCTATACCTGGCCACGATATTAACGCCTGCTTCTATCTATTCCCGGATACGGTATATAACGATTAGATACCCTTTAAGAGTACTAAAATAACCGTTTAACGGATCCTTAAATACGACCCCTTGCTACGCGCGGAAGTAGAAGAACTACGCGCTATGACGAAGGTGAAGGAGGATATAAGCCGGGACTCTATATAGCTTAAAGAGGCGTGACTTAACTATAGCAGCGTCCGTAGCGGCGTCTCCCACGCCGCCACCTTTACGGCTAGCACTACTACTAGCTACCCTCTTCGAACCTCTGCTATCCTCGATTCCGGTGCCACTATTTATATTTTTAACGATTTTCCCCGTTTTTCTGATTTTACACCCGCCACGCAGAGAGACTACGTAGTCGTAGGCAGTTCGTCCCTGCCTATTAAAGGTTACGGTAACGTGACCGTGAGATTAAACGGACTAATAGGAGGCCTCGATTTCAGGCTATTAAACGTCGTATACTCTAAGGATTTTACCTGTAATTTAATCTCTAACTAACACCTATATCTTTAATGATACTAGTAGAATTAGAAGCCACTAAATAACTATATTCGGCGTTCCGATAGATCTATACTATACTAGCTAAGTCACCGTTTCGATTAAACCGTTATTAAATATATACCCTCTAACTAATCTGCGGCTGCTTTTCTAGGCTTTTCTTCTACCCGAAAAGCTATCTATAAATCGACGATACGCTATCTAAGCACTACGGAGGGTATCTTATAGTATCTACGCCTAGGGTATAGGCCCTAAATCACTTCGGCACCTAGAAGAGTAGACGCAGGGGGTTAAAATCAAGGGACTAATAACTATCGACTATAAGGCCTGCGAGCTTATAAAGATAAAACGGTATATTAGCAGGCACCCTCGCACTATACCTACTAACGTAGGGGAGCGATAGGCGATTAATTTTACGGACTTTAAATAAACGTCCGACGGAGACTTAAGGTTTATGTTTTTCACCGACCGTTATAGTGGTTTTACGGCCACCTACGTTGTAAAGAGTAAGCTGGTAGTGGATATCCTCGTAATAATTAAGGAATTCCTCGCCTAGGTAGACCGCTAATTAGGCTATAAGGTGCGCGTCTTCGAATCTAATAACGAGCTAACTTAATCTCACGATATCACCTAATTCCTGCGTAATAAGGGTATCCTTTTAGAGGCATCTACTGCCGACACTTAAGTATAGAACAGGGGTACTAAACGCGCTGCTACCGTGGTTATTTTGAAGGGTCGTGCGATAAATATCCACGTAAAACTACCGCCGTTTATATAGCCTAAGGCTATTCCCATAGCAGCGTACGTCTATAACCGGACGCTATAAAGGCAGTATAATAATAAGGATTAGAAAATACTATATAAGGTCCTCTTTAAAAGGAAGCCGATTTTATTATATCTTCGAGCTTACGGCTATAAGGCGTACGCGATAATAAAGAACGCCTAAAAGGGCGTGAATAAGCTATTAAACCGTATCGCTCCCCGCGCCTATATCGGCTACCTTATCGGCTACGATTCTACTAATATTTTCCGTATCTAAATGCCTGGCCTACGCCGCTATAACCGCGTTATTCGAACGCGCGATATGGATTTTAACGAACACGCCTTCTTTAACGGCGATATCGCCACCTTTAAGGATAACCTCTATTAATTAACCGAGGAGTAATTAGAAGACCTGATTAGTTAGATTAAGTAGGAGAGGGCTAGAGATTTATAGCCGTTTACGGACATATAAGCTAAGGACCCCCCCCCTTTATATAACTACTTATTTTAAATTATTAGATCCGGGGATAAATGCCCCCGGATCTCCTTCCTTAAGAGCTTTACCGTTAAGGTTATAGTCCGTAATACCCGGCCGTAAAGGGGTAAAGGAGGCTATCTTAAGTTAATTAGGATAAGATTTAGGTCACGAATAGTGTGATTTAGCCGGTATAGCGCCTAATCACCGTCTATATCCGCCCGATCCACTATTTCCTACTCTATTAATAACCCCGCCGTCGGTTATAGCGCTAATAGCAGCCGTTATATTAGGAAACCGTGATACCCCTACGGCTATAGGGTTCTAGGATAACGGAACACAGTGCTATAATACCCCTATAGCTACGGCTATAGGGCTCCTATTAAGTAAAGGAGTATAACTAATTCGGTAAGGAGATAGCTAGAAAAGAGACTATTAGGTTACTACGTTTAACGCTAGCCGTCACGCCCCTAATATATATATATTAAATAGGACTCCGCTAACTAAATTACGGTTAAAAAGGTCTACGTCTATAGCGTTATAGCGACGCTTAATAATACCCTATAAATCTATAGCCCCGGCGGTAGCTACCGGAAGTATATCCCGGGAGGCTATCTCGGGAAATATAACCCCGGCGGTTACTTCGGCGGGTACTCCGGCGGTTACCCCGGCGGCCGTAAAGATCCACCGTAAAGACCTCCCTCCTCCTCCGAAGAACCCTCGCGATATACCCTCGCACCCTTACGGCCACCTATTCCGATAGGTATAAGAAGACTACCTACGGAGCTATAAGGAGATAGGGTTATGGATACGGATACCGG